TGTACACGGGACCTCGGTTTTTCGTCCCATCCGAACGACTAGACAGCTTTCCTTGTCAGCCCCTCCGTCCTGCATCACTGACAAGGGAGAACAACGCCGGAAAATCTGGTAAAAAGCTGAGAAGTTTTCTAATATAAAGTAAATGAAGTGGGGCCTATCACTCTCATCTATAGCAATAAGCTTTAACTTGTGTTTGTCATTTCTTTAGGTTCCGTTTTAGATAAAGTTCATACAGAACAACTGGGGCTGTTTCACGAAATTTTAACTAAGATAAAAATCCAAATTTTAGTAATTTGATTAGATAATATTAGATTGATTTTAGTGCTAAGCCTATCAAAATCGAAGTATCTACTAAAATTTGGATTTTATTTTTAGTTAAGATTTCGAGAAACGGGGCCCTGAGTTACAGATGAGACGCTGTGAGATGATATATTCTACAAGATTCTTCAACCTACCGGCTCAATAACTATTGATACGTATGTCAAATAAACAGAAAATATTATAAAAGAAACGGAAGGAATTGGGTTTAACGTCCTACTGTTCTGCTCCTAACCTGGGCTAATGAAGACGGGCATACGCCATACAATGTGCTATGAGGGAAATGTTGCCCGGGCAGCGGCGCTACGGCCTACTCTTATATCGAATTCCAGCTGCCAGGGGATCTTTTACGTGCACGCCAATATGTACACGGGATCTTGGTTTTCCGTCCCATCCGAACGACTAGACAGCTGTCCTTGTCAGTCCAAAGCCCTGGAATAATAATATATTAAAAAATAAGATTTCTCTGTTATCTCATAAAAGAATTGAGCTGGTTAAGTTTTGAAAATGCGGTCGTTCCCTTAACTACGCCAGCATTAATATAGATCTTGAAATCGTAATCCGGTATCATTTGATTTAAGATAAATAAACTCGTTTTATTCACACTGCAATAATGACAACCACTGTTTCGTACCCTACGATACCCGGATGTTACAAAATGACCTGAAGATTACCTTATCCCCGATAACACACTTAATCACCAATGACAGTTCCCGGATATATTCTTTTTTGGGGAGCCCATTCCTTAATCAAAAACAACCAAATAGTTTTTATATGCCCACATTTCAGTATGGTCGTATTGTGCCTTCAACATGTCCGTCGGTTCGTCAACAATTGGCTTGTGAACTCGACGAAAAAAACCCAGTTTTTAATGGACTATTTTTAAATTGGGCGTGAAGCATTGCATGGGGTCATGGGAAGACGGCCCCGATCGATATTCTCTATGCCGAAAACCTTGTGAACGCAAGAGGCTACAATTTTAAACGGGTTTTCTTCGAATTTGAACTAAAGCAGCGGGGTCATAAGAGAACCAGGGGCGGATCTCGGAATTTTGAAAAGGAGGGCGCCGCAAAATAAGGGCACTGCATCTGTAGCCATTCCAAGAGCTATTTGGCTGATATTTTCGTCTAAGTAAACGTTTGGAAATCGTTAAAAAGAGCCTTAAAATCAAGCAAAAAACCCAGTTGAACACGCGACTCGAAAATTGTCAAGGCGAGCGAGGCATTATGATGGGAAAAAAGACGAATTTATTCCCTAGCCACTTCACTATTTAAGCCTTGTAACTTGTACTGTCTGTGTCTACACATGAAACAATGCTACATCAAGTTGCACTAATGCGCGTCGGTGATGGGCATGAGTGTATAGTAGTATACGCCGCCGATTTCACAAGATGCTATCATTGATGTCTGTCTATAGTCACTCTATAGGATTAGGGCACCGTCAGCTAAACAACAAGAATTCGTTTAAAAGTGGAAGCATTAATTAGACCAGACTGGTGTGTTTGAGTGGATGGTTTGAGTCATTTGGGATCCCTGCAACGGTTTGGGAACGGACATATTTGGGTCTGAAAAAAGGCACTTTCAGCAGTAAAAAAGGGCACTGTCGAAAATTAGGGGGGGGGGGGGGGCGCCCTTCGCCCTTCCCCCCCCCCCTTGGATCCGCCTCTGAGAACGAACCCTATCGATATTCGGCTTTCCAGAATCTTTCATTACAGAGTTACGCACACTTTTCCTTCCGAAAATCTTGTGAACACGATAGTTTTTAATGGATTTGTTTCAAATCTGATGTGAAATGTAAAGTACATTCTGCAAAGGAAGCAAAGTCTTGGGGATATACAATTCTAAAGGAGCACTTGATCACCCCACTCACCGCCCCCTTCCCGATCTGCCCAGTGTCTTTACCATTAGCTCATGCCCTGTAGCTGTGGCACATTTGGATACGCTGTCATCCTTATAATCCTTAACCCTGCAATTTCATTTGTCAACAATCTTGACTTATCTAGCTATGGGAACGCTGGTGAATGGAAACCATTTTAAGGGCTTTGTGGAGCATTCGGACCAACCGGTAGTTAACCATGCGCATTCGACGGTTTACTCACACAATGAATCTCTAAAAGTAATACGGAAATGAAATGAATTGAAATAGGGTTTAACGTCCTACTGATCAGCTCCGAATCGGGCTAATGAAGACGGACATACGTCATACAGTGTGCTATGAGGGAAATTTTGCCCGGACAGCGGCACTACGGCCTACTCTTATATAGAATTCCAACTGTCAATGGATCTTTTACGTGCACGCCAATGTGTACATGAGACCTAGGTTTTCGTCCCATCCGAACGACTACACATCTGTTCTTGTCATTCCCTCCGACCCGCACAACTGACAAGGGGAAACCACGCCGGAAAATGTGGATGAGCTTTCGCCAGCGCCGTACCCACTTAGCCACCGGGACCCCCAAAAAGTAAAACGATTTCTATCAATATGGCTACTGTTTCAGAACGGGACAACTTGGGTGACTGGACATGAACTTGGGTGACGATTTCGGGAAAATTCTCAGTGAAGACAAACGACATTTTGTACAGAGAATTGGGGGGGGGGGGGGCGCAGGCAGGCGTGTTTTGATTGAGTATTGAGATTTAATTCAAGTTGTTTGTATTTTTGCGTGATAAACTTTGAATACGGCTAGACTTTGAAAAATCTTGACCTTTGTTAATTATTTGTATCTGTTGTGCATTCATCAGATCTGATATTTAATCTGTAATGTAGATCTTCGTATAGTACGGTGTCTTTGTTAAACAGGCGACATCTTTATATCAAATAAATCGTCTACATACCGTAAAATATGATTTCATTTAAATGATATCTACTATAGTATTCTAGGGAGTTACCTATTTTATGAGAGAGAGAGAGAGAGAGAGAGAGATGTGTGTGTGTGTGGGGGGGGGGGGGGTGCTGGTGTGTGTGTGTGTGGGGGGGGGGGTATGTTAGCATCCATCGTCACCAGAGAGAGAGAGAGAGAGAAATGGGGTTTAACGTCCACTCGACACAAACTAGGTCATTTCGGGACTAACACATGGTTCAATTTTATTTCAATAATTCGCTTGCGCGTAGGGGTCTTTAGCAGTGGGAGGAAACCGGAGGACACAGAGAAAACCCACGAGGTTGGACAGGCGACCCTACTCCTTGTCACGCACAACCGGGGATTCGAAACCACGCCAGTAGACTCAATGACAGACTTTATGATACGGCACGCACGTGCTAACCATTCAGCCATCCAACCCCAATGAGAGAGAGAGAGAGAGAGAGAGAGAGAGAGAGAGAGATGTGTGTGTATGGGGGGGAGGGGTGTATGTTAGTATCCATCGACACAAATAAGGGACTGACATGGTTCAATTTTATTTCAGTAATTCGGTTGTGCGTAGAGGTCTTTAGCAGTTGGAGGAACTCTGGGGACCCGGAGAAAACCCACGAGGTTGGACATGCGACCCTACTCATTGTCACGTACAGATTAAGAGACAGGGTGAGGAGATGTGACGTCTACTCAAATCAACTTGGCCGTGTAAGGGGACTTAACTCATGATAAATCTTTATTTTGTTTTGGGGTTCTTTAGCAGTGTTAGTGTTTGGATACTCGACAAATTACAGACAGAAGGATCGAACTCATGACAAGCACATTGCCTTAGTCGAACTCCAGGGGCAATTCGACCACCATGTATACTCAAATATACTACATTCATTCATAAGGTAAGTTACTAGACCGTGAAGTATTTGTATAATATCAATAAAGATAACATATTACATGATCAAATACGATATGTATACTACGATTTTCACTCATTACACTTCGGCATTTCCGATACAAGTACATGTATGCAGATATTCCTTTCACCTGTACTCACGTGTGAATAAAAAAAAACTTAATGTAAAGTAGTTCAGTATAAGATAAGACGTTTAATTCAAATTACTACATGTATAACGACGCCTCTTTTACCTTGAAAACTAAATGCAATTAAGAGTGTCATAATTCGATACAAATCCTGCGTGTGTATATATCTGTTCACCTGTAAGGCCTACCACGGTGTTAAAAAATGCATTAATGATATATAGCTGACTTTATTAAAAATAATTAGATGAATTGACGCCTCTTTCATCCAGAAAGCTAATGCAAGAAAACGTGTCATAATTCTACTACTGCAAAAGCCAACAGCAGTCTGTTCTTGCACTTAATGACCTACGAACTGACAGCATTGCGGAACTAGACTTGATGTAATAATATTCAACTTTACCAATCTGCAGGCGATGTCTACCTACCTCGTTTTAAAATAATATAGGTATCGGACCAAATGTAGAATCCTGACTTTGTTTTAGAAATAAAAATCTCCAATACACTTAATAAACACACTGCACCTTGTCTACGTCATAGCTTCTACTGGTCCGCTTACTGGTCGCGTGAAGTTGGTCCATCCCCCACACCTCCCGCAAAGCCCAAACTCATAACGGTTCACATAGCACCTCCCCTGCCTGTCAACAATACGTCATACCATTTAATGGTTTATTGACAAAAAATAGGACAAAAGAAAGCGTAAAGGAATTGAAATATATATAAAATGAACTGGTTTCGAAACAGGTATAAATTGCGAGTTCTGGACATAGGAGGTCTTTATATGTGTTTGAAAGTGAGGGAAAAGGACGGGTTTTAGTGGAGGTCCGCGTTATACATACTCATATATATACTTATACTACTATATACTAGTATACAATATGAAGTCAGTGTTATCTCTGTGTATATTTTATATCATTCCAGTAACAAGTTTATTCACACAAGGTAAGCCAAATCTTATATTTATTTTATATATTTTTTCTGTTAGACTTACGGCCGTATATATATACACCTCATTTTTTCATATGTTGGTTCTCTCATTTTGAACGCTAATGTTAGTATAATAGACTATTCTACGGTTAGTATCTGTCATGTATTCATTTACTTAAGAACTTAATTAATACTGATTGAAGTTTAATATTTCACCAAGCTGACGCTTAAGAAATTAGGTTTAACAATTACAATAGTTTCAGAATCAAACAGTTTAACGAAGACAGTGTGCTACGAGAGAATATTTGCCCTGACGGAGGCAAAATGAAATGAACTGGGGTTTAGCGTTCTACTGCTCTGCTCCTACTGGGCTATAATGAAGGCGGACATACGTCATGCAGTGTGCTATGAGGGAAATTTTGCCCGGACAGTGGCAGTACGACCTAATCTTATATCGAATTCCAACTGTCAAGGGTTCTTTTACATACACACCAATCCGAACGACTATACGTTGTCCCTTGCCAGGCCCCCGTTCTACACCACTGACGGGGGGGGGGGGGCACACCGGGAAATCTGACGTAGTCGCTACGGTCTACTCTTTTTTCAGATCCCAACTATCAGGGGATCTTTAACGTCCTGCCAGTGGTATGCATGGGGCATCGGGTTTTTATCCCATCCGAACAACTAGATGCGTTTCCTTGACTGACCCAGTCCTTTTGTCCTGCACCTCTGACAAACGGAAACCAGACTGGAAAATCCCGAAGAACTTTATCGGCCAAAGCCGGGATCAAAGCCGGTTACTGCGCCATCGCCATTCACCCGTCTTCATTGGCCCAGTCGGAGCAGAACAATAGAACATTCAAAACCATTTTATTGTCACGGCGAAACTGCCTGGCCAAGGAGTGGTATCGAACCAGGGATCGACAGGTTTCACGCCGACACACCACGACTTCCGTGAAACTTAACAGTAGTGGGGGGTGGATAGCCGAATGGTTAGCACGTGCGTGCTGTATCATAAGGTCTGTCATTGAGTCAGCTGGCGTGATTTCGAATTCCCGTTTGTACGTGACAAGGAGTAGGGTCGCCTGTCAAACCTCGTGGGTTTTCTCCGGGTCCTCCGATTTCCTCCCACTGCTAAAGACCCCTACGCGCAAGCGAAATATACTGAAATATAATTGAACCACGTGTTAGTCCCGAAATGACCTAGTTTGTGTCGAAGGAACGTTAAAACCCACCTCTCTCTCTCTCTCTCTCTCTCTTTCTCTCTCTTTTAACAGTAGTGCAGACTGTGTAATATATAAAACACGTGTTGTATGAATTTTATTGTGTCTACCATGAGATTATGTGAGGACTGTTGTATATCATGATATTGTGGCTATGGAACTAGACTTAACGCTGTATAGTGAGTTTATTGTATTGTGGCTAGAAAACTAGACGTATAACCTAAGGTACCCATACAAAGTTTAACTTGAGAAAAGAGTGTTCTTTACAGGTTTCTTAAAATTATATTGAAAACGATATTTTAATCTCTGCGATACAAATTGTTAGCGATGCAAACTTCTCCGTGTACGTGCGAAATGCGAAGCATAGTCTGTCTTGTACATGACACCCGTCATTACATATCGCTATTCGCTATTTTGACTCAGAAGCCACGCCACTCCTTACTGCGTTAACCGCTTGAAAATCATATAAGCCTTCTCGATTGAAGAAGAGTGGATGGTAGTCGAGTGGCCAGGAAGTGCGGTAGTCGAAAGGTCAGGGACTGCGGTAGTCGAAAGGTAGTCGAAAGATCAGGGACTAGTCGAACAGTAAGGGACCGTGGTAGTCGAGTGGCCAGGAACCGTAGTAGTCGAGCGGCCAGAGCATTCGACTAGCATGTACCGTGTTCGAACCTTGGATTTTTCATGTCCCACGTGTTAAGGGTATCGTCGACTGGGCCGATAACTCGTTCCGATGATAAACCGCGGTCCACCGTTGTGCAAGTAATCCTTGACAAAACTCTCAGCCCAAGCATCCCATACGTGACCACAGATAAAATATGCATGATGCTGTAAATCTATTCAATCCCTTTCACATGTATATCATCTAACATCTCTTGAACCTTGTTTAAAAGTAGCAATATAAAGCACCACATATATTATTAACATCGTTAGTGTCTTGAAGAAGTGATATAAGGTGGTTTGAAATAAATGAAATGAAATGAAATGGGGTTTAACGTCCTACTGTTCTGCTCCAAACTGGGCTAATGACGACGGGCATACGCCATACAGTGGGCTATGAGGGAAATTTTGCCCGGACAGCGGCACTACGGCCCACTCTTATATCGAATTCCAACTGTCATTAGGTATCTTTTACGTGCACGCCAATGTGTACACGGGACCTCGGTTTTTTGACCAATGATGTCCTTGTCAGGCCCTCCGTCCTGCATCACTGACAAGTGGGAACAACGCCGGAAAATCTAGATAAACTTTCCCAGCCAATGCAGGCATCGAACACCCGACCTCCAAGCTAGCGAGCCAGCGTCTTACTCATTTAGCCACCGTGACCCCCGGTTCGAAATAAGCATTCGTCACTATACTTGGTAGAAGTGTAATTATTGGATAATGGAATTTAGCTAAATTTAAAATTTTTATTAGGATATTGTCGCCAAAGCGTGGGAAAAACCGAGCCAATGACGTTCTGACATGGAGGTCTTCTTAAGATATTACCATTTTATAGACCGTTTCCTTTAATCGGGGGCTCTGTGACCTTTGACTTTTCCTGTCTCTAATAAACGTGATGTCGATTTAATACGAGTTGATATAATTCACATATTGACCACATTCATTTGATTGACCAGTTTAAATGTTAGTTGGTACAGTGTATATATATACTAATACATTGGCAGCCATTGACCATAATTAGCTCTATATACTATACAGCAGTGTTCTATACTATATTGATAGACCACCCCGAGTGTTATAGTGGTAACAGATTGCCGTGATAACCCCCATAACTACCCCCTCACATGGCGAGGCTTCTCATCCTATAGTAAATTAACTCCCACCGTATAATATAGACAAAATCTTCTGGTAGCAGACGTGCAGATGTAGAGAGAGTTAAAGGTGTTGATATCCGATCTTGGTGATCACTTGAACAATAATACAAACCATGCTGATTTATTATTAAAACGATCTTTAACTTCCTCTATCTATCTAGCTACCTATGATTATAGTCTGGCTCAGCAGGTATAGCATACCTGTTTTATACCTGTTAATACTTTACATGATACCTGTGGCTCAGATAGATAAAGCTCTGGTCCAACCAAATTGACAGTTCTATCTACTAAAGTGCTTGAAACATGGATGTTGTGTGTCGATTGCCAAGCATATTGCTTTGCTTCTGTTTTACATTTTGGGTCTGGTTGGATCCATGCATAACGATACAATTTCTTAGATATTTGATATATTGAGCAGGTTGCTTCTCTGTCAGCCATACATAAAAGTCTTTAGATTTCCTCACGTGATACTAACACCAATCTGATTAAAATACAGATCTTTATTTCGTTTCGTTTTTTTATACATTCGATGGCCTCCACTAGTGTATTAAAACCAAGTAAAACGAAATTTTGAAGTATAAACAACGAAACGAAATTGCATCCGTGGTTTTAATCAGATTGTGCTAACGCCTTACTGGACGTAATCGTCGTTCACGTTCTCTTCTTTCTTCTTGTGGACAGATTGTTAGTGACCGGAGTCAGCCGTTTATGAAAGCAACTTGACAAAGATCACTCGAAACCACGGGCTAGGTTGTTCTAGACTGTTCAGCGTGCAATACCTTCTCCTTCTTTCAGCGCCATGGTTCTATAGGGTTAAGTCTAAAATCAAGGCCAACTACATCACGAGATGTAAACAAAGCTAACGCTAACCCTAACCCTAATTCTTTTACTTTATCGTTCTATAGCCTTAAATACTATTTTGGAAACTTGTCCCGGTGACGCGCGAGATTATGTTCCTGTCACGTGTATAAAGTGGGTGTCGTGCACGATATATGGTACTCTTACTTGTTTTAGCACACTTGGTACCATTCTTAATTTATTTGACAAATACCCAATCTACTACGTCAAGTTGCATAGTCTCCGCTGTATGGTAGGGGACCGGAAGTAGCGGTGGTAGAGATAATTTGGTTGTACTTTGTGTGGTATAGACCCTATTTATATAATTATGTATGTCACCTTGTATAGATCAGCTGATTACCAGCATATTAATTAATATCTACATGTACTTAGTACAATTAGTCCAAGTCACGTTCATACAAGACATACCATAATCATTGACATGGGAGTCAACAAACTGTGTCAACTATACTAATGTCGAACATCGATCAGAGGGGAAGGTTAACCCACCCTCCCAAAGACGATTCTTTATTACTTTACCATGATTCCCCCAATACCACTATTAATTACTGATATCAACTTCCTATAGTAAACCGTGGGTTGGTGCATCTTCACAGTGTCATATTTAATAATTACAAATTCTTTATCGTTGGAAGTTATATCTATTGATCCGACACTTTCTCGTGTAACATTTGTCTTAAATCTTTCAAAAAGAGATAAGTTTTTAACGTCCTACTTATCGGCACCGATTGGGTTAATGAAGATGGGCATGCGCCATACAGCGTGCTATGAGGGAAAATTTTTCCAGGACAGTGGCTCTACCCCCTACTCTTATTTCGAATTCCAATTGCTAAGGGAGCATTTACGTGCACTCGGTGTGTTATTGTGTACACGGGACCTCAGATTTTTGTCCCATCCGAACGACTAGACACTGTTCCTTGTCAGTCCCTGCATACTGCACCACTTTCATTTGGAAACCACGCCGGAAAATTCCGAAGAACTATTTGAGCCCACCAGGTTAGCGAGTTACTCACTGAGCCACCGTGGCTCCGTAGGGTATTTCAACATTCATATAAATGGTTAGTATAAAACGGATCACTGGCATCAAACACAGTCCTGGGGGCAATGATCTATAACAGGGGTGGGGAACCGGAAGTGCCGGATAAAATCCACGAGGTAAGGCAGGTGACCGTGCTTTGTCACGAACACGAGCGAACTACCGTCACTTACGGCGATGGACACAACGGAGACATGTTCGTGTCTAGAGTAGTGATTCGTGTTCTTGCATACAATATTCAATTAAATATGATTATTTACGTCCTGGAAAACAACTTTATCATCATGTTAACTTTTAATTTATTCCCACGGGCACGGCGATAGACTTTATATAAAAAAAACATGGGGGTATCATGTGGGGTTGGGGAAGGTTTTAACCCTCCGAAAAGTTCCATAGTCACGTTTTTGGACAAAATATCTCATTTTCGAGCTATATTTGTGAATATCGTTTATCGGGGATGGTGGCTACACTCGACTGCCCTGATGTTGAAATTTGGGGCGCAGTGGGCTGCTCTAACGCTAGGGTGTCATAGTCTTGACAAAAATGTGATATTCTGGAAAAATTCATTATAGACTCGGCCATATATTTTAATGTCCTCTCGAAATTAACTGTTCTCGTATGTCTATGTTGAAAACGAGTGGAAAACCTTGACGCTCCTTTACGTTAGAAATTAGATGAAGCCGTCAGATCGTCTGCCAAAATTAACTTTTAGTTTGTTTATTTTTACAGTTTACAATGTTCAACCAGATTTTAATAGTGTGGTAACCAAGGACGCTTATTACCAAGATGATACCATACAACCAAATGATCTCGTTCCTCGTTATAGAGGACTAACATCAGATGATCTCATGGAAAATGAATCTCAATCACAAAACTTCCTAGATGAAATGGTGAGTTCTTTGTGTAATTTTAGCTTTCCTCCATTCCCTAAAAATTTTGTTGGGTTTTGTTATTTGTTTGGGGCGATTTATCCCTCATGTGTAGCCTACATCTTCTGGATAAAATAATGGCGTTACCTAAATTGGATACCGGCCTTTCTGTCCTGAAAAGCTGCCCCAAATTTTCGTTATAGGTTTGCAGAATTAGCTACCTGAGAATCAGACTGCTCGATGTCAACTAAAGTCGTTTCCTAGAAAATGGGGTTCAAAGTTTCAGGTCTGAAATCAAAGGGAACTTTGTAGTATAACTATCATTGGTCTGACTTTACTCAAATAACATAACATTTAGTCTGACATAAGTTGTGCATTTCACAGAAAACGCAATAGTATGGCCATAGATAAAGCAATTACTTGAAGCGTCATTATGGAAGATTAGATAAAGAGCTGACAGTTCTCGCTATAATAGTTACAAAATAGATAATGTAAATGGAATATGCTGACAATTTCAGTCAAATTACGTCACTCTGAGTCGAGAAATCCTCATTTCAAAAACACTGTAGATTCGATTGTCATTGTTATCGTTGTTACGATAATAAACAAAGTCTCGATTATCCCGTTAAACCGCAGATCGGATTTAAATCTATTGAAAATCGGACCCATCAGATAGTATTCATGGTTGATTACGGTCTTTCCATGTTAATAAATGTCTAATTAATAGTTTATATAACATTTAAGGCCTAAAGTAAGACCTACAATAGCCAGATTAAGCTCTTGCATAATGCCTGTTTAAGAATTAGTGGCGGATTTCTTGGAAAGAGGATATGTTTCATGGCCTTAAATAGGAGGAGATAGAACAATCAGTTCATCATATTCTGAAATTTGGTTTGGAGATATATCTTGTTGCTGTCGGAGCTCAGGGGACTAGCCACTGAAACACGACTGACTCCCCAGACAAGTTTCTTAGGAAATATTTGCTTCCGATATTACCTTATGTGGAAGCGGACGACCTACATCCGGATTGATGTGGATAAGCCGTAAATGAACACGACAAAGGAAGGTATTGAAACGACTGGACATCTAAGACAAACAACTTGTAAACGATGCACGGTGTTTTATAAATTTATGACGTTTACTTTTTCTGCACTAAAACTATAAAACGTGAAACCGCAGACGTCTTTTATAACTTATTGACAGGGGTTTAATGTCCGCTGCCATACCGGGTGATATAGCCGACAATATTTATAACTCTCCTCCCACCACATTACGTAACTGAACTATCAACAACCTCCTGTTGTTTTCACATGTTTTCATAGACAATATGGCAGAACGTGTATTAAAATGTCGATACCGTCATCCATTCCAAAATGTCGATGCTATCGTAGATGCCAGATTAGCCTGTTCTGTTTTTTGCTTGCATGCAATCAGCACGTATTGGTTTATGATAAGACGAAGTTTAATGTTTACAACGATAACATCAGTAATAGTCCGAGATTTGGGCCACACAGATTAATTATCTGGTGCTAATTAAAGTTAGCCGGGTCCTCACATGGGGAAGGCTGGGGTGGATGGTCATATGCCCGGGGGCGACAAATCTGGCCCTTTGAATATTTATAGACTAGCCTCCTTGGAAGCTGAGATCACCGACCTCCCACGTCCCCTAAATCTGTGTAAACCAGTTCATATTTCAGAAAATAGAAAGGGTTGAAATATGATTTTTTCAAGATATATTATAGGGCGTTTTGATCAAATGGAGGGTTGAAGGACAAATCAACGTAACAATTTTACATATAAGTTGATTTAATACAGGGCCGTATGTAGGATTTTAAAAGTGGGGTGCAGCAGAGTAGTGGGGCGCAATAGCCCCCACGTATGTGATATAAGAAAGTTTCAATCAGGGCAAACGAACCCATTGGCGTGTGGGCGCCCTTAAAACCGATCGACTGATCAGTGCCTTAAGGGCATCACTGTGTGATCATAATCAAGTGTATTATTTTATAATTGAAAGATTGTCAAATAATTTTTGTTTTTTTGGATGGGGTGGGGGCGCAATTTCTCGGGGCGCCTTATTTATCTGGGGGTGCAATGTACCCCCTGCACCCCGCTAGATACGGCCCTGATTTAATAAATAGTTTTTAGATGATAAAAGTATATAAAAAAATGTATTTTAATGTTTCTGTAATCATAAATATTCAACTGGGCGCAGGCAACAAAGCAGTTATGGTATGCATGGGGGTGGGAGCGTCACTTAAACTTTTGCCCTGGGGCGCCACATAGGCTTGTAAGTACCCTGGTTATAACACTGCCCCACAACGGTCAGCATGTCATTATGTTTTTTCCAGATCTATTACTTAATCCCACTGAAACCCAAATTACGAATTTGAAATTAACGCCCGAATCACTTTACATATTAAAATTGAATGAAAGGCGATATGATAGGAACGCGTTGTTGTCTGGGAGGTGCCATTTTCGAAATAACTGGGAGGATAGTATCAATGATATTTTTTTGAAGATTAAAATTATCACAGTTTTCGTATTATTTAAATAAACGTTCGAAATTTGTACGAATAAGAACAATAGCTGAGTGGATTTGACGAATAAGAGATCGAAATCGGAAAATAAAGGTTATAGCAGGTGCCATAGAAAGTACTTAAATTCTACCAGTGCTTAGTAATATATTTTAGTCCGGGCAGTAGTAGGTTAAAAAGTATATAGTGCTGAGTTAGCAGTTTAGGTCACATATATAAGGCTACCGCGTGCATCTAATTAAATTTAGAGATATTTATAGGTGATGACGTAATGTAGGACGACCATGACTAGTAGTGTCTGCGGTATAATAGTTATAGTAGAAGTGTTTAGATCTTAATAAATGGTGTTTGCACAAATCTGTCATAATATCATCTAATCAGACACATGGCAAATATCAATCCGCTTATATTACACACTGGAACTCATTTACATCGTATTAATACGCTTAGACGTGAAATAAAGCGTCTGCAACGTTAAATAATCAAGGAGATAAGATGTCTATTTCCCGCCAATATCTCAAGGACAATCTTATCTTTATAACCAGTAAATAAACTTGTCTTTCATCATGTTTAACGTCTGCTACTAGAGAACGGTTTACAGTTCCTTGATGATACCAATCAACTAATTAAAGGCGAGGCCCTAAACTTTACAGGGTAGTCATTGGTAGGGCCTATCAATGGTGGAATGAAAAGTGTAAAGAAATGGCCTATTTACCGTGTATGGCAGTTCCAGCTAGAAATATTAAGCCGTTGTCAAATCGTGACCCGGATACAGTCTTCTAAGAATCTTTATGTACGCTAGTTTTATTCCCCACTAACGTGTGCTATATTTGGGATGCCTGCTTTAAGTTTCTTTGATGGTAGGCTACCACTCAAACACTGGGCCTACTCACAACAGACTTGAACACATTGTAACTGTTCTTGAGCTACCATTTACTCGTATTAACACGGTACCGTAAGCTCATTAGGACAGCCATTATCTAAGACTAACAAACAATCTACCTATCATTAATAAATCGTTAAAACAGGAATTAGAGAAATTGTCTTGACAGCGAGGTTGAATATGACGTCATTATCATGACAGACGTGGAATGTGATTAACCGCCCTCCTGAAGATTTTTGCTAATGAAAGGCGTTTCCGCGCCATATCTGTAGGGTTGGCCCGATATTGTTTTTCTTTGAACTTAATTCCAGGCGTACATTATTTAAATAAATAAGTCGGATAATATTAAACGTGTTATATAGAATTCCAGTAATTTGGTAAGACTTGAATAATTTAATTACCCAGAATTCAACATGTAATCAATTACAGGTGTTGATTTTAGCAATTGGTTTCATATTAAACTTGGGTGTTGGATTCTCTTCTATATAAAACTTACTTCTGCTATTTAGATTTATGAACATATTCATCAGGTTAGCTATATGATATCTTGTAAATGAATGCCGCAAAGCCACTTAAGAGTTGGCCCGCCCTGTCTCGTGGAACACGGATGTGTGGGATGACGTCATAGATATACATGAATCGATGACATGTTCGTTTTACATACGGATGCGAACAATCTCTAGTTTAAAGAAAATTCTGTTCTACAATGTGAAGTGTTGTAGAAATTACATCGCCAGAGCTGTGATACCTTCGCAAAGACATTCCACTGTACGAGGGGGGGGGGGGGGGGAGTGTTTTCGGGGGTGCTGTAAAATTAACGGACGATATATATCTATTGTTTTTATGGTCGACAATTTAGTTACGGGCCCGCACTGTACAAACAGGCCAGTGAAAATGATTTTAGTCTCGATTTAACGACCGAAAAACACATTTCATGCCTTGATTAAACATACATTATGCAAGGGCTAAAACTGCCTATTGCGGGTCTTTCGTTAGGCCTTTCTTTAGGCCTTAAATGTTATATAAACTATTAATTAAACATTCATTAACATAAGAAGACCATAATCAACTCTCAGTGCCATCTGATGGGTCCGATTTTCAACAGATTTGAATCCGATCTGCGGTTTAACGACCGTCTATTATTAACCGTAAAATCGATAATCGAGACTTGGTTTATTATCGTAACAACTGTAACAATGACAATCGAGGCTTCAGCGTTATTAAGATGAAGATTTCTCCACTCCGAGTGAAGTATTTTGACTGAAATTTTCAGCATATTCCCATTACATAATCTATTTTTTAACTGTTATAGCGAAAACTGTCAGATCTTTATCTAATCGTCCATAATGCCGCTTTAAGATTTTTAAAAAAAATGATGGCTTCAGTAAAGCTTGACGGTTTTATTAAGACTAAAATTGGCCCAAATGGTAAAGTATAAACTGGGAAAATAACTGTTTGGAAATATTTCTTTGGAAAAACTAAAACAAATATTATGTAAATATCCAACGAACAAGAGTATATATTTGAGTTGTATTATTTTCAGGAAGATGAAAATGACTCAGATATATTATCTGACCTATTTAATACAGATGGTAAGTTAAATAATACTTTGTCTACTCTTTTCAAGGGGGAGAGAGAGAGGGGGCGGGGGTAACGTCAACGCGACACAAACTAGGTCATTCTGTGCCTAAAATATGGTTCAATTTAATTTCAATATTTCACATACGCGTAGGGGTCTTTAGCAGTGGGAGGCAACCGAATGACCTGGAGAAAATCTACGAGGTTGGACAGGCAACCCTACTCCTTGTCACGTACAAGCCGGGGTTCGAAACCACACCACTTGACGCAATGAGAGACCCTATGATTTCACACACACACGTTAAACCACTAGATCACCCAACCCGTCTTCTCTTTTCAAAGATGGTTTATGGATCGCCCAGTTGCTTACAGGTGGTACTTGTAGGATTCTCCTAACCAGAACATGCTTTGAATTATTGAAATGATCTTATGCTTGTTCCGAAATAACCTATAGTTTGTGTGGAGTAAACTTCAATCACTGTTTCGTTCCTTACGTTTCTATTATATAAAGACCTTTCGTTCCTTGTATTTCTATTATATAAAGACCTTGAATAACTTATCACTATTTCATGGCTATAAAGACATTGATTAACAAGTCACCATTTCATACCCTGTATTTCTATCCTACAAAGACCTTGATTAACTTATCATTATTTCCTTCCCTGTATTTCTATTATATAAAAACCTTGATTAACTTATCACTATTTCGTTCCTTGTATTTCTATTATATAAAGACCTTGATTCACTATTTCGTTTCTTGTATTTCTATTATATAAAGACCTCGAATAACGTACTACTATTTCGTAACTATGAAGACATTGATTAACTAATCACCATTTCATAACTATAAAGACATTGATTAACTAATTGCCATTTCGTATCTATACTGACATTAATTTATTTATCACCATTTCGTACCTTGTAATTCTATTATACAAAGACCTTGATTAACTTTTTTCTCTGATGTATTTTTTCAGTTGAAACAGCAGTGCATCATTTACAGAAACGATCATATACCAATCGGATCGATGCTAAGATAGAAGTTCTGGTAGTTGTAGACAACTCCATATATAGACATTATATGAAGAAAAGTCGTAACAAGGAACGTGTGGCTCTTGCCAGAATAAGAAGATATTATGGAATGGTGTTTGCTATGGTAGGTTTTGATTATCATAAATTGTAAAAGTTTGGGATGAATCTGTATTGATTGTGTTTAATCTATCAGTTCGTACAGATAATAAACATGCTGACGTTTCACAGTGAGCGAATGAGTTCGAACGAAAAACCCAGAAATAATATGGCCACACTTTCCTCAGGAGTTTCCAGAATTATCGATGGATGTCTAGTTGTTCGGATAGTACAAAAACTATTATTCACCCGTGCATATGTTGATGTGCACGTAAAAGAACCACCAGACTAGACGGAAACGCCGCTGTTAACGAATTGCCCAACTTCATTATCCCGGTTAGAGCGTTTGGCATGAGAACTGTCACCACGTGTTCTAGAAAGGTAAACATGGCTTGTACTTGGATTTCAGAAGCGCGCACCTTCATAATTCTGAAAACATCGAGGCTTTGATCTTTTGTAAAAGTGTTGTTCTTGATGTAAATGATACTTGACATTGACAATGGTGACCTTACAATGTAATTGTTGTATCTGAGATTATTGACGTAAGAGAAATATTTAATATAGTTGTCGGCAGATGTTTTATATATAGACTTTCTCTCTTCATAAAGTGTTTCTCTAAAAAAAGAACATTCACATATTTTACTCACATATACCATCTCAAATTTATTTATATCTGCAGGTGGACCAAAGATTCCAAACTATTACAGATCATGAAATATCAATCACGGCTAAAATATCTGGAATCCATATAGCTAAGGTATGCTCGTTTTTTTTTAAAAGCCAACCGGAAATGTTCTTATAAAAACTAAAGGGAAGTATCAGCCTGGTCGAGAAAGGCTATCATCACTAAGGAAGTGATGTAATACACACCATGCAGCTGTAAACGTTCCACCTTGATGGGAAAACGAACGTCATTAATACAGGAATATGATGGGCCATTATGCATTCCTCGCATGTATTTCTTCTGACAATAAAAACATCCCTATTTGTTGATCATCTTTTATGGCCAATGCTATTGTGTCATTTTCTTGATTGTAGGCCTAACCATCAAAGGAAGCGATTTGGAATATTAGAAATTGTTCTGTGGTAAAAATTTTTAGCCTAGATTTTTACCTTGTAGACTAATGAACAAAGTGAGTTGGGGGAGAAGCACAACAGGGTACAAAGCGCATAATGCTCTATCTCGAACTAGTAGATGTTAGTGTTGTTAATCTTGATTGAAAATTGGTAAAAAGATATGGCCAATCTGATTAAAACACAGATCCTATTTCGTTTCGTTTTTTATCGTTCAAAATTTCGTTTTACTTAACTTTACAACACTAGGATCTGGTAGAGTTGCCATATAACCCGCGTTCTGGTTGATGTGATAGATTAACCAATGAAACGGTCTGTTGGCGTGCGATGCACGTAACTGTGGGTATCCTACTAGAAACACCAACGCTGATTGTTTAATCCAATGTCTGACGTCATAGGGTCAAAAGCTGCTCGTATGACCTCTGACGCTGCCTCCCACTACAACTGGTCAGATCTTCATATAGTAGAGGCCATTGAAAGTATAAAAATCTTAATCAGATTGAGATTTGACCTACTAAAAATGGGGATCCATGGTTGCAGAATAAAAAATGAATCATAAACTTGTTTCTGAAAACACCACCATTGTCAACGAACGCATGGGTGAAACTATATATGTATATATAGCATTTAACACTTCACATCCTAATCTGAATGTTTAAAATCTAATCTTGATTTATCATATTGAATGATTTAAAGCTGAACTAATAAACAACTACTCAACATCTTGAAGGTCACGTTCTGTAATATAGTTGAGAATTATCTGCCCTTGATCTTAGGGAATCTAGACCATCCAGCAGCAGACACTCGTCATTATTTTAAAATTAAGATAACTGTGTAAAACAGCTTCTTCTTAAAGACAGCCAGGGTGATTAGAGATATTATCAATCATTTATCTATTAACTAATTCAACCCTTGACCTACTGCTGTATGTAGGACTACAATTTGCTAATTTAGAAATTATAACCAGACGCTTATTTTAAGAACATTCCAATTTCCAACTAAAGTACGTGTAACACGAGGTCAAGAAGAATTTGAAAACCAAATCAAACAGCGAATTAACAGGGCAACGATTAACGCTGTGGGCAAAGACGTGATTTTGACTTCCGGTAGACAAAAGGGTCAAAAGTAGCAATGAGACAGCCAATTGTTTGGATTTTTTTAAACTAAAGACAGATGTCCGATTGGTTGTATTCTGCTATATCCAGATGTCTTGTATATGGGCGTTGGGTACTTTAAAACAGGACGGTCATAAACCCCACTCAGAAATATTTTCACATCTTAATTTCATCAATAGAATTCAGGTTTTACGGACGAAGATGATTACTATAAACAGAAATCGTCAGCACTTAAGTCGCGCAGAACTTTCAAAACCAGAGTATGATTCTTTAATAAGACAAGAGTACCATAAATACAAAATTATAAATTAGTAAAACAGCCCCTGAATAAAAATAATATTACAATAATATCAGGTGTTATAGAAAGAAATGTTATATCTGCCCGTCAACAAATAAATGTGTAAAACTCAAGTTTTTGATTGAATAAAACGACTTGGTTTCAATCCCAGATTCAGTGACAAGGAGTGGGATCTCTTACCTGTCTAACCTCCAGGATATTCTCCGGGTCCTCCGGTTTTCTCCTATTGCTAAAGACCCCTACGTGCAAGCGAATTATTGAAATAAAGATGTGCCCTATGTTAGTGCCGAAATGACCTAGTTCGTCTTGAATGTACACGTACGTTGAATCTCATTTCTTCCCGCCCTCGACCACCTCCAACAACCTAACCGTAGCTGACCGAAAGAAAGATAACATCTTTAGCTGTTTTTATATTACAACCTGCTCATTCTGTCTGTTTTCCCGCGCTTCGGCTGTCTAATATTATAATATTAAAATATGACCGTGTCTGGCTGTCTGTCTATGGTATATATAATAGTATAAGTTCAAAAGCCAAAAGGTCAGTAACCTATATTGGTATTTCCTATGATAATTTCAGTCTCGGCAAGATTCGGCCTGGTTAGAATATGTAGTAGAATGGGGTAAAAGTGGAACCATTGGACGAGTCGATGCCAACGTTGCTCTCAGAAGTTTCCAGAAATGGTTGAAAACCCAAGAAGATTTACCTAAATACGATCACGCCATCGTCTTTACCAGGTATTGAATATAATTGAAATTTAAAAAAACTTAAACAATAATCGATTACAATCGATGTTTTCGATTTTTAAATCATTGGGTATATTGATATATATATATATACCTACACCAGCCCACCTATTATTGATCCGGGGATAACACCGCAGTCTAAAATGCCCAAGGTTGAAACACGAAGCACCGTGATAACTCTCCAAACTCCTATCCCAGTCTCTAAAGGGGGTCTAGTTATTCAGATGGGACTAACAACTAAAGTCCTGGCAGCACATTACTAGTGGTCTAATAGATATACCGGAGAATTCCAAGAAGAATCTGAAGAAATACCGCAGCCCGATCAGTCAAAAAATCCTGGTACATCTTTTCAAATAGCCGTCTTTCATGAGCTCAGTTGGTGCAGAAAAGTAGGACATTAAAACCCATGTCATTAAAATTTCTTTTCAAATGGGTTTTTCCATCTGAGGCGGTCTACATGCTATATTTCCCAAATTCGGCCACACGATTTTTGTCCTGGTCAGCGGGTTGTACTTTTCATTTTTTTTTTTTTTAAATTTGTATCTTTTTCTCCAGATATCTGTTGATAAATCGTGGCAATGTAGAAGTGGGTGGTAAGTAATATAGTATTTCTATCTCTACTTTAAATCTTTAAGTCAAGTTCAGCCATTAATCTCTGCAAGTACCAACAGTTTCATCTTTTATTACTTAAGTACTGATGAAACACAATCTGTTACTAACATCATCGTCGTACGGCCAGGAAATAATCTTTGCTATTGAAGTTGTGTTAATTAAGATAACCGTCGCTAATTATTGCCAGTTAAAGCGGGATTTTGGATCCGGGCTTCAGACATGTCGGTCCCAAAGATCACAAGCCAGTAGCGTACCTTTGTGGCGGAGTTGTGTGAACGAGTAAGCATAATCTTCTTCAGGTACGACACTCGTTAATAGAGCGAATTGCTAACTAGTACTTCATGACTAGTAATTACTACGGATCTTAACTCACGAGGATGGGTATTATAGAAGGGGTTAAAAACGTATTCCTTACAGCGTAATTTTCTTGGAAAGAGTTCAAGAAAGTTAATAGAAAAAAGAACAAATTTCAATTAAAAGGTCCTCGCTTAGTACTGATTACGTCATTAGAAGATGGGGGGATTTGGGAGGGCTATAGAGTACAGTTGTGTAAGATATATATAATACGTAGATGTATAGGTAATTGAGGTAATTGCAATCAACGTTAATGGAAAATATGCGCGTAATGGCAGGTATATTTTGTAGGTTAATATATATGCACCGATGGGGCAGTCAACTCACTCACTAGTGTTCGGGAGTCGTGGGCGTTAATCTATTTCATAACAATTTTCAAAAGGTCCAAATTCCTGAGATACAAAAACCCATGGCGACAATTCCTTTGACCTTGGAAGTCAGAATTTTATAGCACGTGGTTCGGTGGTTATTCTTAACTGCATGGTTGGGATGGATGAATAAGGAGCGAAGTCACGATTAGTCAAAGAACACTTTATTAACCACTGGAATGCATTACTTTGTATATATCATCGCCCCTACTTCGTTTTCTAGCCATATCCACGGACATGAGCAGTCTCTTATATATAAAGTAAATATATTATTGATGGCCAACATTGGTCTTCCGTGTTACGGGCGTAGTTGAGTATCGAGCCCAACAACAATACACCGATTGGTGACTCGTTTATAGGCATCCAAACATCACTCATTGTCATGATAATCTGGTCAAGGATAGCAACATGTTCCTCAACTCGTCGTCGAATATTAACTCTAAAGTTAGTTCTCTTACCGATTGTATAAATATATGTTTTTTCATACGATCCAAACTAGTGGGTAACACTTTCCTTGTCAGTCCCACATGTGCTACCCTTAACAAGGATTCTTCCGACCCACTCTGTTATTCGAACCCGCGTGGGAGGGGGTGGGGTGGTGGTTAACGCGTATCACTATCAGATGGTCTGTCATTGAGTAAAGTGTCGTGGTATCGATTCTCCTCTTGTACGTGACAATGAGTAGGATCGCCTGTCCAACCTCGTGGGTTTCCTCCCACTGCTAAAGACCCCTATGCGGAAGCGAATTATTGAAATAAAAATTGAACCATATGTTAGTCCCGAAATGACCTAGTTTGTGTCATGTGTACGTTAAACCCCATTTCTCTCTACGTCTAACAAGAGGGAACAGGCACTAAAGTTTCTTTTTGGTCTAAGCAGGGAGTCGAACCCGGGGCATTTTAACCGAGGCTCCATTGCCCTTAGAGCTCGACTACAACGGTCGACTGATTGACGGGCATAAAAATAAAATGATTATTAAAGTTGGTGCTGTTTTGTTTTAGGTATGGCGTTTGTTGACTCGATTTGTAAGACAGACGAAGGCAGTAGTTCTTCCATTGTGGCTGACTTGGGAGACTTTCAGTGTGTCAAGGTCGCTACCCACGAATTGGGTCACAGGTAAGTGTTTTGTCTGTCTAGAGAATAAAAATATAAAAACAATGTCGGAGCAGACACGAAGTTAAAGTTTACAATATGAAACATGCTGAGCCGAGCCGATCTGATCACCAGCACGTGATGACCGTCTGACGTAAAAGGTCAAGGAATAAATATAGAATATAGAAAGAGAGAGGCAGAATTACTGACCGCCGTGTTGCGTCATCATCTGAAACTGGGAATATGAATGGGGGTGGTGGAATGTGAATGTTTCGTTCTCCTAATTCAAGAGAGAGAGAGAGAGAGAGAGAAAAAGAGAGAGAGAGAAATGGGGTTTAACGTCCACTCGACACAAACTAGGTCATTTCGGGACTAACATATGGTTCAATCTTATTTCCATAATTCGCTTGCGCGTAGGGGTATTTAGCAGTGGGAGGAAACCGGAGGACCCGGAGAAAACCCACAAGGTTGTACAGGCGACCCTAATCCTTGTCACGTACAACCGGGGAATCGAAACCACGCCAACCATGCTAACCATTCAGCCATCCAACCCCCCCCCCTCCAAATTCAAAGCGGGTCGTGGTGGCTCAGTGAGTAACACTTTGGTTCGCTAACCTGGAGGTCCCGTGTTAGATCCCGGCCTTGGCCAAGAAAGTTCATCGGGATTTCTCGGCGTGGTGCAGGTATAGCCATTCGGATGGGACGAAAAACCGAAGTCCTGTGTACACGTAAAAGAACCCTTGACCGTTGTGATTTGAGATAGGAGTAGGCCGTAGTGCCGTTGTCCGGGTAAAAGTTCCCTCATGGTAGACTGTATGTTCGGTGGAAAACAGTATATCATCATATCATTGTAAATATTGAACGGAATTGAGTCATTTTTGGAATGATGTTCCTTTAGGGGATCGGTTTCCGGGATAACAAAACTCCTCTAATGACGGATCAGTGTCTTCTGACGGATTGAGCGGTCTTTAAAGGAGAACGAGGGGTGATAAGGGGGCTTTCACTCCCTTCATTCTACCTACCCGTGTGAAACTATTATTTGGTTATATAAAATATACCGTGTAGTGTAATGGAGTTAGAATGTCTAAGTGGGTGTTCTATAACTCTCAGATCAAACTAGTTTGGCATTACCCTATCATGATTGAAGTCAAGTATGTTTCTTGGTATGCCAAACTTCGTCATGATAGCAACCTGTTGTCTGTAGTTTAGAATATGGGCACGGGAGTTAAGAGCGCACTCGAAATTAGAATATCCTAGGTTGGAATCTCGATGTAGGGTGGTTCATAATTTAGAATTGTCAGGAGGATTGGGGGCAGGGTCCCTTATGAAAACGACAGGGAAGGTATGTCTAGTCGTTTCGATTGATACAAAAACTTACAAATTATACTGTGTTGTTTCAAGTTTTACGGTAACTATATGAGTTGCGGTAATTGCGTAATCGGTCAAGTTTTGACGTTATATTTTCTACTTCTCACATTTGGTGGAACTTGCAAGCTTAAAACTTTTTTGTTTTTTGCATGTACAGAATTTGATGCCGTAAAGTGATTTGCTGGCTATTTTCATTTCGAAAACTTGTATTTTTACCGTACATTCGACAAGAACCGAACGCCGAGTTAGAAGGGAATTTTTGAGTGAAATGGAATGGGGTTTGACGCCCTACATTTCCCTAAATGAAGATGGGCTTTAGGAGATATTTTTCTCTGACAGCAGCGTTCTTGCCTATTCTTTATCGAATTCTAATTGTTAAGGGTTCTTTTACGTACACACCAACGTTTATTTTAAAGATTCTTTGGTAGGTGGGAAAAAACCACACTAAAACTTCTGCCTCCAAAATGACACGGACCACCTCTAGTAGATCTGGAAACACTCAATAAGTTTGATTTAAGTTGCTGAATCATACAGAAGGCGGTTTCATATCAAAACTTTATTATTGTTTTATAAGCACGATTTTCCGTCCCCGGTTTCCTATGGTCCATAGGGCGCGGCTTTAAGTATGTATACAATAACAACGATATCTGAAACCAATTGTATTTTACCTGTGTTTCCAGTGATAAACATTATAACACGTGTCTATCGTACGACAGACGAGGTTACTCTGACATCCAGACTGTTTATATTTAGATATTAGTAATTCTCGAATCCGTGAGCTTTTTCATGGAGCGCCGCCATATTGCCCCAGCTGGCCAGTCGCAATGTCACGATCTCTAACACTGTTTAATGCCGAAATCACGAACTAATTGTTGAAAACATGGAACATAGAATTGGCTCGGTTTCCCTAAACACATAAACAGTATTGGTTGTATCCATGGGAACTGTTGCTAACATGGCTTCCTAAGTTTATAGCCTACATATCTAGATTAATTTGATCAGACTTTATTTTGGTCGAGGCCTAGGGGCAAAGAGAAAGTGTTGTTTTAATAACAATACGATATCGAGGCCTATATATACATCATTTGATAAGAACATTGCCAAACACATGCTAATTTAAATGACCTTCGTCGGTGCGTCTGAGATGACGTCAGTATGTCGCGGACATCTTGTTGGTGTACGGTCAGGATGATTTTTGTTTGTTTAAACTTTCGTTTCCTTTCCCTTGGAAAATTAAACCCAAATTTGAACGTCGGTTGCTACGATGTCGTTAATTAATGACATTTCCACATGAAATAAAACGAAGGGTTGTGAAATCAGTGCGACAATTGATGTCGAGTGGTTCCAATTAAATCTGCTACAACAAAGACGCGGGAAAATTGGAATCACATTGCCGCCTGGCACTTGTTAGATCGGTTTACTAGATAGTCGGTATACGGTGTGAATTCAGTGTACTTTTAACACAATAAACATGGCCGTCTTCACCAAACCCTCTTCAAACGTCTACCATTACGACCTAACTATTCGGTCAAGTAGCTGCTGAGTGCAATTTCTGCAGACATCCTCCCTAAGGTTTTGAACTTTTGATAGCTTGACTGTCGAGATGCAGCCGAATCTGTCTTCAAAGATGTTTTTGTTTTAATAACTGCGACTAGAGGCAGTATCGCTGGTCCCTTCACCTTATCCAACTAGCAGATTTAAAACGGTTTTGAATTATCAGCAATTATTTTTGATATTCCCCATGATACATCCCATTCGAGACTGAACCCTGTTTTCTTTATATTGCTGTGTAATCTCTGATTTATGACGAACGTGGGTTCAAGAGGCCATCATAAGCACGTACATCGTAATATAATCTTTAAAAACTGATTTATTTCTAACGGTAAATTTTGTTCTCGCGATTGCCTAGTTCCTGGATTTTTTTTCTCCTCAGATAGTGATGGGTGGTTCAAGGTTTGTTACAAATGATATTGGCCTTTCATTTAAATCTTCATGCATGGCAAGCCTGGGCTTGGTTTTTAAGAAATATGCTATTTCGAGTTAACACAATTAGGAAGGGAAATGAACAAAAAGTCAGGCCATTTTGAGACTAATTGATATTTCTATCGTCAAATAGTGGGGTGGTGTGTTGAGTCGTGCCGTTCCAGCCCTTTCTTTCAAATTTTTTTCCGTACTATCCGACCAAGTAAAGACCAACAGAACCGAACCCCGCATTTCAAATAGTCTTTTTGTGAAAATGATTTTTGGTTGTTTTTCAGTCTGGGAGCCCAGCATGATGGAGAAGGTATAAGTTCTGATTGTCCACCAGACGGAAATTACGTCATGGCACCACAGAATACCAATGATAAGAATAAACTTAAAAACGCCTTTACCTTCTCACACTGTTCTGTGCGTCAGATGAAAGCATTGCTAAGGTAAGGGGGATGCCAACAAAGTTCCTGCAAAATAATAATTTACACGGAGTTCCATTGAAGATATATGAATCCTGGCTTTGTTGCTCTTAATTAATGTGTTTATCCCAAATATTCCCGCCAGGTCAGTCTGATTAAAACACAGATCCTATTTCGTTTCGTTTTTTTTATAGTTCAAAATTTCGTTTTAATTGTCTTTGTTGAGGCCATCGAAAGTATAATTAAACGAAACGAAATATAGATCTGTATTTTAATCAGATTGCCGCCAGGTGGACCATTAATTCTAGAGAATAAACAGTCATGTCTTTAAAGTTGAAAATAAGACGGTGTGAGGGCGGTCCTCCCCGCTCGGGACGTAACATTTTTGGAAGCAATTTTGTAACAGTAGAAGGATACTAGACGCCTAACCCAATTTTATTTTTCCACGAAAACACTGATTTGTGTTTAAAAGTTTAAATAAACTTAATTAGTACTGTTATATTGTCCATTTTTGGGTATGCACATGGCGGTACCACCCCGGACGCAACAAGCACTCACGGTCTGTAACATGGAACAGAGATTATTTTTATGTGGTCTATAATGTCTTACTAGAAGATTTATCAGCGACATGTAATAAATAAATCCGAGCATCCTCATCAAACCTTCAGGTATCTCAAGCGTTGTGTACGAACTACTTAATAATTAGGGTATAATGTAGCCTTACACCAACTTGTAGGTCATGTAGGAATTCCCGGTCAATTACATTCTATAGAACTGATAGGGTTAACGAGAGTATAATGAGGCATGGCACGATAATAAAGAGATGATTTATGGGTGATTTCAGGACAGATCTGGGTAAATGTGTTCAAGATAGACCTGTTGTACATTACCAATATAATCTAGAGAGGCGACCACCTGGTCAAATCTATTCTGCTTCTGTCCAGTGTAGACTTATATTTGGGAAGAAATCCGGGTTTTGTAACGTAAGTAGAGTTAGTATATGTTTTGTAGCAGGTTGTGCTGTTCTAGATCAACATCGTTATGTCAATCAACACACCACTGGCAAATCAGAGAGAGAGATGGGGTTTAATGTCCACTCGACACAAACTAGGTCATTTCGGGACTAACACATGGTTCAATTTTATTTCAATAATTTGCTTGCGCGTAGGGGTCTTTAGAAGTGGGAGGAAACCGGAGGACCCGGAGAAAACCGACGCGGTTGGACGAGCGACCCTACTCCTTGTCACGTACAACCGGGGAATCGAAACCACACTAGTTGACCCATTGACATACCTTATGATACAGCGCGCACGTGCTAACCATTCGGCCATCCAACTCCCCTCGACCAATCAGGATTATCAGCATGTTATGAGAGCCACGGAGACTCAGTAAAGACAATGTAAATGATCATAAGGTCCCTTGTTCGATCCCGGTGTTTGCCGAGAAACTTTCTAGGTATTTTACAGTCTGGTTTCCATTTGTTAGTGGTGCAGGATGGAGTTCTGACAAGGAAAAGGTGTCTAGTCGTTCGGGTCTGCCCATAAATTCGTTGGTGTGCACGTTAAAGAAGCCTTGACTGATTAGAATATCAATGAACAGTACGCTGAAACAGCACTTTCTAGGTCAAAATTCCCCTCATAGCACATTGCATGGATTATGCCCATCTTCATTAAACTCGTCGGTGAAGAATAAGAGTGTGTTAAAAGTTAGGGAAAAACACTGAAAATTTCCTAGGAACTTTCTTTGTCATCAGAACCAGCGACCTACCGACTGAGTCACCGTGCCCCCCCCCCCCTCCTCCCAGTGAATCGGATGAAGTGCAGAAAAACCAAAGCCCCCTGTTCACATCTAAATTCAAAGGAATTCGAGAGCCATTTTCTAAAATTTGTACAGCTACGAAAACCATCAAACCAACTTATCTAGTTTTATCAGAAGCTTTCATTCTGTTGTATGGGTTTTTATATTATTAATTGTTGAATTTATTGTTTCAGAAAGGTAAAATGAAATCGTATATGTGTGGTCAACTATGGTGTAAAGATCCTATCAATCCTAGAACATGCCGAACCCATTCCTATCTTACAGCTTTACCTGGTACTAAATGTGGCAGAAGCCGGGTACGTTCTTTAATATTAACGTCTTAATTAGCCCAGTCGAAGCAGTAGGGTGTTAAATCCTACTTCTTTAATATGAGGTTCTTTAATATTCAATTGTTTTCATTTGTGATCATCTGACGGTTAGTGTTTTCGAAGACCACACATTGACGTAACCCCGTTGCTCTGGTAAAAGCTCGGATTAATGAGTGGTGCAGAGGTACAAAGGCCACCGCCCCAATTTTGTGCCAAATAAAATTCTTACACGCTTTTTTTATAAATGCAACGCTAAATCCATACGCTTGGGCTTCAGTGGGCCCCCTCCGCTCCCCTGGCTCCTATTTCTGAAAAGATGACAGCCCCCCCCCCTCCCCTTTAAAAGAGAGAAAGAGAGAGAGATTGTCCATAATGTATTACAAAACAAAACCTATTTCGGAAAAGATGACAGTCTCCCCTCCCCTTTAAAAAGAGCGAGAGAGAAAGAGCGAGAAAGAGAGAGAGAGAGAGAGAGAGAGAGAGAGAGAGAGAGAGATTGTCCATAATGTGTTACAAAACAAACCCTCTGAAATTCTTTGATTATCAATGTTCTCACTCTGTTTTTCAGACATGTCATCTAGGCGAATGTGTACGACACCCTAACAGTGCTGTTTTATTTAAACCATCCATATCTAACTCCATATCGTTAAATAATTCACCGTATAAGACAAGAACTAATTTAAATAATAAAATACATAGATTATCACCCGCTAGAGGGCGTCTAGCTAGACCCAGATCACGAGCAAGGGCACGATCTCAAAGAAAAAAACCCGGTAAGTACAAATAACAGTAAACATACAGTAACTAGTGTCGTGTAGTGTAAGAGATACGCATTACACAGAACTCATAGAAGAAACGAACCAAATCTTGTTTCTTTTATAACGATGTATTTAAGAATTCATAAACCAGGTTTAAAAGAAATGAAATGGGAGTTTAACGTCCATCTTTCCTGCAGCAACCGGGTTGATGAGGACGAATATATGCCATGCCGTGTGCTATAAGAGAAATTCTGTCCGGACGATGTCGTTTCTGCTGAGGGGTCTTTTACGTGCACGCCACGATTTCTAGCCCCATCCGAACGACTAGACGTTGTTATTCGACAGGCCCTCCGTCCTGCATCACTGGATAGGAGAAGCCGCGCTGTACCCGTTTTTCGTTATTTGATAATATATTATTTTTTTTCTCTTTTCCAGAAAACTGTAAAGATAAAAACGAGACTTATTGTAGTGGTTTATTGAGTATAAATCCACGTGCCTGTCGCAGACGTCAACTAAATGAATACTGCTGTAATACGTGTTTCAGCCGACGGCGGTAAGGATGGTGAAAACATCCTGGATTAAAAAAAAACGATATCTTAAACTCTTAAAATTATCCAAAATCATTTTGAAAACAGTAACCGGATATCGTCGGTAAAGGTGATATAAACACCACACCGTTAGACCACCGTAAATATAGACAGAGCGGCCATTTTGAAATGCCGGGAAATCGTCAGATGGAAATGGCCGACATTAATGAAAGAAAAGTGGGTAGAAAGGTGTATTATGTTTGGTGGAGATGACCGAGTGGGAAATGTGCAATATCTTAGATATATTCCTATGATATTCATACCGTGTATACCTGATTAATTACTTTAAAGGTACAAAACCTATGACGTTTTTAAAACTTATGTGTCTCATTGATTACATTATATTGACTCATTTAAGGGTAACGGGCGATTTAACGGAAGCACCGAAAGTACATCTGGTTACTGACGTGTACTTTCGCCTTTAACATAAACTTTAAAAAGAGTAATCTCTCTAATTTGGTGGCATCTAAACACCTACACATCTTTGATGCAGTACGATGTCGTTCTACAAATATACGAACACTTCAGATTAAATTAACACTTTTTGTTCAACTTAAGTTTTCTTCAAAGAAACCACCACTGATTGCTGGCTTTCGATATGGTATTAGGAATTTACTGTATTTTAGACATACCATGAATTACAAAGTTGAATTACAATGATTTTTTATGACCCAGGTTGATGGTATTCAGAATTTACTGTATTTTAGACATAGCATGAATTACAAAGTTGATTAATTCTTAAGTTGAATTGTAATGGGGTTTTTATGACCCAGATTGATATGACGTAATAACATTATAAAAATATGGAGATATTTAAACATTCCAATTTGTATAAAGTGTAAAATAAACCAAGGTGTCCATATTGTGTCAGTATTATTTATTGTTGTATTATTTTAATCAAAAAATAAGTTGTCAATTTTTTTAAAATAGATTTAATTTTTTTACCATGTTGTATTTTTAGTACGTGTCATTATTTAAGCTATAGTATTGTGGGGTTTTTTTATAAATAGTTTTTATGTGTGTTTGTCATTATTATAGGAATTGGATGTTGTGTGGTTTAGCATCTCTCTCAACATAAAACTTTGTAAATTTTTTATTATTTCTGGGTGTGCAATGTGATGAGAAGACTATGTTTGGGGAGTGGCATTTCCACCTACCCCCTTCTGCTTAGTCACGGTTATTATCCCACCCCGAACGGATGTAAAGGGAGGGGTATAGAAACGAGCTCCGTCCTTCGTCTCAGATCTGTTTCTGCGGGGAGATCTCAAGAACTACTCATACCGACCAGGTATAGACGCTAAAGCGGCAATTACGAACGCCAGAACAATTTGTTGCCGTTAATCAACCTTTAAATCATACTAATCATTTAATATATTATCTATTTTATCTCTCTATCACGTCTCTTACTGTTAAACAAACGTTGCTTTGGTGGCCTACCGGTTTAAGAATAAAGAGTTTGCAATATTTATATCTAAGTAATGTGGCGGTTTGTAGTAGATTCAATTTTGTAGATGACCATAATATAGCATGTTTTAACTGGGAGAATTTGGGTTTTTAAAATTAACAACTATTGCTAAAGTTCTGTGTCGAGTGAAAGTGGGAGGGGGGGGGGGGGACCGAATGAGTCAAGTGGCGTGTTTTTGATTCCCCGCTTGCACGTGACAAAGTATATGATCCCTTGTCCAACCTCGCGGGTTTCCTCCCACTGCTAAAGACCCTTATGGGCAAGCGAATAATTGAAATAAAATTGAACCGTGTGCTAGTCCCGGAATGACCTAGTTTGTGTCGAGTGGACGTTAAACCCATTTTCTATGTCTTTCTGTGTCGAACGAGGATATAGTTATATATAGTTGATCTCAACTGTAGACGGGGCAATAAGTAAACTTATGTTAATTAAGATAATAAATAGAGTTATGTAGACTGTCGGATGATAATGTGGTTATATTGTATAAAATCAAGTGATATACGGGTTTTGTGTGAATAAAACTTAAATATACTGATATATATCAGAATCTTCACTTAATGTAAGTATAGTATAGGTGTAATTAGAGGAGAATCTATAGGTACATTAACTATTATATGAGGTTGTCGGTAATGTATGAGGAGTGTATTCTAGTCCAGATACTACATAAATATATCTTATATTAAAATCATTATCGTCTTCGCCACAAAAATATCCTTTATTTGTCACAATAGATGAAAATTTCGTGTCCCATTTTAAGCCGCTACTAATTATCTTAATAAAAACTCGGCGATCACGATCATACATAGGGTACATTATGCTGATTTCTATCTTCGAAGTTTTTAACTTTATACCTGAAACTAATGGATAAATTTTACATAAAATGTTGGTCATTTAGTTCATGACAATCGGGAGTACTCGTCAGTCTAGTCGATTTTCACCGTTAAAAGATTTGGGTTGATACTTCTTAAGCCCGATTCCTACTACAGGTATCAATCGAATGAAATATCACTGGGTACGGCAAAATATTTCTGGACCTAAACGACTGAAGGAAATATCAGTGAGATTAAAGTCGAATTGCATTCAATTGACAACAATGATGAATCGCACTTGATATGTAACAATACCTTGACATCGATGTTAAAACTAGTTTCTATTATCCTGTCAAAAATATAAATTTTAAGCATAATTTTAAAAAAGCACATTGCATGCTGTTTACATGTAGAGATTATTGTTTATTTTTTATTTGTATATAAAACAGTTTGTTTATTTATGTAAGATTGGTATCAATAATTTGTAAACGTTATTTTTAGTGGATTTTGTAATAAATTGTTTCTTTAAGAAGCCTATAAGATGTTATGTTACACGACATTCGTCGGCTTTACGTGTAAGACTACCTGACTAAGCCACGCTGGCTCACGAACCGGGGGCGTTGGGGTTACATCCTAATCTTGACCGAGATTTTCCGGTGTGGTTTTCCCGTGCCATTTGTGCAGAACCAAGCAAGTAACAGTGTCTAGACGTTCAGGTGGGAAGGGAATTGTACGTTCCATGTACACGTACAAGAACGCATGAAAGTAGGCGAAAACGCCGTTTACCGGGCAAAACTACCTGAAGAGTACACACAAATATTAGGTGCAGATACAGCCTCGGGTGATTTGAAACTATTTGTGCAAAGGGTTACTCCCTACAGCTTTGAAAAATAAGGGAAGTTTAACCCAAGGGATTTTAAGGGCAATAAGTATAATTATACATGTATAACCAATAACAGAAGTTCCTTAATTTGAAAATGTCTCTGAGTCCTTGCATCAACAGTAAGAGGGGTGGGGGGGATATGCTGGTCGGTGTTAGTCACACTCACACATATTGAATATCAGTATGGTAGATCTTTTTACAACTATTTAGGGGTCCTGGCTGCAGCCCAGTCAATACTCTCCTTAATCCGGAGACCAACCCCGATTAAACAATAGCATATTTTACTATACTGACCTTTTATCAGACATATTTGCACTCTTGTGGTATTAGATGTCTTGATAAAGCGAACACTCGGGACTCTTTATTTATCCAACAATGGGCCCAGAGAAAAAAAATGGGTTTAGTTAAAGTCCACTCAAGTAAAAACTTGGTTATTTCGGGACTAAATTTCATTTACTGGGATCAAGGTGTCTTTAGCAGTGGGAGGGAACACACAGGATAGTCCTATTCCTCGTCCAAATTCTTTTTTTCTTTAAGTCTACTGACTCATCAGCTATGAAATGAAATGGGGTTTAACGTCCTACTGTTCTGCTCTCATTGGGCTAATGAAGACGGCCTTATGCCATGCAGTGTGATGAAGGAAATTTTGTGGGATTGAACCCGCGACCTCCAGGCTAGCAGCCAGCTTCTTACTCACCTAGCCACCGTGGCTCCTGACACACAAACAATATATACATAGCAAGTAAATACAAATACACAGATAAAAGAAGTATGGTGGTGGGGTTTAAATAAATTGCCTTAAAGATACATTATGGGAGATTAGATAAAGAGCTGGTAGTTCTCACTATAATAGTTAAAAAATAGATAATGTAAAGGGAATTTGCTAAAAATTTCAGTCAAATTGATCCACCCTGAACTGATTGAATTTTGGGCCTAGCCTCGATCATCATTAAAGTCAGTACGATAAAAAACATAGTCTTGATTATCCATTTTTTGATTTAACCAGAAGCAGGAGACTGGGTTCTAATCCAGTAAATATCGCAGGCTAGCAATGCCATCGAGAGTTGATTATGGTCTGGATGTGTTAATTAGGGTCTAATTAATAATTTAGATACAATTTCAGGCCTAAAGAAAGACCTGTAATGGGTAGATTTAGCTCTTGTATAATGTATGTTGAAATTGATAACCTAAATAGGATACAAAGATATAAACATAACAGAAAACATCAGTATATACAAAATTCATAAAATCTTTCGATAATCTATTTTTCTTCCTGATCTAAAATGCCCCAATCTGACTAAAATACAGATCTATATTTGGTTTCGTTTTTTTTTAAACTTTCGATGGCCTCTACTGGTGTAGTAAAGACAAGTAAAACAAAATTTTGAACTATTAAAAACGAAACGAAATAGGATCTGTGTTTTAATCAGATTGAAAATGCCCTTAAAATAGGGAAAAGAAACTAGATTATTACCATAGTAATGGTCATGTAACAGTCAAATCAAAGGGAGATTAGATCCAAACCTCTTGATACAATGTCCTATCTTGTACCATACAAAACGACTAGAGAGAACTTTCTTTAGTAAAGCAGTACTTTTATACTTTCTGGGTTAATTAACAGAAGATATAGAGGATATTTGTCGTTTTAGAGTGAATAACATATTTTATTTCATCGAGAAGCAAGAAAACTTATATTTTCACGAATGTGTAGCATGAGTGAAAATATAAACGTTTTCTTGCTTAGAGATGAAATAAAATATGTTATTCACGACAAAACGACAAATGTTCTATTTATTTTATGATTTTACAATCATTTTAGGTAAAAACAACATGGACTACTTTAGCCAGTGGAATAACACTTTTATTTCACTGATAAATGAAATGAAATGAAATGGGGTTTAACGTCCTACTGTTCTGCTCCTAACCTGGGCTAATGAAGACAGGCATACGCCATACAGTGTGCTATGAGGGAAATTTTGCCCGGACAGCGGCACTCCGGCCTACTCTTATATCGAATTCCAACTGCCAAGGGAGAACCACGCCGGAAAATCTGGATGAACTTTCTCGGCCAATGCAGGGATCGAACACCCGGCCTCCAGGCTAGCGAGCTAGCGTCTTACCCACTTAGCCACGTGATCCCCATTTCACTGATAAAACGCTGTATTCCACTACTGATCATAAAATAAATACTTATATTTGAGTACAATTTTTATTTTCTAAATTAACAGAAGATAACATTATAATAAACATATTATCAATTATTCTCAATCATTTTAGTTTAGATTTAAATTTTAGCTGGCCTGGTGTTAAGTATAAACAAGAGATCTTATGGCAAATCTTTCATCCTTTAAAAGTGGGGTTTAGCATCCACTCAAACTAGGTCATTATGATTCAATTTTATTTCTATAATTCGTTTGTTCGTATTTTGGATATATTTAGAGACAACAGGAGGACACAGAGAAAACCCAGGAGGTTGGACAGGCGACCCAACAGGGGAATCAAAACCATGCCACTTCTCTGAATGACAGATCTTATGGTCTAGTGTGCACCCCTTCAACCATTCGGCCACCCAATCCCCCTCATCCTTTAAGAGTATGTGTGTATGGAATTGGGTTTTGAGAGAAAACTTTCTATGAGGTTAATTATGCAATGCGAGAATGTCACCTTGATAATGGTGTTTCGATCTTCCCTTCTTCGATTTCCAACTGTCAAGGGCTTTTTTATATTCAATCAAAAGTGTACATGGGTTGACCTAGGTTTTCCATCCCATCCAAATGACTAGGCAATCAATAAGCATTCATTGGCCTGTTAAGACTGGTGAAGTGTGTTTGAAGCAGGAGTCCTCTCGCAACACTGCGTCCATTAGCCAAGACATAAATCAGCCATTGCCGACGCAACACATTTCAGTAAATCAATTTCATCATCAGCTATTTTCGCCAGTAACAAACATATGAACAGTTTTATCTGAGTTGATCATAACCGAAGTCCTATTAGCACCAACTATTTCCGACAGTTTCTGGGCATCATATTTAGAATACAGAACGGTACAGCTTAATTCTATGTGATCTAAATTTCTCTTTGGGTCCTTTAACATATTACAGACTTCGCTGTAGTAATGGGGATAGTGTGGTAATTCGTAAAACACAATATGATGAATTCCTCGAATTTTATACCTGTAAAGATAATTAATATAAATAAACAGATAATTCCTCATCAAATAAATTCATTCATTAAAAAAATATTTCAAAGAGAATAACCTCTTTGATTTATGTTAAAGTGCTGAATTGTGATGATGTTATCTCATATTTAAAGATCTAAATCTGCCTATTGGAGTTTTTTTTTCTGGTTTCTAATGTTTTATAAATGGAGCCACGGAGGCTCAGTGAGTAAGACCTGGAGGTCCCTGTTTGATCCCTGCTTCGGCCGAGAAAGTTAATTTGAATTTTCCGGCGGGTTTCCCCTTGGCAGTGGTGCAGGACAGAAAGTCTGACAAGGGACAATGTATAGTTGTTCGCAGGGGACAAAAAAGCGAGGTCCTGTATACACATTTGCGTGCACGTAAAAGATCCCTTGGCAGTTGGAATTCGATATAAGAGTAGGCCATAGGGCCACTGTCCAGGCAAAATTTCCCTCATATCACACTGTATGGTGTATGCCTGTCTGAGCAGACCAGCAGGTCGTTAAACTCCATTTCATTTAATTTATGTAAATTATCATTGAGACATTCACTCTTAACTTTGCTCTGAATAAAGTAATTTAACAGAAATTTTCAATATATTCATTTTGCATTATCATCTTTAAACTATTATAGCAAGAATGACTAGCTCTTTATCTAAATCTTACATAATGCATCTTTAATTAAGCTGATCTCATCCTATATTTACTATTAAGAATAAAGGAAAGATAACTCATCAATAAATAAATTAATTCATTAAATATTTTTAGTTGTATTATCGTTATTATTATTATCACCATGACATAACTAGTTAATTGATCTAACTCTTGATGTTTCGTATGAGTGGGGGCAGGGGGCATCTAATGTTAATGTACTTTGATAGATCGATATCTTAAATATTCAAGTAATGCTGGAAATGAAGAAAAGTTTATCGAGAAATTCTACTACATGTATTAAGAAAAAAACACAACTTTATGGATTAACTACACTTCTTAGTTTATCAATATATCTGTAAGAGTATTGAAATGTAGCATAAAATAAATTTAGATCAATAGTAAGTCCATAAAGTTGTTTTTTTTTCTGTTAATGTTATACCTCTACTTCCAAATGTCATTTAAGGATATGAAATTCTAATTTGTAAAAACTTTATTAATAGTTTTTTTTAGACCAGGAAGTGATCGCTAATCTCTACTCGTCTTGTTCTTGTTCTGGTTCTTGGGGTGACACTCTTCAAAAAAAAACCTAAGGCATGCTTGTTCTTTGAAGAATTCTGCATCCATTTGGTGAATTAGATTTTTGAATTTCATCCAATAACATGGTCAGTTCCTGGTCCATAGAACGATTGCACTTGTTTTTTATATCTGAGTTTGATTTTGAGAGTACCGGTAAAACCAATATGAACTTTTTACTTTTCTTCATGTGTATTAGAAACACAAAATTACTTTAGCATCGACAGCAGCATTGCCATTCTTTTGACTAACATATCCGTTTCTGCCTCTCTATTTCAAATCAATAAAACCTATCAGCCATAAAAACCATACAATATCTACATCAAGACAGTATCAGTAATTGTTTATAAGTGTAATATACTTTACCGTCGATAAAAATGCAGTCTTTCTGTGTATAACATAAATGGAACTTTTCCCACAAAAAATAACCATCTATATTTTGATACCTTCTGATCTTTTACATACCTGAAATATACAAATTATATACATATTTAATATACAAAGGTAAACATGTTTTTAAAATAGAATTTATATAGATATTTAATAATAAGTTTTTAAAATAGAAATTATACAGATGTTTAATATGGTATACAAGTTTTTAAAATAGAATTTATATATATATATAGAGAGAGAAATGGGATTAATCGTCCACTTGACACAAACTAGGTCATTTCGGGACTAACATATTATTCAATTTCATTTCAATAATTCGCTTGTGCGTAGGGGTCTTTAGCAGTGGGAGGCAACCGGAGGACACAGAGAAAACCCACGAGGTTGGTCAGGCAACCTAACTATATGTCACGTACAACCGGATATTCGAAACCCTGCCAGTTGACTCAATGACAGACCTTATGATACAGTGCACACACGCTAACCAATCGGCCATCCAACCCCCCGGATATTATATAGATAGGGGAGAGAGAGAGATGGGGTTTAACGTCAACTTGACACAAACTATGACATTTCGGGACTTACATACAGTTCAATTTTATTTTAATAATTCGCTTGTGCGTAGGGATCTTTAGCAGTGGGAGGAAACTTCATGAGCCAGAGAAAACCCACGAGGTTGGACAGGTGCCTCTACTCCCGATCACATACAACCATTTTTGGATAGGACAAAAAAAACAAAAATGTTCTCATTGGCAGCAGGTCCGTACACACAGCTTTATGCACCAAAACCCGTACATTTATAAGTTTATTTTCAGGCAGGATATTCAAGAAAAATATAACTTTACTCACTCGTTCATTTGTACAAAATTCATCTCTTCTTTAGCAAAATAATTTCTGATTCTTACAAAATCAAAATATGATGGTATAAATACCATAGTATGATTCTTCATATGGTCCTGTATATCTGGTAATATCTAAAAATAATCATACTTTCTTATATTTCTCATTCCATACTTCTGTATTTAAGATTAGAAATCAAAGACCAAATTAAAGCTGACGATTGTGTTTGTTATGTTCCTAATAAAACCAAAGCCAGCAATTATTTTACGATGCCATAGTTCTAAAAGGTTTAAGTGCCACTTATGACCCAAAATAGCATTTTTTGCACAGGATCACTAATCACTTTGGGGGCTTCTCTATGCAAAATTTCAAAATTGTAAGGTCGTAACTTCCACAGAAAAATTGCTTTTAAAAATCTTGATATCCTAACTGGAATAGGGTTTTTCTCTCATATCAAAAACTAAATCCGACAATTTTTGAGACTGAACACCTTTCAGAACTATGACATTATAGTTAATTGGAAAGAGTAGAAACAAACAATAATATAATTTTGACACAGAAAGTTAACAAATCTCACAGATTTACTAAAAACATAGGCATTTTTCAAGCTTATTGAAAGATCTTGTAGTATTGATGGTGTCACTAAATGAGGCCCCTCTATAATTAAGGTTAGCAATAAAACAAAGGCTCCTAGACTTATTATAAAAGTTTTTTTTACACTGGTTGACACTATTTGTATAAAAACGTAAGCTGAAATTTCTCGAAATGTTTTTGTGGACACATTACGTTAAAAGTATTTTAAAATCAAGAATTAAGCTTTTCAAATCATTACAGTTGACTTTTAAATTTAAAGATAAATCAACCAACCTTTTTGACAAAGAAATGGAATCTGTCCTCACAAATTTCACTGAAGTTTTTACAACTAAAACGATGGAATGTCTGAAAATAAACAGAATACAAAATATATAATTAAATAAATTGAAATAAATGGTCATCAGGTTTTTTAAAGTGGTATTCTGCTGCAGACCTAAGCTGGTTCCTTATTTTACACAGGAATCTCCATGGCATTCATTTCAGCTGTATAGTCGTTTGGATAGGACGAAAAACCGAGGTCCCGTGTACACATTGGCTTGCATGTAAAAGATCCCTTGGGAGTTGGAATTCGATATAATAGTAGGCCGTAGCGCCACTGCCCAGGCAAAATTTCCCTCATAGCACACTGTATGGCGTATGCCCGTCTTCATTAGCCCAGGTTAAGAGCAGAACAGTAGGACGTTAAACCCCATTTCATTTCATTTCATTTCAAATTTTTCTCAGAAGGTCATTTTTGACATTTCTTTACAACTTGGATTATCAAGAAATTATTTCCAAAGAAAATGACAATACTTTTTAAGGTTAAATTCTTTGAAGTTCTAATTTTATGACATGTAAATTGATTGACAGGTATTCTCTAGAGCCAGTCAATTTCACTGCTAGTCAGTCAAGACAGAAAACAAAAGCCCAGAACCCTGTTTCACAAAACATTCTCAGGCTGAAGAATTTACCCAGAATTGTTTTTTTTAAACAATATTTTATTCAGAAATTGAAAGGGATTGAGGAACAGGCATAGCCTATATGACCTCCCCCCTACTCAAAATTGTTTGCCTTATTTTAACTAAAATACAGCCCTTCATAAAACATTTGTTGTTTTAATATATCAAATACATCCATAAGAAACCATGTGCAAAGTTTTGTGTTTCTGGATCAAAGATATTTCACATAAACAGTGATTGAAAGTTGAGTAAATTCTTAACTAAAGTTTGAGAATGCTTTGTGAAACCAGGGACTGATCCAAAAAGATCACCCTTTTCTTCCAGATCAGTGAACAATTCTTCAATTTCTAAAAAAACATTAATCAGAAATAATTGTAAAATATGGTATGTATAAAATGATATATTTACCTGTGGAAGTTGTGTAACAATCTGACAAATTGTACCACTACTCGGTTTTCTAACTATCTGTATTTTACCACGATAATCTTAGACTGGTTAAAGATATATTGGTTTATTATATTCATCTCTAATTATCATTGAACATATTGATACATCTTCTCTACAGAAAACAAACTTCTATAATAAAATGTGGTTTAACTGACATCTACCCACCTCACACAGGTAGAACACAATTGTTTCTCCTAATGGTATCTGAGGAGACATCCAAAATGACTACAATAAGCACACTTTACTTGTCAGCCCCACAGACCTCACCCCTGACAAGTGAAGGTTGGGTTTGAGAATTCCAGATGGTACTCTTCAGCACACACTGCGATTCAAACCCAGGGATATTCTAGTCCGAAGTCCAGCCCCCTGACCACTCAAATACCACAGCCCCCGGAACAAACCAAGTTTGCCTTTCATGAATTAAAACATGAATATTATATACATTTGTATATAAAGTTTTAAATAATTAATATATCAAACTAGATATAATATAATAAAAAGATACTGTGACAATGTTTATTAAACAGTGCTGTGATTTCAGGAGAAGATATTGAACTAAATATGGCTGTCTGTCGATAATATTTAGACCTGAAATAAACAAGTTCATGTATAACATTTAAATTCACCAGCAAGAAAGATCTAGTTCCACAAACATCACTTTTAAGGTATCTGTCAGCTAACAAAACCATTATGACACATAACATAACCATATATCCATAATATAACCATTCCACCCCATAACATAACTGTTGCCACCCAAAACATAATCGTTGCCACCCATAACATAACCATTCCAGTTCATAACACAACCATTCCGGCCCATAACATAACCATTGTCGTCCTTGATATAACCATTGTTGCCCATAACACAACTGCTGCCACAAATAGCACACCCATTCCACCCCATATCACAACCATTGTCAACCATAACAAAACCATTGCTATCCATTACATAATCGTTAAATTGCTCACCATCCTTCTAAAGTCCACATTCTAACCCGTGAAAAATCTACACCATGGCCTGTCTTAGGTTGTTGATGCATTTTGTTTATAATTTGCTGAAAAAAAAAAGAAATTATTACAATTTGTTTGAAACTGGTTTGGCCGAAACTACTGTTGTCTAGACCACCTCAAACTATTTACACTGACTTCCTAAAAAATAAGAATTATACCATTTAACTGTATAATAAATGTATATTTTCCTATATCATTCACAAAAACAGATTCTAAATTTATTAGTGCAAGAATTATATTTTAACATAATTGAAATATGACTGTTATATTGGAATATAGGTGTCATACTGGAATATAGTTGTCATTGGAATATAGGTGTCATACTGGAATATAGGTGTCATACTGGAATATAGTTGTCATATTGGAATATAGTTGTCATATTGGAATATAGTTGTCATATTGGAATATAGTTGTCATATTGGAATATAGTTGTCAAATTGGAATATAGTTGTCATATTGGAATATAGTTGTCATATTGGAGTATAACTGTATTATTTGAATATAGCTTTAATACTGGAGTATTTCATGAAGTTAACTTACTGTTAAATGATCCCAGTTCTGCATAAGAAAAACATCAGTTTGATCGAGTATCAATAATTCTATAGATGATAGAAAATCATGATCACCTTTCTCACTGTATAATATAACAACATATATATAATTACCAATAGGTAATGATAGGAAATGGTGGTTTAACATTCTACTTATATAATTACAAACTACTCTCATGACTTACAATGTCTGTGATCTGTCTTGTTGGTGTTTGGCCTACCTTTACCAGTTTTATTCTTCACTTCAAATCGAATAATTTACTAGTCTGCGATATCACTTTGGTGGAAGAGGACTTTAAATCAAGCTATTTCACACACAAATAATTTACTTATGTTTGGCAAATGAGGCAGGGGTGCCGGAACGTAAAATCAGTGAAGAGTTAAAGCTGGTGTATGAAAAAGGACAGTCAAGAAAAAAGTAAGGGCAGTGGGGCAATTGGCCCATGCTTTTGATGGCAGTGGTGCATTTACACCCATAGCCATGCCAACCCGGTGCTCCTGACACAAGGTGCGGCCGTATGGAATAGAATGTGGCTTAATGCCTCGTCAACACAATACTTTAGTCATTATTAGAATAACATCTGGTAATTTTCAATTAATAAGTCATCTGCACAATGCAGGGTGCATAATTTGGCCCAGACAGCATTTCCACCTACTCGTCTTGGAATTACAACTGGAATGTCTAAATTGGTGCACCTGAACTGAGTAAATGCAGATGGGGGGGGGGGGGGTCCTCACAGATTTGTAAAATGTCCAGAAGGATCCACTGGCAGAACTAGATAAGCAAGTACTGATCTATATTGATTGAACTGATAAAAATAAGATCTAAACAAATGTTAGAATTGTTCTTTAGAAATGAACATAACATACCCTTCAGCTCCTATAATAGTACGTAAACCCAATGGTGATGCTATAATTAAATCTGACAGGTAGAAATGTGAATACAGTTTAATCACAGATTTACAAACTTGAACACCAAATCTAAAATGATCATCAATATTACCAGCAAACAATGCATCAAAATCCTCTGAAATATAACATGAAGACATAGTCATATCACAATTCTGGGGTCCAACCCAGTTCTAAAATGTTTTAAATTTTTTATTTTGTTGTTCAAATCAAAACACAGGGAAGATACAGTTTTAAAGGAAGTACATAATTATTATTATTTTTTATTCAAAATCAAAACACATAAAGTTGTGGTTAACCATGCATCACATGACCAGTGAAAAACACTGAATGGGAGGTTGTTCGAATAAGGTGTCCAAAGGCCAAGCGATAATATGAAAGAAGAGCTTTGATAACACTTTCTTTCAGTCACCTGAATCTACAAGATACAGGATGTCAAATAAAATGCATACATGGTTATATACGCATTCAATTTGTTGATTAATTTCATGTTTAATTTAAAGATGGAACTGACCAGGTTTAACTTTCTTCGTATCCTCCTCATCTTCATCATGATATTCCTGTACAAATCGTTTTCTATTCATCATTTTAGCCTGTAATAATATTCATATATAACCTCCATCATTATTCAGTCATAGCAACAGAAATTTAATAAGTCAGACGTGAATATTTAAACAGGCAAATTTTCCCTCATAATACACTATATGGCACATGCCCATCTTCATCAGCCCAGTCGGAGCATTTTATTTCTGTTCAGTATTGGCAAAGATAGAATGAATTGAAAATTTAACATTTTTCATCGATGGTAGATAATATATGATTACTGCAGAAATTTTTTGATGGGTCTCTTCTTAATCCAATTGAATCCAAGCTGGGAGATTATTTACAGTTGATATGTTAGTTTTGCTTTCATAATCGAATTTTAGCATGGATTAAGCCATGGAAAATTAAATATTGTCTCAAAAATGCACATGACAATCAGCTACTTTAAGAGGAATTATTCAAAAGCTAAATTTGCCCACTGCAGATCTTTCTTTGCAGATATCCTCTCACAATCTCACACAACAACTTTTGGTCTTCGAAGGATTTATTAGTGAGCAGAAATTGGAAAATGTATCTGTTATCACTCGTCATTTCAGTCAGTTATACAGAGGGATAACTTGTAATTTCCTTTTGCGTTCATCACTTCCAATTGTTGAAACCTTTATTACACATCTAGTTTATTAACCAGTTCTATCACATATGTGATAATGACTGACAATATTGTCCTTTAAGTAGAGTAGAACAGTTCAGCCATTTAATGATTTAATTCAAAAATGGAGAAGCGAGGCTAAGACTCGGATGACCAGTATGGTGGTTACGATTAATGCACAAATCTTGTCAAAACTACAACCATTGATAACTTCTCTCAAAATAAAGTAATTTGAATGATATTTTCTATATATTCATTTTGCATTATCTATTTTTTAAATACTATAGCGACAATGGCCATCTCTTTATCTAAGTCGTATATAATGCCCTTTAAGATAAGTGTTTGAAATTGAAAGATGGAAAGAGATTAGTTAAGCCATTGGTAAATGAAGTATCTGTCATGCTAATAATATATTCAAGAGTTTGAGGGAATAAAAGAATGTAAGATATAATTTTCAGATTTTCCCTGTAACACCGGACATTGTCATTCCCCAAACAGATGTAAACAAAAATACTGACTTACAAAGTTTCAACTTTAACCTTACCTTTTTTCCACGTGATATCAGACTTATAAATATTTCCACAATTTTATACGCTGATTCTCTAAATGGTACCATAATTAATACCTTAGGTCTGGTTAGTCCTTGATCCCGATAATCACTGGAAAAAACATCCAATGAGAATTATCAGATAATACAACAATCCTAGAAAGAGACATCGACAGGACAAACAACCACATAAAGGTTTCTGAATCCTGAATAAATGTCTTTTCATTCTAACTTTCTAAAATTGTTTGCAGCTCTGTTGTATTCTAGTATCAAGGTTAATGTTCACTAATGCCCAGAGAGAGAGAGAGAGAGAGAGAGAGAGAGAGAGAGAGAGAGAGAGAGAGATTCTAACATATGGTTCAATTTTATTTCAATAATTTCCTTGCAGATAGGGGTCTTTAGCGGTGAGAGGAAACCGGAAGACCCAGAGAAAGCTCATGAGGTTAGACAGGCACCTCTACTCCTTGTCACGTACAACCAGGGAATCGAAACCATGCCAGTTGACTCAATAACAGACCTTATGATACAGCGTGCACACGCTAACCATTCGGCCATCCAACCCCCAGTAACAAAGAGAACTTAAATGTACCCACATAAAAGAAATCCTGTATACTTACTCATCTACTGAAGCTTTTTTATCTTTGAGTTTAGTATTATTACCTATAACACGATTTCTAGATCTGAAATAAAATAAACATTTCAGTTTTTTCAATGTCATTTAGTAATTGAACTGGAAAAACACAGGTTACAATTCTATAGAATACAATTACTGTTTGATCATTGCTTGATAAAAACTACAAAATACTAGTCAAAAACTGGACACATTTCTATGACATACAGTTAGGCCTACTGAAGTTAAAATGTCACTCAGTAATGTTTACAAATATTTGTGACTGTCATTTGTTTGTCTGTTCCGGGTTTGCGGCTACACTAAGGCTGTCCTGAGGCTGAAATTTGGTGTATAGGGGTAGCTCGGACCAGGGAGTAACATGGACTAGGTGGCGTTGGCCTACCACTTCCGGTTTCGGAGTTAGAGACTTATGATGTACAAGATTCAGGTATTAAAAACACAAAATCTGTAATAATATTTGTTTGTTTGTTTGTTCAGGGTTGGTGGACACTAGGGCTGTCCCAAGGCTGAAATTTGGTGTATAGGGGTTGCTTGGAACGGGGAGTAACATGAGCTAGGTGGCGCTGGCCTACCACTTTCTGTTTTGGGGTTATAGACACAACCCATGCAGTGCCGGATCATCCAAAATGAAATGAAATGAAATAAAATGAAATGAAATGAAATGGGGTTTAACGTCTTACTGTTTTGCTCCCAAACTGGGCTAATGAAGAAGGGCATACGCCATACAGTGTGCTATGAGGGAAATTTTGCCCGGGCAGTGGCACTACAGCCTACTCTTATATCGAATTCCAACTGCCAAGGGATCTTTTACGTGCATGCCAATGTGTACACAGGATCTCGGTTTTCCGTCCCATCCGAACGACTAGACAGCTGTCCTTGTCAGGTCCTCAGTCTTGCACCACTGACAAGGGGAAACCACGCTGGAATATCTGGATGAACTTTCTCGGCCAATGCAGGGATCGAACATCCAACCTCCAGGCTAGCGAGCCAGCGTCTTACCTACTTAGCCACTATTGAATTGTATTCAATAGTATTGTGACCTGTGTATAATCGTTCCGAGCTCAATATTATCCCATGAATTAAATGGATTAGAAAGATTTTAGTTGAAACGGATTTTAAAAGGAGTTGTCAATTGTGAGTTAAATTTAGTGTATTTATCAATTAGTACACAAAGTATGGTGTTTCAGTAACTTATAATTTTATAACGTACTTGACAACATGATTTAAGGCATGTAAACAATAGGAGAGTCGGATTTCTTCCTGATTATGATGTGATCTTTCTGTATAATATAAATCCTGAAATCAATAAAATCACATCTGTTATATAAAACTGCCATACAAAACAGCATATTAGTCAAAATATTATCAAACAAGTACGATAGTATTACATGGATCAGGACCATTTTGGCATTGTGACATCATATAAAAAATCTAAGTCCACCAATAGATGCACAGTTGTGTCAGTTTTCATGTCAATCGTACTTACATTGGCAGAATTAAAGGCTTTTTTTTGAAGAGCGTCACCCCTAAGAACAACAAGATGATAGCGCTTGAGGAACTGTTAGTTACTGATCACAAAAGTTTACATTATTATTTAATGATTTCATGCTGCCATCTTATTGGTCTTTAAAACCAATTAATATCAGAATTCTCAATGCTTATTTTTGTTAAAAATACTAGCTCAATTAGAAGGAGAGTTATTGTGTCCCAAAAAGTGGGACAGACAGACAGACGGACGAACCCATTTTAATAGTCCCCTGCTTTTTTCGAAAGGCAGGGGACAATAAATACGGAAAATAGATATTGGCACAGTAATCCATCTACCTGGTAATCATTCAACACATTAAATATTCCTTGTTGTAAGGGGGATAATCCTTCTGAAAAAAACAAAATAATTTAACACTATCTCACTATTCGTATTTTATTGTTTTACAGAAATAAAGGTGAAAGGTAGGAATTAAAAAGGGTTTAAACTCCACGACAATGAAAAAGTTATTTAGAAACTAACACAGTATAATAATCTGCTTTGTTTGCTTCAACAGATGATCAAAAAATAGCTCTGGCTTGTTTTTGGATCCCAGAATCATATATTCTATCTTTATAATATGAATATTTTCATTGAAATGTTAGAAAAAAAAGAAATATACCTTCAAAATAAATAATTGTTAACATTCCCTTTAGATCATCTGTTTTGTTTTATATGGAAGAAAAGATCAGGCGCTGAATTTCATATATTTCAGTGACTGGCTGTGCAACGAGGGACCCGGGCAGCAGCACTATGGCCTACTCTTATATTGAATTCAACTGCCAAGGGATCTAACATGCATGCCAATGTATACACAGGGCCTCAGTTTTTTGTGCCATCCTAACAACTAGACAGTTGTCCTTGTCGGGCCCTCCGTCCTGCACCACTGACAAAGGGAAACCATGTTGGAAAATCTTGATGAACTTTCTCAGCCGATGCATGGACTGACTGAGTATTTTAATCTATAGGTCTACAATATACCGTAGGTAAAGTCTATGAAATATTCTATAATTTCAAAAATAAAACAGAGTGCTGGTAGGTACAAGGGCTTTATAACATCTCTGTTAATAAAACATTTAAACAAATAGTTATTTTGCTTATTTCAATAGTCTGTTTTAATAGCTCTCTCAAACATTGCTAGAAGTACTGTTCTCTTAACTCAAATCAATTCCAGCTCTCAATCCCTTTTATGCAAAAATTATGATATTCTTGCAATGGCAGTGTGGTGATATTCAAATCACTGTAACAGATAATGAAATTTCGTTGTTCTGTACCTGTTTGAATATTGCACAATTTTTCATTTGTTTCTGGTATTTTCTCCAGCAGTTTTTCTTTTATCTGATAAAATCAACAAGAATCGAGTATGATTACGTGATTATAAACAATCTGGGGGTGGTTTCACGAAATTTTAACCAAGATAAAATTCAAATTTTAGTAATTTGATTGAATAATATTAGATTGATTTTAGTGCTTAGCCGCCAATCAAAATTGAAATTTGGATTTTATCTTTAGTTAATATTTCGAGAAACAGCGCCCTGTATTTTAAAATATACATACAATCAAATTTTTAAACATAAAAATCTGGGCTTTATAACAAGGGCTGGGTATCGATAGTGATTTTTACTATCGATAATCGGCAATGAAATGTCGGTCGATAATCGATAGTATCGAAAACAAACTTATTTTCACGGTCGTCATCAAGACTGGATACAGTGTAAGTTCAAAACCATACGAAGTTGCGAAAGATCGTTTGCTCCTGTCTAAGGAGATTTATTTGGAAAACATTAATAAAACTTGTTATATCACGTTTATATATGTAAATTGATGTTGTTTATTATTAAAATAATGCAGCCATGGTTCCGAATGAAGAAATATCGTAAATAATTATGTTAAGGGACCAAAATGAACTTGTTCCGATTCAAAACATTGCGTACGTGCGCGCGAAAATATCAATATGGTGGACAATTCTGTGTCGTTTTGTGTGCCAATAGAGAACCATTATTCGTATAATATATAAGTAAATTGTTGTTGTTTATTATTAAAATCGTGCAGCCGTGATTCCGAATGAAGAAATTGTATAAATAATTATTAGCTTGCAAAGGGAAATAACTCTAACTTTATTTACACATCCGGGTATCTCCGATTTAGCGATATTCAACAATAATTCCTTCAAAACTAAAGTAACGTTTCAATGAGAGTGAATTTATGAAAACGGCTGTTCAATAAGCAGTCACAATTTTGTTATGTGTTACATTGATACTTGATAGTAATTAAAGTGAGCGGTGTATTATGATTAACTGAAAGAAAACATTGACATTTCAGACGCAAGAAAAATAGACGAAGAGCGATAATCGATAGTAATCCACCGCTATCGATAGTGCTTTTCTGGGCCGTCCAATCGATACTATCGATTTATATCAATATTTTTACCCAGCCCTATTTATAACATTGTATAAGATATCTGAGTGTCTACTTTTTAAATAACGTTTTTAAAGATCACATTTAATGTGGATATTGTTGATGTTACATTGTCACTATCTGTGTCCATCTCCAACTTTTCTTGTGAATGTTCTACAAGTTACAGATCTTGTAAGATTTTAACTCAAATTCGCAGGGATCATCGAACTACAAAATGTTTCGATTACAAATTTCAGAGTTACTTCCCATTGAAGAATGCTTATGTGAATTTTGTATGAGTTTTGCAAATTTATATGTTAGGTTAAATTTTGATTGTTGTCAAAATACTACAAGAGATTATCGTCAAGCTAGTCATAAAATAAATATACATACATAAAGTTTTGAGAGATCAGTTTCACTATGGTTCATTGGTGGTAAATGTTGTTGACATGGAAACTGTAAATTACCTTTACCTAATCCTGGTATCTACAAATTTAAAAATAAATATATCAATTATACAAATACTCTCAAATGTACATTGTGTATAACATGCCAAAGTCAAATCCTGTGCGCTATATTATAATCAGGGGCCTGTTTCACGAAATTTTAGCTAAGATAAAATCCAAATTTTAGTAATTTGATTAGATAATATTAGTATTAGATTGTTTTTAGTGCTTAGTCAATCAAAATTGAAATATCTACTAAAACTTGGATTTTATCTTTAGTTATGATTTTGAGAAACAGGGCCCAGGCCTCTAGTTCACAAAGCAATCCCAGACTTAAGTATCCACTCAACTTTCAATCATTGTTTATTGTAATACTATTTGATAATTTATGTGAAATTGCATTCGACGAATATACGTGCACCAGAGGACATGAGATATAATTTGATAAACACATTTGTATTTATTTGTATTCTCTATTATCAGTATATTAGCTATGGTATAAGTTTGTTTAAAACACAAATTAAATTGTTTACGAAATATGGTGAGAATAACAGGAAAAGGGATCTAAGGTCAAGGATAAATTCTATGTATAAAAACATGTGATAGGAAAGTTACCATTCCATATTTGGCATGAGTGACCAATCACATGATTAATTACATCATAATTAGCCAATGGAATAATTAATGGCTGTGAATCTGAGAGTATATAATTAATAGAATGTGCGCTCTAGGGTAGACACCAGGCCTATTCTAAGAGAGGAGAGACCGTTGAGGTTCAAGGGACAACATCTGGATCAAAAGATAGAGGGAATGACTTTATTATAATTCATGCTTGTAATTATGTAACCAGCTTGATTTAGCCGTGGGAGGAAACCAGAGGACCCGGAGAAAACCCACCAGGTTGGACAAGCGACCCTACTCCTTGTCACATACAACCGGAGAATCGAAACCCCATCAGTTGACTCAATGACAGACCGTATGATACAGCACGCACATGCTAACCATTCGGCCATCCAAATCTCCCGAGTAGGCTGAATGCTGGATTCAAGGTGTATTACCTCACACACCTAACATTACAAAATTCTGACAAGAAAGCCTATCAAGGAATGGGAATTGATATCTAATTTCATTCCTCAAATGACACTGTTATCAATATATATAAATACCTTGATTTGTTGTTTCGTCCAATCTTTACGAGAATTAACTTTATTTATGGCGTCCTCGTCTACTTCTTTATCAAACTGATTTGTAAATGGATCTGAATATTGAGAATAAATCATTTATTATTTTTAATCAGGTACATCTTTTATGATTAAGTCACCGAAAAAGACTCATAAATTTTTTAAATAATGCAACGAATTATCATATGTTACGATATCCTATCCATAAGCCGTGACGTAATTTCAGTCCTTCTGCTCATATTTTAGTCTATATTTCTATGAGCAGAAGGACTAAAACTATGTCGTGGCTTGTTTATTGGCGGAAATCGCTAACATTGAAATTTACCTGTGGCAGGTAACATTGACAATCAGGAACGTGTTCTACTTTAGGAAAGGATATGTTGAAATAATTACTTGCATTATTTAGAAATATTATGAAGCTTTTCTTGTGACCTTTAAATTATAATAGACATATTTTCTTTACTAAAAACACTTATATGGATATACTACTTCTGAATTTATTAACATGCTACGTTTCGATACACATACAGATATCGTTATCAAGCAAATAATGATATTTAACAAACATGTGGTGCAATATATAGATAACAATTGGAAACCATACAGTAGATTAATAAGGATTAATAACAGATTATAAGGATTATATTTTCTTTATATCTGAAGGAGTGATGGAGATAAAAGAAAAAATTCAATTAATTAAAACATTTTGGTTATTTCACGGCTTGGAATATTGTTATTTATATAATTAGAGAGAGAGAGACTCAGAGAGAGAGAGAAATGGGGTTTAACGCCCACTCGACACACTAAGTCATTTCAGGACTAACATATGGTTTAATTTTATTTCAATAATTCGTTTGCACATAGGGGTCTTTAGCAGTGGGAGGAAACCGGAGGACCCAGAGAAAACCAACGAGATTGGACAGGCAGACCCTACTCCTTGTAAGGTACAACTGGGGATTCGAAACCATGCCAGTTGACTCAATGACAGCGCGCAGGAATTTATATAATTAACTAGAGCTTCGGGCACTAGCGTTCAAAAACTATGAATTGTGGTTAGTTAATTTGTTCAACATAAAATTGAAAATAAATTGTATTTAAAGAAAGTTTTCAATGAACCAACCAACCCCAAACAAATATTATTACAGATTTTGTGTTTTTAATACCTGAATCTTGTACATGATAATCTGTTTTATCATCATTTATATCTATAATCTCTTTATCATCAACTTCTATATCTTCTATTTCTTAAAATAAACACAGAAAAATATTTATACAAATTGCTACACCAGTCAATTTGACAGATGTTTTCCTCTATGTGAAACAGAAATTGGTTTTACCATTCACTTGACACATGTCATTTTGGGACAAATATATGGTTCAATTTTATTTCAATATTTTGATTGCCCTCAGGGGTCTTAAGCAATGAGAGGAAACCTGGAGGACATGGGGGGAAAAGAGAAAACCCTACTCCTTGTCTCGTACCAACTGGGATCGAAACCATGCCACTTGAGTCAATGACAGATGTTATGACCTAAAGCGTATGCGCTAAACCCCTAGACTACCATTTTCTTTCTGGATTAATATCGTAAAAGGCCAAGGCACGTGAGAGTTACGGCTTGATATTATGAACGATAACACAAACTTATGGAAAATAACTACCGATACTAATATATTTAAGCGATGTTCCGAGGATTATTCTCTCAAAGTTATCACGCTAACGTTATGGTTTATTATCCTATCTAGTTACTAAATGCCACTAAAAGATTATAAGTAATTGACATATGATTGAGATGAAATGTATTTCTAGCTCTTGAGTTTAATTCTAAATTTTCTTCTTTTTGCTATTTTGAAATACACAATAGATAAATGAAATGGGGTTCAATAATGTGCTACATATCTGCATGAACAAGACTAATGCACATGGGACACTATAAGTATAAAACTCTAAATTAAAGATGCAGTATGTAAGAGCTAAATCTGACTAATGCTGATCTTTCGTTTGGCCTCAAATGTTATATAAATCATTAATTAGACATTTATTCACATGCCAAGCGCATAATCAACTCACAAGACCATCGGATGGTTTTGATTTTCAAAGAATTTAAACAAGATTGCAAGTTAATAATTTAATTAAAAGATGGACAATAGAGACTTTGTTTATTATTTTAACAATGACAATAAAGACTACAAATTTCTTCAAACAGCCATAAATCTGCTCAGAATAAAGTAATTTGACTATCTTTTAACTATTATAGTGAGAACTGTGAGCTCTTACAGAATATTTATGAGTAAGATATTTTTTTATGCTCAAGTTGTTTTATGTACCTTGTATTGTCCATTAAGAATGATTTGTTTGTCCATTGGAACCTTTATGGAAAAATAAGCCAGTGAACATTTTTTTTCAAATTTCAATATTAAACTGCTATGGGTTAAATGCTATACCTGGAAATATTTCTTGTTGTGACACCTCTTGATTATTATTTTCTTCCGCATTAGCAATGCCATCGTCGTCCTCCTCCTCACCATCATCATCAACTTCCTCCTTCACTTCATCATCAGACTGACCATCTTCATCATCATCATTATCATCATCATCATCACCTACATCGTCTTCATCAGACTGATCAGCTACATCATCATCATCTGATTCTATATCTTCTTCTTCCTCATCACCAGTTTCCTCCTCCATTTCATCTTCTTCATCATTGGATGCTAAAATAATTCCAAAAATATCAGAATAATGGCTACATTTTAGTATTAAATGTTACTTTAAAGATACATTATGGGAGATTAGATAAAGAGCTGGCAGTTCTCACTATAATAGTTAAAAACTAGAATAATGTAAATGGAATTTGCAGAAAATTTCAATCAAATTGATCCACTCTAAACCGAGAATTTAGCGATTGAATTTTCGGACTAGCCTCAATCATCATAATTAAAGTCGGTATGATAAAAAAAATAGACTCCATTATCCAATTCATGATTAAATCATTAATGAATGAAAAGCAGCAAATCGGTTCCTAATCCAGTAAATATCACAGGCTAGCAATTACATCGAGAGTTGATTATGGTCTGGATAAGTTAATTAATGTCTAATTAATAATTTAGATAACATCTCAGGCCAAAAGAAAGATCAGCAATAGGCAGATTTAGCTCTTGCATAATGTATGTTTAAAGAGTAATTAGTCAAAAAAAAAATACCTGAATGGGTGATTATTTTGAATCCAAATAAAGGCAGGGGCGGATCCAGGAATTTTTGCAGAAGGGGGTTTGCCAGGTTCCTGAGAAAATGTATCTCCCTCCCCCCCCCCCCCCTTGGCTTGAAATTTTTTGAGAAATAAATAGTCTCTTTTGTCATTTTGCCGTATTTACATACACATTGAGCTTTTTAAACAGAGAAATCCAACATCCTGTTTGACGTCAATTTTTATTATGAATTAATACGATGACGACATTGTGATTCAATTTAATTATTGATGCAAAGCATTAATTTTGATATCACATATATCATTATCTCGCGCTTTGAGTGCCCATCCTGTCGCACCATCTGACGATAAAGGATAAAGCACAATTATGACACTTTTCTCACAAAAAAAGTTGTTTTACAAAAAAAATTTTTATGTAGCTGAGCAAGGGTGGGGGGGGGGCGGACCCCCCAAACCCCCCCTCTGGATCCGCCCCTGAAAGGGAACTTTTTAATTGTATCCTCAGATAAATCTAGCATTTTACTGTTGGCCAGATACAGAAGTGAACACAATGTGATATAATCACAGAATACATAACTGAATCTCAGCTTGTGCACTGCAGTGTCAAATATTTGATTATGCCCAACATTGATGTGCCCCCATTTTCCACTCCACACAAACTAGGTCAATTTGGGACTATTATATGGTTCAATTTTATTTCAATAATTCACTTGGGTGTTGGGTCTTTAGCAGTGGAAGGAAACGGTAACCGGAGGACTGAGAGAAAACCCATGAGGTTGGACAGGCGAACCTACTCTTTGTCACATACAACCACCGGGGAATCAATACCTCAGTAGTTGACACAATGACAGATCTTATGATAAAGCTCGCACACCCTAACCATTCGGCCATCAAACCCACCATAAAACATACAACTGTGAATTTAACATCATCTAAGAAATAATTCTATAAATTACATTCATAAATATGTGAATCATTTTCTCTTCCATCTATTGTTGACAGTAATTCTTGGAATGGATGCTCAGTTTTCTCCCCTTCACTATCAGACGATTCCTCTACCTTGTCAGTCTGAAAGAAAAAAAATCAGTGACAGAAAATAACATAAAAAGTTTATAAACAATTATTGACCATATTACATTGAGATAATTTGGACCTAAGACAAGAAACCCTGATTATTTTTATAAAATGTCTCAATTTCGAAAATTTCAAATGCTATAAATAATTCCCCAATAATTTAAAGCACACTTGAAGTTGGAGTGAATGTAGGTCAGTCTATAGTTTTAACATAATCAAGGCTATTAGCTGGATTCAGTGTAATCTGGACTAAAGAAGGTGTTAATGGAATAAACCAATTATCAATTGTTTTATCCCTTCAAAGTCATTGTACTGCAGTTTAACACCTTATAGAAGAAAGGTTTCATTCATTAGGCCCCTTTCAGCTCTGAGCTTCTTACTAATTCTATTCTTTTAAGAAAAACTGTAGTTTTGTATCTCTTTAAAGGCTGTTTAAGGTAGGCCTAACTCAACACATCAAAGGAGAAAAACTCTTTTGATTAGCTGGTTTTTAATCATTGTCTCTTAAGAGATGTTGTCTACAGAAAAAACCTGCCACTGAGATTGCCTGTGAGAGAAGTTGTTCTTTAATAGCTTCTTGAAGTTCACAGTTTTGTCTTAACCATGACATCTGGGTCAATGTTGACACTTTATGGGCCATACATCTGTGCCTATTTAACAGCTTTGTCATTCACTTTAATATTTTTGATTGTCGATTTTTTTTGTTTTGCTGGGCATTTACTCTGATCTATCTCGGGTTAGCTGAATGTATTTGTATTTATGTACACAATTAAAGATACATAATGTAAGATTTAGATAAAGAGCTAGCTATTCTTGCTATAATATAATAGATCGAAAATAGATAATGTAAATGACTAATTTGAGAATTTCATTCAAATTACTCTATTGCGAGTGAAGAAATTAGCCTTTGAAGGTTTGATAAGATGTGTGCAATAATTTCAACCACCGTAGTGGTTGTTCGAAGCTAAGTCTCGCTCCTTCATTTTTAGCTTAAATCAAAATATGGCTGAACTGTTCTAATCTATTTAATATCGGAGAAATCCGATGCCATCGGAGTTGATTAGGGCCTGGATAAGTTAATTAATGTCTAATCAATAATTTAGATAACATTTCAGGCCTAAAGAAAGACCTGCAATAGGCAGATTTAGCCCTTGCATAATGTATGTTTAAGCTACACTTTGAAATTAGTAGCCTAATCTAGTAAACTAAAAATGCCCACCTCTGGTTTTATTATTTCTGATTCATCTTTGACATGTGTGTATTTTTTCACTTCATCTTCCCTACAATAAAATAAAAGTTTGTCATGTAAATAAATGTATAGGCTGCTGTCATACTAACAAATGATAGTACATATATCATTCAGCTGCCAATTAGGAGAGAGAGAAAGAAATGGGGTTTAACGTCCACTTGACACAAACTATGTCATTTCAGGACTAACATATGGTTCAATTTTATTTCAACAATTCGTTTGCGTGTAGCGGTCTTTAGCAGTAGGAAAATAATCAAAGAAAACCCACGAGGTTGGACGGGTGACCCTATAAAGCCTTCCCCTTGTCACATTGACCTACATGCAGGGAATCGAAACAATGCTGCCACTTGACTTATAATGACAGACTTTATAGTTTCACGCACCTGCAAATCCACTAGACCACTACCCCCCCCCCCCCCCGTGTCAATAGGGAGTGCAATCATAAAAGTTAAGTTAATCATATCATTATGATTATTATAATATTAAGCCTGAATCAAATAGTCTGCAGACTCTACACACCTTTTCTTTTTATCAAATAGAACAGATAAGTTCGGAAATAATGATAACAGGTAAAATGAATTTGGACGATAATATTTGATTTGACTGGCATCTGAATTTATGCCCCGGCGCAAATATTCTATTCACCAAATTTAATAACTAGAATCGAAGTAAAAGTAGATTATGTCAAGACCACGTGTCTAAACCTATTCATCTTTCACATTGACCGTAACAAACTACTGCTAATTTTCACCTAGATTCCGATGGGTGGACCTCCCCAAATTCTTTAAGGTGTTGCTTTTGCTGGTAAGAAAGGGCGTGAAGATTGATTTTACGACGTTGTTTTTTGACCACTTTACCATGCCGTTTCTTCGGCGCCATGTTTACATTCCGCAATCGACGCACGCAGTTCCATTGATAAAGCTTATGCGTAAACAGCATTTTGATTGGTAGAAGCTGAGATCTAAATTTAGCTTATCCAATCAAGTGCCAGATATTACGAGAGCGCTCTTGTAAAACTGACGCCATTAAACTGGGAGCACGCTGTCGCCAGTTGAGCAAAGAGCTAAGAAAGTAATCGGACAAAGAACGTGAACAAAGTAAGTATTTTGGGTAAATTTTTAATGCATCGATGTGATATACAACGTCCACGCATCAAAGAGGAAAGTATACGTTTTATATAGCAAGACCTTCGTCTAGAATTATATCCTTTTGACTTTGATGGCGTGGTAAGAAAAATGAGGTCGTTTTCACTTTATTTCTTTTGGCAAATTATGTAGACTTGTTTTTACCAGTTTGTTTTTCATTAGTAATTTTCTTTGCTCTGTCAATGTAGAACTGGATGTTCAAGTCTGATGATTAACGCGCGAAGGTTTTGCGTAGTCTTTAATGATGAAATGGCTTTTTATGCCGCAACCGCATTAATTCTGTAACGTAACTATATGGCTGAGCTTGTTTGGAAACAACTGAATATTTGTGAATTCGTTACACGTAACACGGCGTTCTATTTTTGCTATGGGTTGAGGGCAGTATTGCCGGATATCACCACATCAATGGGACACGTGGTTAACAGAACAATGCAAATATTTCTTCAGTCATCCAATTCAAACAATAGGCTAGGCGGATTGTTCTGGAATATTTGCCACCATGTGACAATGCTTTTTCAGCCATGTGAAAGATAGAGAAGCCACGCATGGAAGTACCACAACAGTTCTAGGGTTAACAAATATAAAACACAGGACAGAGCCCGGTTTCACGAAATTTTAACTAATTAACTAAAGACTTTAGTAAAGATAAAATCGAAATTTTAGTATATACTTCAATTTTGATTGGCTAAGCACTAAAATCGATCTAATATTATCCAATCAAATTACTAAAATTTTGATTTTATCTTGGTTAATATTTCGTGAAACGGGCCCCAGGTTGCAATTTAATTTATCCTATCCAGTACCACTTCATTATTGTTGTGAAAAAAAAAGCTTAAATAGAATCACAACAATAGTACATCAAAAACCAAAATCTTGTTAAAAAAAACCCACAAATATACAACACATTGACAATGTACAACACATCTCCCTTGATCACCAAATAATTATTAACCCATCCTCATATTTACTGCAAGATAACCTAATAAATTTCTGCATACATTTGTATCTGCAGAACACATACAGTACACACCAACCTATTAAATGTACAAGAAGTTAAAACACAAAAACTTTGCATGCAATTTTTTTTTGTTTTTGTGCAAGTGAAATTGGGGCCCTTTCCCTTATGTAAATGGCTAAAAAATGTAGAGTCCTGTTTCCTGCAGGTTAATTTTTTCATGGTTATGCTTAAGGTTAAGACTAATACCAATAAATTGTGTTTATTTGTAGAGTAGGAAGAATGTCAACCAAGATATTCATTGGCAATTTGAGCCATGAAGCTCAAGAAGATGACCTCAGACCAATATTTGAAAAATATGGTTCTGTTTCTGAATGTGCTGTTCTCTCCAGTTATGGATTTGTGGTACGGTAATCTATTTCGCTAGATAAATTTAGGGAATTCAAATGTTGTCACACATGACTGTCTTTTAATGAAGAATAATAAAGACTATTTGAAAGAACCAGAAGTCCTATTCCTATTAAAGATTAGATTTCAATCCATTTCATAATCTGGTTACTAATTATTCCTCCTATGGTGCAAGTTTTATTTGCCCAGATTACTCAAAACTTTATTCAGTTGCTTCTCGTATAAAGAGTTCGGCAAGGCATATACATGTAGTTATAATCAGCTTGTGAAAAAAGATAAAGTTGGTTTTTATCATTTCAACCTTTCCATTTCCAGCATATGGACGATGAGGAAGAAGCCAAGTCAGCTATTGAAGGGTTAAATGGTTATAACATCCGTGGTTTAAGAATAAGAGTCGAGGTAAATATATAAAATGAAGTTGAAAGATGGATTCAGAGGAGTTTTAAATACAAATCGTACAATCTCGTTCTTGGTTTGTTCATGATTCTATTTAATTTTATAAATGTTAAATCTCTGTGCATGAATAAAAGAAGTATCTATTTAACATTGAAGACTATTCTTGAAATGGAAAAGAAAAAGATTAATGATTTGATAATGAATTTTGTTTATTCACACATTTTGTTCACATATTGATTTCAGGTTTGCGTCGATTCCTTTACGACATAGAGGATTATCGTCATTGAATTTCCAGTCCAGCTTATTCGCCGTCGTAAACATAATTGTTTTGCGTTTAATGTCTAATCAATTTACTTTTTTCTTTATTGAATAGGCCTAGCGTTAAAGCAGAGTTTAAAGAAACAACCGCATTGCCGTTATTCAATTTGTTCTATTAATATTGAGCTTATTTTTGCTGCGTTGTGAATGAACAAATCGATTTGGGGATGTAAATAAATTATATTTGGTCTTGAAAACAACACATGTATACTATTATGTTGGAAATCCAAACAAAAACTAAAAGATGCTCTTTAATTCAAACCTAGCCGTATTTCTAATATTTACATCCCTACCTCATCAGTAAAATTCCTCAGCATTTCTTTCCATTTCTATGTTGAAACTAACACACCTTTTTTCATGTCACCATTTCTTGCTTCACATAACATTTATTAGCCGCCTAACCGATGAACGAAGAAAGAAAAGAAGCCCCGAAACTACAAAGATCCGACAACACCACATAATTATTTCAAGCCGCCTTAACCGAGGAACGAAGAATGAAAAGAAGCTCTTACATAGCCACACAGTTCATTTATAATTTATAGTACATATTGTTTTTTTGCGTTGAACACCTCTTATTAATGTTGAGCGTTTACCTTTTCAACTCTTATTTTTGCGCAGATATCACATGGGAAAAAAGGAGATGGGTCGAAACGAGGCCGTGGCGGCGGAGGGTAAGGATATATATCATAGATGCGTTCACATCGATTTTGCGATACTGAACCGTCCTGCATGTTTTTCGTTTATGAAGGATTTACAACAGCGTAAACTTACTTTCAAATAGTTTGTAGTAGCGTTTGTATTCCGTATTTTTTTAATGCGTTTTCAAAATGGTTAAAATGAGATGTTTAGTTATCTGTAGTAATTGCGTGTGATTTGTTAGATACAAACATCAGTAAATGTGATTTGTGCGAAGAGATAGGATGTTATTTAAAATTAAATAATTCTTATTGTATTGCAGATTCCGTGGAGGACGAGGAGGTAGAGGTGGCCCCCGAGGAGGGGGAGGTAGAGATCGTGGTGGTCCCTCAAGACCATCCCCTTATGATCGTTACCCAGCTCCCTCTTCCTATTATGATAGATATGATCCTTACTCAAGGTATCCATACCCAGAACGAGATTACTACAGGGCCCTTCCACCAAGGGATCCTTACCGAGTTCCCCCAACAGACAGATATTCAGCACCACCCAGGGAAAGATATCCAGAAAGATCGCTTCCAGAGCGTTACCCATCGCCGTATGAAAGGGAAAGAATGCCAACACGAGATGCCAGATCAGCATACCCAGCTGAGCGTATTTACGATAGAACACCAGTTGAGCGAGATCCCTATTATGGTAGAGAGAGGGCAGCCAGCGACTATTATAGACAGTAGGTATAATCGTCACTTTTTATTTTTTATCCATTTAGTCCGTGTAGATACATCAGTTTGACAATAACTTGTATAACTCTTGATTTCGAATTCCTTAAAAGAAGTTTGTCGTAATTTTGACATAGTGGGTTAAAGCATTAAAATCTATCCACATTTCAATGCTTATCTTGTTAGTGCATTGTGAATTGGATCAGGAACGTGTTCACTATATGGGACTTTTTGTATCCTATTTTTTATGCTTTTATATTTGTATAATATTCTCGAAATAAATATTGTTTTAACCATAAATAATAAAATAAATGTATAATAGTTGAATGTTTAATACCCAATGCACTAGTTTCAGATCCCTTGCATCATCTTTCATAGATAATTATTTTTTCAGGGATGCAGATCCCCCTCCACATGGGGGCATCAATGGTGCAACAGCGAATAATGGATACGATTCATACAGACCTCTAAGATCATCTGGAGGATCCGGATATGGAGAAGAATCTGGAAGAGCATATGGTCGAGGAACACCTGGTAACAGCCAATCAGAATTACAGACAGATGCCATCTTCTTCTAGTTAATCAAAATGTATTGTATATTTGTAAGGGCTTTTTCATTTTAAGAAAATAATACATATTCGTCAATCGCTTTGCAAATAGAATCCTCAATACCTGGAAATCCTTCAAACTCGATTTTTTTGTCACTGACCATTAGAATCCTATAATACAAAATAAACCCAGTTAAAGAAAGTTGAAGATAAAAATGCCATGCAGACTTTTTTTCAAAAATGGAACGATCCTGAAAGTCCTTCATGGCATTTAAAGAGTTGTCATGTCAGTATAAATATATATGTATATGTGAATTTGCAAATTTTTATTTAAAATGTCCTCCATTTGTATTAGCTGAAGAGTTGTGTATGTTGAAACGTTGAAGTTATTTATTAATCACTACTTAAGCACCATGTTAGCCACCATTTAATCTCTGTATTGTAAATCAGAATCTTAAGTTCCTTTTTTATTATTTTGGAAATAGTAATTTTTTTTAATAGCAATTTGTATATCATTCTTGAGCTTGTATATATTTCATTTTTATCATAGATTAATCATGCTGATAGAACAAAACATGCTTGCCAGAACAAGATCCAATAGGTTGTTTTATGATAGTACTAACAAAATGTAACCATAGTTGGTCTTTTGTTTTTGATTTAAATGTGATAGATTGATTAGTCAAATAACAACTTGCAGATCTTATTTTAACACTAAACCCAACCTTTTAGTCATCTGGTCACAATACAGGTCTTGATGATCTGGGAATGTGGCATGATCATTTTCTAGGCATTGTAAGGGAGGTAACCAATGTACCATTCTTCCGTTTTTATTTGTCACCCTTTAAAATGCTGTTAAAGAAAGTACTGTATATTTCTACCAGACGTAAATATTTTGTATTTTTTTCTTTGGGTTTTATCACCTCCATAATGTTGTCATTTTTGTGCTAAAATACTGTTGTAATCATGTAGAGAATATAACAATTGGAAATATATCAAACATGCTGTTGACTTTGTCTTATATATTGAAAAGGAACGTTCTGAATTGACAAAATTGAAAAAGAGCCAGTTGAACACGCGACTCGAAAATTGTCAAGGCGAGCGAGGCATTATGACGGGGGGAAAAAAGACAACTCTTTTCCCTAGCCACTTCACTATTTAAGCCTTGTAATGTAACTTATACTGTCCACGGTGACACATGAAACAATGCTACATCAAGTTGCACTCATGCACGTCGGGAATGGGCATGAGTGTATACGCCGCCGATTCTACAAGATGCTATCATTGATGTCTGTCTATAGGATTAGGGCACCGTCAGCTAAACAACAAGAATTCGTTTGAAAGTGGCAGACTGGTGTGTTTGAGTCACTTGGGATCCCTGCAACGGGTTGGGAACGGACATAAATGGGTCTGAGAAAGGGCACTGTAGAACGTTCAACAAGCGCCCACTATGAAACTTTGATAGTCTGCCATTCTTCAGTACGAAGAATTTAACAATCTTGAGTTCCTCCAGATTCTCTCGACAGATCAGGATTATTGAAACTAAAACACGTCTTGGGACCTCGGTGTTTTAGTCCCATACAAGTGACATGACCCGTCATTGCTTGTCTCCCTGTCCCTCACCACTGGAAGGGAAATTGTACTGCGTAGAGCTGGGTGTCTAGAATCGGGACTTCAGTGTGTTTTGTAATAAAATCCATTGAAGAAGGTAAATATTACCCAGACCTCGTTGCATCGGAAGGAACCCCAAAATATTTCTGCCACTTTATATTACGAGTTGTAAGCTTGGCATTACGGATAGGTATTTGCTTTTATTTGGTGATTAGATAAATGCACAAACCGGTAAATTCTTTATTTCCAAAACATTGTCTTGAAATATCAGAATTCTATGAATTATTGATGCAAATGATTAAGAAAACTTCGAGTAAAAAATAGGTTACGTGCCCTTGTTTTGAAATTAGTCTCGCTTAACCAGTCTATCGACCATTCTACGTCTGATTGACAGGTCGGGATAATCAAGACTACTTTTTTTTTTACGAAACATAACAGAAAGCTAGAATAACAAGAAATTGAATTTAGAAATAAGCACTTTAGCCAACTCAACAATTGTTTTAAGAAACTTGTAAAAGTAAAATGAAACTACTGCTAGTATCATGTTCCTGCTAACGAAACGAATTCAGAGATATTATTTGTACTAAACAAAAAGATGTCGCTCTTAACGGTACAGTTAATGATAAAGCAATTTAAAAAATAAAACAAACGTAATTTCTAAAGCTGCTGTAATAACCAAGAAGCTAAATTTTACTGCTGTTCAAAATCGTCAACAATAGATTTTTTACGGCTGTAATAGTTGATATATTTGTAGAGAATTGCACGTGCCATGGCTATTTATCGACTCAATTTAAAGTTGTCAGAAATCAGTTCAAGACACGCAACTGAAGCGTGCACATTTAGCCGTGTCGAGGCCAACTTTCCGTAGAGTGCACGGGTCACCCTAGGTTACAAACTCTCCGCTGCAATTTGATAAATGTTAAAAATGGCACTTTACAGGGTAAAATGTCAGTAGTTATCTGTCCATAAAAAAGTTTATCCTACATGTAGATGGCGCCTAAATCTATAAATAAGGACTCGTGACGATGTTTACAAAGTAGAAGCTAAAAATTGTTGAAAGATAAAGAAGTATGAAACTGTTGGTATTTTTCGGGCTTTTGCCCGTCGTTTTCTGTGCTGGTGGATTGATGGGAGGAAAGTCGAACGTACCTAATCCCGAAAAGGATGACCAAATTATGGCTGCGACAAACTTTGCTTTAGGAGAACTAAATGGTTTATTGAACTCGGATGCAAAGATGACAAATGTCAAGATTGTGTCAGCACAAACTCAGGTATAAAAACATACACACAAAAAGTTGATCAAACACATACAACACACACAAAGCAGAGGGGTTTGAGTAAATTTTAATTTGGGTGGTAGGCTCTATTCTTTCAGGATATAAAGTATAAGGGTTTTATTTTTTTAAAAAAAGGGGTAAGGGCCTATGCAAATGTGGCATATTATTAGTATTACTAGCCTAATATTACAAGGAAATAAATTCGTTGTTCTGACAATCATACATTAGATCTTTGTAAGATTGGAGACCTTTCAGTTACTTTTCAAAATCATTCATGCATGTTGCTTGTAAATCAGTTTGATAGGCCTAATGTAATTATATTTAACTCGCTCAAAATCAAAAGAACTATAGTATAAAACCTCGCAGCTGTCAGTCAAATAATAATCATCCACTTAAATCACTAATCCACTATGTAAAATAGTGGTCCACCATGACACTATTAAGGGACTTTATAGAGAAATAGACCTAGTTTCAAATAAGTTTTCTGTGCAAATTTGGTCTTGACATTTGGGAGACTTGAAATTGAATCAAGAACGAATGGGACATCAGATATCATTATTTTAAGAAAAGGTGCTAATGCAATATTTATAGGGGAGAGACAAATGGGGTTTAATGTCCACTCGGCACAAACTAGGTTCAATTTTATTTCTATAATTCACCTGTGTGTGGGAGGAAACTGGATAAAATCTACAATTAGTTATAATGCACGTAAAAGATCCCCTGGCAGTTGGAATTCGATATAAGAGTAGGCGATAGTGCCGCTGCCCGGGCAAAATTTCCCTCATAGCACACTGTATGGCGTATGCCCGTCTTCATTAGCCCAGTATAGGAGCAGAACAGTAGGATGTTAAACCCCATTTTATTTCATTTCTTTACAATTAGTTATAGGACAGTTACATCTGGTATGAATGGCAGTCAAATGATTGTTTCTCATTTACATTTGTTAAAGATTTCTATATAATTAATGATTAAATAATTTGCTAAGCGAACAGTGAATATGAGATGTCACAGACAAAATTAGTTTAAAAATCCTAAAAGAAATTAACTAAACAAAGGGCTATTAAAGATACATTATATATAATATATAAAGTGCTAAATCTGTTTGTTCCGGTCTTTGTTTTGGCTTCAAATCAATGTTATATAAATTAGTATTTAGATATTTATTCACATGACAAGCCTGTAATCAACTCTCTAGACCATCAGATGCTGTTAGTCCTGACATTAAAGTCCATTAAAAATTTCACTAGGTGTCATACAAAAGTCAAATTAGACTTGTTTTCAGTAACACTAACGTGTGATGCTGATATTTGTGTTTCACTTTTATAATGATGCTCCGAATAAAAAATGACGCTGTTGATGATGTTATGGTTGAATATGTTGATAAATGTGTAGAATATATTGGTTTTTTTATTTAATAGGTTGTTGCTGGTATCAACTATTATTTGACTATCAGGGTACAATATGGTGCAGATGTAAGTAACTTATTTACTATAGTATACAGTATTATTTAATCTTAAAGGCACAGCATTGTTCACATCTCCAATGTCCAAAATATTTAGTATTTTGTGACACCAAGTATAAGAACTGACAGGCTTGTGTAAAAATGGTAGCAGAATCATTATTACTTGTTTGAACTGTGTGTAAAACAGAGTTATTTAATGTCTGCCTATGCCAAGGTGATATCTTAGACAATAAATTCAGGGCAGGTCACCTTGGTTATAAGAAGAAGAAGAAGAAAAAAATAATTTATATTTGATAAAATAAGAATTTTGTGTTTTCTTGGGTGTAATGTTGTAAATTCAGCAAAAAAATTTGATAAGTTTATTTTATATTTAAAAATTCCAGGAAATTACCTATTTGACAAGGGAACTGTTCGCTACAAATTTAATAATTTAAATTTCACCATTTTCTTCTAGGTTAAAGAATGTGATGTTGTTGTCTTTGTTCAGTCATGGACCAACACCAACAAAATGACATCCCAAAATTGTATAGATCTGAAAGCAACAAAACGCTCTCTTTTGGGAGGTATTGTTCCAGCCGATATGGATGCTGATACTAAGAAAGCCATTTCTTTTGGTATTGAAAGCTTCAATCAAAGATCTAATTCAATGTTCAGATCTCAACCCCTTAAAATCTCAAACGTATCAAAACAGGTAAAATAAAATGTTAAAGTCTTTGGTCGTTATTTGAGGGATTTGTGATTCCTTGCAAACTAGATATTCAAGCCTGGAAATAAGGCACCTGTCACAGACAATGTCAGACACAGATTCAGGCTTTGTCAGGCACAAAACCTCAGGTGCCTATCATTTTGTCTGGCACTGATTTGTGTTATTTATTGATATTATTAATACATGTCCAGCACTTAGTTGAAAATGTCAGATACTATTTCATTAGTGTCTGACGTACATTTTGTCAGGTACATCTAAAACCGTTATTTCCAGGCTTGTCTAAGATACTGAATCTCCAAAAGGAATATCAGCCAAAAAATGGTTAATTTCTTTAAGTAATGATTGGATGCATTGAAATTTGTCAAGTAAATATTGTCCGAGAATGCAAATGACAATAGATGTTTTTATGAAACTAGTTTTAGCTCCTAAAATAAATGTAATTTTGAGAATGAGTAATCATATTAAAAAGAGGCGAAATCACACTCATCAGGAGATATTAAAAATGATTGATTTTGAATAGTATTATATTCAAAATAACCTTAGACTAACCTAATTATGGAAAATCCAGGCTCCTAATTAGTTCATTAAAGTGCTTGAAAGCCACTCATTTTCTCATGGGCTTTCTCCGGGTCCTCCGGTTTCCTCCCACTGGTAAAGACCACTATGCGTAAGCATATTATTGAAATGAAATTGAACCATATGTTAGTCCCCAAATGATCTAGTTTATGTCAAGTGGACGTTAAACCCCATTTCTCTCTCTAAACAGATTTCAAGCCCCATCTCTTATTTTATGTAAATATTTACAGCTTGTAGCAGGTAATCTCTATAAATTTGATGCTGATATGCAAGAAACTCAATGCAGAAATAGTCAAGATAATATGAACAAAGGATTTACTGACTGTCAACCAAATGTCAACGGATTGGTAAGTACTATAAGGCCAGACAAAACTAATATTCTGGTTATCAGATACTCCCACATTTAAAGGGCTGCATGACCTGTTTTTATTTCAAAAAATAAAAAATAAAAAATAAAAAAATTGAAGTGACCTCAAGACTGGCAATCATAATTGATACTGGATAATCACACATTCCTCGTAAAATGTTATGTTTGTGAGAAAGCATTTAGTCCTTCTGATGGTACGAAAAAAAAACAACCTGAGGTCATGTGTACACATTGGTTTACAAGTAAAAGTGCCCTTGGGAATTTGAATTCGATGAAGACATGACCAATAGTATGCCTATCCTTCTGTTAGCAGGAAAGTACATGTAGGGCATTACAACAAATTTCAGTATTATTTTTTTGGTTATTTTAGAGGAATGTTTGTAAATTCACTGTTTTACAACAAGTCTGGGAAACTCCCCAATGGAAATTAACAGACTTCAGCTGTAATCAGGTCAGTTAATTTTTTTTTGTAAAATGATAAAAACTGTAATACATAGTGGTCACATCAAATGGTTATTTTACTATTCGAATATTCTAAGTCATTATTTAAATGCTGTACAAATATTCAACATAATTGAAATGATCAATTTTTGGACTGAATTTTGTGCATCTCTTCACATTTTTAGAAATCTTTCAAATTAATAATCTTCCTTTACTTCTTCTTTTATATAAGATGATTTCATTGAATTAATATTATTTTAATATTTCACGATCAACAAGAAAATGATCAAATTCCATTGACGAATACTAAGAAATCCGTATAAGTCCCCATGATAACTTTTTGAATTTGAATTTTGAATATTTCTGTAAGCATTAATAAAGAAGAAGAAAATGTTTTTGTTAAGTTAATTCAACCTATTCTTCAATTGTATGAATTTAAATATGATTCTCTGCTGTGTAGTAGTAAATGCAGGAAGACCGCACTATACACAAAACAAAACCAATAAGACAAACCTTAGAATAAAAGAAAGTATGGAGTATTTAGTTTATAAATCTGCAGAATCGTTAAACAGACAGCTCTTTAAAACAATCAACAATGATTGACATTTGTTATGTTTTCAACAACTCTGATGTCTTTGCATTTGCTTCCCGTCTCTTTATTTCAATATGGCTATCTATGTTAAACATGCAATCAGAATTTAGCTTGAACAAATATGACTTGTAATAGATCAATGCCTTTTTGAACAGTAACATTCTAGCAGCTTACAAGTTTTTCTCATTTATTAAACACTTACCAATTAATATTTCATTATTCTGCAAAATCTTTTTTCTTAAAATACTGTAAATCTGTAAAGCTTTTGAAGGCTCGGTCTTAAAAGGAATGATTTCTTGAACATCTAGATTTTTAGTAAATATTTTGTAATCTTTCCAATTAGTAAATTTTATGTGAACACATGTGCATCAAAATGGGGGGGCCTGGATATTTTTGTGGTGGGGACTGACTGTTGGGCCTCTCGCACTCCCTGACCCACCCTGAAGTATAATATGAAACTGGTTGATATGAGAATGTTTACAGCTGTTCTGTTCTTTATAACATTTCTCCACTGTTTCTATTTTAGCATGTTTGTGTCACTCGATGTTTTGTTATTTTTTAGGCCTAGATATAGCACTAACACACCAAGCTGAATCAATGGAATATATTTGTGTCACTCCATGTTTTATTTTTTTAGGCCTAGATATAACACTAACACACCAAGCTGAATCAATGGAATATTGTTAAATGCAGCTTGTAGAAATACTAATTAACTCTTTTAATTATAAATACTAATCAACTTACATAAACGTTCATGAATTACCGATGTGTTCGAATTGCCGCAAGCTATTCCGACCGGTGAGAATTACTACTTAATAAAATGGTGCCAATAGAATTTTTTGATAATTTTATTTTGAATAAAATATTACATTGTCTGTTGTTTTTATTTGCTTCTAAGTGAATGACATGGATGGTTCTAATTTCACTAGGAGAAGGACAAAGCCATATAAGTAGAATATGAAAATTCAAATTTTGGTGTTTGGTTGAGATTATTCTGTGGTTGTGACCGAAATCTGTGTATCTATATGTTATCCGTCCAGATCTTGTAATGTAAGACATTAGTGCTCAGATAATTCTGTTGTGGTTGATTGCACTCGTTTTTAATTCGACTGTGCTCGTTTTTCATTTGACTGCGCTCGTTTTTAATTCGACTTCGCTAATTTTTAAGTCTACTGTTCTTGTTTGCAAGTCTACTGCACACTTCTGTATGTTTTTTTCACGGTTTTGAAGTTTACACTAATTTCTGCATGCAAGCTTAAACTTAGTTACATGGGTTGAAAAATCTGTGGGTTTTTCTTCTGCACCGTTTCAACTTGACATGGTTAACACCTGTTGTGCTGATAAGAAATGTGGAACTAGTTATTTGTATAACATGAAATAACAAAGTTCACCTGTATACACTTTGTCAAACACGTAAAAAATAAAAACACCAAAAGACTAAGATGAAATTTGAAGAAAATTAACAATTGCATGTTAGAATCAAAAACAGTTAAGTGACAACTATAAAGATGTTACCACCCCCTACCCTCGTAGGGTCACACCCATTGGGTGAGAGTTACAGAATCCCAAGGGTCTCCACCCAATGTATTAAAAAAAACCCTGAATATATTAATTTGTTACATACCCGTGATCAATCATGTGAACAATAAGCTGAAGTAATATTTAAAGACACACAGTATTACATGTTTTCATTCCTATTTTTTGAACTACTACATTTTGTTTTTACTTCGCTTTTCACTACATTTTATGTAAATGGTTAGTCCTGTCATAAAGGTATTTTCCTTCCGTGTGCCTACATTTATATTTCATCTAGCACATAGACGATCATGACTCACACTAGTATTACACAATGTATAGGAAATATTACCTTATTGTTAGTTTGGTTTTCATTTTGAGTGAAATCGGTATCAATACAGGCCCAGGACTGTACATTGCAGTGCATAGACACTTATGGCTAGCCCCTCGTATCCATTCATTTGAAGAGGGGGTGGATGACCGAATGGTTAGCGTGTGTGTGTTGTATCATAAGGTCTGTCATTTGAGTCAACTGGCATGGTTGCATTTCCCAACTTGTACGTGACAAGGAGTAGGGTCGCCTGTCCAACTTCATGGGTTTTCTCTGGGTCCTCCAGTTTGGTTGGATGGCTGAATGGTTAGCATGTGCGCGCTGTATCATAAAGTCTGTCATTGAGTCAAATGGCGTGGTTTTGATTCCCCGGTTGTACGTGACAAGGAGTAGGGTATCCTGTCCAACCTCATGGGTTTTCTCCGGATCCTCCGGTTTCCTCCCACTGCTAAAGACCCTACGCGCAAGCGAATTGTTGAAATAAAATTGAACCAAGTGTTAGTCCCAAATGACCTAGTTTGTGTCGAGTGGACGTTAAACCCCATTTCTCTCTCTCTCTCTCCAGTTTCCTCCCACTGCTAAAGACCCCTACGTGCAAGCGAAGTATTGAAATAAAATTGAACCATGTGTTAGTCCCGAAATGACCTAGTTTGTGTCATAGTATCATATTCAAAATAATCTTAGACTAACCTAATTATGGAAAATCCAAGCTCCTAATTAGTTCATTAAAGTGCTTGAAAGCCACTCATTTTCTCATGGGCTTTCTCTGGGTCCTCCGGTTTCCTCCCACTGGTAAAGACCACTATGTGCAAGCAAATTATTGAAATGAAATTGAACCATGTGTTTGTCCCGAAATGACCTAGTTTGTGTCAAGTGTAGTTAAATCTCATTTCTCTCTCTCTCCATTCACTTGATGTGCATTTGTTGTTTGTTATTTCTGTATATTGTGTCTTGGTCGTGGATTGATTGTGTAATACAACGTAATGTTACTGAATAATTTTGTGTATGAAAAACTAAAAAAACTAAAATAAAAAAAAAATTTAACAAAGCCCCCACCATAGTACTTTCACCCAAAGGCCCAAGACCGTCCTGTTACACTACTGCCTACCCCCCATCCCATTCTTTTCTATTCCGTAGCTTCATAGTTAAACATGAACCAAATTGACCCCAGCTCATGCCTGTTCAAAGATTAAAATTTCTGTACACCCAGCTGTTTTTGTGAAATTGTCACCTGAAGTTTTTGACATTGGATAAAATTGTCAGTCAGTAAAATACTTTGTCAACATTTGTATTAGTTAAACCCTGATTACAGACAGGATTATAGATATGATTAAAGATAAAGATTGACCGATTATAGAAAACAGTGACTTACAAACTCAGTTGAACCATGCAACCTGTACATGTACACTAGAAATATACTGATGTAGGGGGAATACTGATTACCAACGAGGGGATCACGTGGCTAAGTGGGTAAGACGCTAGCTCGCTAGCCTGGAGGTCGGGTGTTCGATCCCTGCATTGGCCGAGAAAGTTCATCCAGATTTTCCGGCGTGGTTCTCCCTTGTCAGTGATGCAGGACAGAGGGGCTGACAAGGAAAGCTGTCTAGTCGTTCGGATGGGACGAAAAACCGGGGTCCCGTGTACACATTGGCGTGCACGTAAAAGATCCCTTGGCAGTTGGAATTCGTTATAAGAGTAGGCCGTAGTGCCGCTGTCCGGGCAAAATTTCCCTCATAGCACACTGTATGGCGTATGCCCGTCTTCATTAGCCCAGGTTAGGAGCAGAACAGTAGGACGTTAAACTCCATTTCATTTCATTTCATTTTGATTACCAACGAAAGAATTTGACACCTGGCCTATGGTTTGAAGCCTTCCCAGTTCCCATTTGTCTTGCTCAACTATTTATGGACACAGAGTACAAGCTCGATAAAGATGAGAGTATCCTTGTCGAAATGCTTAGTATTAAACTCAGTAATTATGTATCCATAAATTTGTACCCTGTGTTAATATGTTCAATTACTAAATGCCAATCAAAGAAGAACTATTTATGGGTCTGGAATGCCAGGCGAGTGTCCTACTTTTATCAAAATACTGTCTTACAAACGTGCGAATCGTTGTCGATGTGTGGGCCTCACTCCACTCTAATCCTATACATGTATGCTCCTAAATGAGCAGAAATATTGTCTGAAGAGTTTCTTATTTTATAAAAATGTGGGAAATCTCCCAGATGCCAGAACTTTGAACAAGTCCAGGTGCTTTCCCAAGGCCACTCGCATATTTGTAGTAGTGGAGAAAAAAGAATTAATTTAAAGACTATATATCTAGAAGTTGGTACATGATAGATGAGTAGCTCGCCTGTCAAGCCTCATTGGTTTTCACCCACTGCTCAAGATTATTGTGGAGGTTATACCCTCTCTCTCTCTCCCTCCCTCCCTCCCTCCCTCTCTCTCTCTCTGAAATCATAGCTGAATTAAAACTACCTTTGGAGATCCCTGATATTTTTTCTGGTTAACTTGTATAGTAAATGTACAGATTAGGTTTTAACTATAATTCTAACCGCATTACTTTGTAGCCTATATTCGAATATTAATCTAGAGCAGTCATAGAACAATAAGGGATTTGATATAGAGAGATCAAGATATAGGTTGTCATAGATTATAAAAAAAAAAGTGAGGAAATAACAATTTTTTAATTGATTAATGATGTCGGTTATCTTTCTGTAAACAATTCTATTTTTAACTTTTTAAAATTCACGTTTAATAAATATGGGTAAGATTTTCTCTGTTAAACAAAAAGTTTTTTTTTATCATAAATAATTATCAGAATGTCTCGGGTTGTATTTCATGGATACCAAGCATGGCAACCATGTATCTGTGTCGTATCTATGATGGACCAGTTCTATTATCTACGATAACAAAATTCTTTAAGATTTCTGATCAACATTAATCCTTAAAGGAGCTTAACTTTTTTGATTTGGGTCACATCAAAGTCGAGCGGTAAGGTCACTGTACACAAGACCAGCGGGAGGTTGGGTGGCTGAATGATTTAACGTGTGCACATTGGATCAAAATGTCTGTCATTAAGTCAACGGGTGGGGTTTTGATTCCTCGCTTGTACGTGACCAAGGAGTATGGTCATCTGGCCAACCTTGTGGGTTTCTTCAGGTCCTCTACTCCTACAGACCCCAATGCAGAATCAAATCGAGATACGGTTTATTGGGATGACTAATAATGTGTTACTTAGTCTTATGGATGAGACAAAAACCCATGCACACGACATTGGCGTACTCGTGAAAATCCCTGACAGTTGGAATTTGAAAAAAGAGTAGGATGAAATTCAGAATTCACCTCCCAAGCATTGTACATTTGACTTTAAAACAATGAATTTGTTAATGTAATGTTAGTCCCCAATGACTGAAGTATTGTGTTGACCCAACTCAATTACATTCCTGAAAAGTTGAATTAAATTGAAGAGTTGTCAAGGGAACCATTGAAATTTATTTGTGTACTGAGTACCAGAATCATGCAAAATCCTAATCTTTGAAAACAAAAACATAATTTGACATTCAAGGATTTGAGGATATTTACTTGATTTCCAATGTTGACATACAACAAACATACAATGATAGTTGAGTTTACACTGTAATCGGGGTATCATTTAATCTTGTGTATTTAGCACTAATTTCTTTCACATTCATTCAATATCAAATCTTTGTTTAATATCACCCAAAATCATCTAATTTGTACTTGTATCCAGTTTAAAGCTGACTATTCAATTTTGATAATGAATGTCCAATTTACAAGCGTTTAATTCTTGAATTGGACACTCATTATCAAAATTAATCAATCAGCTTTAAACTGGACACAAGTACAAATTAGATGAATTTTACAAATTTTTAAACAAAGATTTTGATATTAAATGAATGTGAAAGAAATTAGTGCTAGGTTACAGTGTTAGCTGTGTGAACACATGAGAAATGGTATCAGGTGTTATAGAAATAGTAAATGTTCAGACAGACACCCATCAATCTGAACCACTTGTTTGTTTTGTTAGCTACTTGTGGTATCTTTATATTTACATGTATTTGAAATTAAAATATAACCAGTTTAAATTTAAAAATGATATTTCAAATAGTAAAGTGTCTTTCTCTTCCTTTATTAAGGAAATAATTATTTAATCAAGGGTTGTGTAGTCACTATACATCTCTATAACCTAATTACTCATTATATTTTGACCTTTGTTCAGTTACAACCTGGCTTAGTTAGAGATTTAAATAAAAACATTAGTCACTAATAATATTAACAAATATTTTATAAACACATTTAAATAAAAGATTGACTATTGATTTATCCCTAGAGTGTGTTCGAACGAAGCTTATGACTTCAATCACCTTCGAATCATGATACTGTTTAGCACTTTATTATGAAATATAAACTATTTACAGCAGGGAGCCACGGTGGCTCAGTGGGTATTGCACTGCATCACTTACAAGGTCCTGGGTTCGATCCCAAGAAAGTTTTATCAGGATTTTTTTTGGGGGGTGGGGGGAATGATGGAGGTCGGGTGTCCATCCAGATTTTCTGGTGTGGTTCCCCCTTGTCAGTGATGCTGGACGGAGGGCCTGACAAGGACAGATGTCTAGTCGTTCGGTTGTCCCACTGTCAGGGCAAAATTTCCCTCATAGCACACAGTATGGTGTATGCCTGTCTTCATTTCATTTCATTTATCAGGATTTTTCAGCCTAGTTTTACCTTGTAAGTGGTGCATTGCAAGGAAAATTGTCTATTATTCAGATGGAATTGAGATTTTGTGAAGATTTACCTCATAGCACACTGCATGGCATATACCATTTACCCAGTTGGAAAGAGACCGGGTTTAACGTCCACTCGACCCAAACTAGGTCATTTCTGGACTAACATGGTTCAATTTTGTTTCAATAATTCGCTTACACATAGGCCGGGTCTTTAGCAGTGGGAGGAAACCGGAGGTTGGACAGGCGACCCTACTCCTTGTCACGTTCAATTGGGTAATCAAAACCATGCTAGTTGAATCAATGACAGACCTTATGATACAACGCACACATTCAGCCATCCAACCCTCCTAACTCAGTTGGTGAAGGAAGGTGGAGGATAAAACCAAATAATAAAAGATCCTGTAAACGAGAAGAAGTTAGCCAATCTGTTTCACAGCCGTTCTGTGAATGCCTTCTTTCAACTCTGTGCAAGATAACTGACCTGTAAGTTCATGTGCAGTATAGGTATACGTGCAAAGTCGATCTTAGGGTGTCGGATGTTGTAACACAAACTGATCCGGGCAGAATTGGTTCCTTTTACTCATTTTACACCTTCTTGTACTATTTTATCTACCCATATTCACGAAAAAGGAAATATTTTTTTATCCAGGTCTATTTCCAACACCTATTTTTTTCTTAATAATTTCAAAAAATTGTTTTAGAAAATAATTTGCAGAAGAAAAAAAAGGTTAATTAAATGGCCCCGATGTCATCACTGTCAGTGATAGTAGCGGCTAAGATAATATTTACTGATGATCAGTTTGCATGTTAGCTGAAAAAATAAAGTTGTTATCCACAAAATATTTGACCTCAATTAGTTTGTTGAAATTATTTTACATTGTTTAATACCCAGAAAAATAAATTAATTATGCTCAATGAGTCTATTAAATTTGTAAAAAAAAGAAGAAAAGTAATGCATTGAAAACAAGGTTACAACAAATTACAGGGTAATTGTCTGGCAGATTTCAGACTCAAATTTCTTATAACAAATCTGCTCACATTCCAAACATATTTTGTAGGGTGTGAAGAAATATCATGCTTAAGCATACATTATGCAAGAGCTAAATCTGCCTATTGCAGGTCTTTCTTCAGGCCTGAAATGTTATCTAAATTATTAATTAGACATTAATTAACTTATCCAGACCATAATCAACTCTCAATGCCATCTCGTGTCGGATTTTCACTGGATTTGAATCCAATCTGCTGCCCAACACTCATTGATGATTAAATCCAAACATGGATAATCGAGACTGTTTTTTAGCGTACCGACTTTAGTAATGATGGTAGAGGCTAGATCTAAAATTCAATCACTAATATCTCAGTTGAGAGTGGAGCAATTGGACTGAAGTTTTCAGCATATTCCCTTTGCACTATCTATTTTTTAACTATTATAGTGAGAACTGCCAGCTCTTTATCTAATCTCTCATAATGTATCTTTATACATTTGCTGTCAGTGGAAATAATTGAAATGTTTTAATTCGTTTTATTGATGTCGGATTTGTTTGTTTTCAGGGAGGTCTATTAGGAGGAGACAGCCATGATTTATGTCACCTTGCTCATTTCACCAAGTTTAAAACAGACTTCAATAAAAACTACGAAACTACTCAAGGTAAACTTACATGTAAATCGCTTTATTCCAAGTGCAGTGTGTTGGGGTTCGTATTTCAGTAGTCATATTTGCCGGTCTTGACTGACTGTCAGTAAAAATGACCAACTGGAGAATTACCCTTTCAGTCAATTTACAAGTCATGTGATTAGAATTTGAAATAATTTAACCTTAAAAGACGATAAATACAATTAAATTTATAGGCTTTAAAAAAAATGAGATAGTGCTAAAATATTGTCTTGCTTATCTGAAGTAAACAAAATACGTCCAAAATTGATCCGCCCTGATAATTTTGAGGTGAAAGTTCTTCAGTATCTAGAAGATGACTGTTCAAGATGTCTTAAGCATTCCCATTTAAGCCTCTATAGAGGGCATTCTCTTAAGTCTTAGAAACCTCTATATTAGTTCTGTGCATTATGTCTGACTCTTTTGTGTAGAAATACAAACTTTCAGTTTCCATCTGGGGTTAACCATAAACCCAGAAATTCCAAGCTACCTGGAAGTGTCTGGATAACTAGGTCTAAATATCATATCATTCATACAACTAAACAAAGAAAATCCTTAATTGAGTTCTGTAAATGGGTTTTTCGAAAAAGCTCAATATTTTGCACTGAAATTAATATTTGCTATTATTGGAACTTATATAATATCCAGAAAATGTTTATATGCATTAAAGTGTAATAACTTTTGTGTAGAATTTTAAATATTAAATATAGAGATTAGATGTTAACAATTTCTTATATTTTTCAGAGGAAAAGAAACGTTTCAAGGTTTTCTGTGATAACATGAAAACAGCCAGAAAAATACAGGATGTTGAAAGAGGAACAGCTAAATATGGTCCTACAATATTCGCTGATATGACAGGTACCGTACTGATACTACTAGTTGGACGTAAACAGAAATACTGTAAAACAAGAAAGTAATGTCATCTATCACCATTAATAGAAATACACTCGTGTATGTTCTATAAAACAATAGAATTAAGTATAGCACAGTTATAGATAATATTAAATGGGCTGATAGATGTCAGCTAGAAGTCATTTGGCTTGAACTGGGCTAACGAAGACGAGCATAAAACTTGAAGCAGTCTATGAGGACACAACATAAGTGTTTCGGCCTACGCATTATTAAATTCCAACTGTCTAGGATTTTATTATGTAAACTCTAATCTCTCAGGTGACAACTTTCAATCATTATAAACAGGAATATACTGCATACCAGGTTGTATTCTTTTCGAGAAGCGAATTGATCTTTTCTATGTATACAATGTTTTGTCTATTATTTTTAAGTTATTGAAAAGATACCCCAAAAATATTTAGTTGCATGATATTTTTATTTTAGCGGAAGAATTTGGTCTGAGATTGAATCCTAAACCCTGGAATTTGAATGTTCGGCCCGACAATATGTTAGATGCCGATATACCCCAGGGTCCAGTACCTACAAGCTTTGATTGGAGAGATCACGGTGCCGTTACTGCTGTTAAAAATCAGGTAAAGAGAAAAAAACATCATATTAGCGTATGAGATTCCGAAGGGTGTTCAGTCACCTTCAGTGTTCTCAAACTAAAAAATCTGAGCCTGAATTACATTTTCTGCCATTTTGGGACTGTAGTTATACAAATGTGGCTGGCATTTTAAATTTGTCAACATGAAGAAGTTATAGTTGTAAAGTAAGGCATTGTCGTCAAGCCTGGTGCCATCGATTAAACTTGGTGGCAAACAATTGTAGCTTGCCTGTATGGTTGGAGAACACTGGGTGTTTCAGAATTAGCATTTCAGATATGACACTAGACAATACAGAAAAACTGGTAAACAACTAGTAAATATGCTAAATGTAGAATTTTGGTTCAAGATTAGTTAAAATCTTATGTCTCACAAAATTGTTCACAACCACAGGGACACATGACAAGCCATGAGAGTTCACCCCATACATTACGTTACATAAACTTCTTTGAGTGGCATTAAGTAATTGAACAGTAATACACTAACACTATTTATGGAATAACAATTTCTGGTTTATTAAAGGCTCAATACCACTCTTGTTGTAAGAGAATAATATGTCCCAATCTTTATTCTGGTCAACAAATTGTACTATTTTACATCATTCCAATTAATTGATGATACAAATTTCATCTTAACACACCTAATTTAAAAAATTGGAAAAATTCAACTAAATGGTTCGAAAAGCCTAACGTAAACCTTTTCAAATGTGACTTGGATTTAAAAATATTTTCGAACCCTCTGGACAAGTAAAATAGGATGTAATGGATAATTTACACAATAGGTAGGACACTTAAACATCTAATACTTAGAACAAGGCTAATATTTATTTACTGGAGCTGTCAAGCCAGCAAGAGTGTTATTGTCCCTTTAACATGCAACCTATTGATGAAAATACTATCGTCTTTATAAAACAAATAAAAACTGAAATAATGAGTTATTAAAATGTGTGATAATATTTCTATTAAGTAAAATAATGTGTAATTATATTTGTATTATAGGGTAGTTGTGGGTCATGTTGGGCATTTTCTACAACTGGTAATATCGAAGGACAATGGGCTATCAGAAGACAAAAGTTACTGTCTCTATCAGAACAAGGTAAGATAGGGAAGTTGAACAGTGGAGGTGAATGATTTTCTGAAAAAAGGGTGGATGGGAGTGCTCTAACAGAAAATTCTCACTGCAATCAAGAGAAATTCTTGCATCTTAGCATTGATCAGAATGGGAGAAAAATTGGATCATGACTAATGGCTTATAGATATGGCTAGCTTCCATTATTTGGGGGCGGGGGTGCTCCATCATACTAAATATATTTCTTCAGATCACTACAACAGATAAAATTAACATACTATCTATTGGTGATATTAAATTAAGGAAAATCATTATTTATTATAGCTAAGCTACATTTTCGTTTAGAATAACCTATCCTAATCTAGTAAATATCGCAGGCTAGCCATGACAACGAGAGTTGATTATGGTCTGGATATGTTAAATAATGTCTAATTAATAGTTTATATAACATTTCAGGCCTAAAGAAAGACCTGCTATAGGCAGATTTAGCTCTTGCATAATGTATGTTTAACCTTTATTGAATGTTTTATTTTAGAATTGGTTGATTGTGATAAAGTAGATCAAGGATGTAATGGAGGTTTACCATCTCAGGCTTATGAAGCTATAATGAAATTAGGTAAGTTATAATCAAATATAAATAGGTGAGTGGGTATTGTATACATTTCAACACAGTAATAGACAACAACAATGACATATTCAATAAAGTAGAGAACTCCCGAAGATGCAGATTACCATACAGTCTTTGAAGTTCAGTGTAAATCCTCAAAATGTTATCACATATTACAAATTATAATAAATTGTGTATATTTTGTGTTCTAAATTAAAATAAATTGTGTATATTCTTTGTGATAAATTGTGTATATTCTTTGTGATAAATTGTGTATATTCTTTGTGATAAATTGTGTATATTCTTTGTGATAAATTATAATAAATGGTGTATTTTGTGTGTTAAATTATAATAAATTGTGTATATTTTGTGTGATAAATTATAATAAATGGTGTATTTTGTGTGTTAAATTATAATAAATTGTGTATATTTTGTGTGATAAATTATAATAAATGGTGTATTTTGTGTGTTAAATTATAATAAATTGTGTATATTTTGTGTGATAAACTATAATAAATTGTATATATTTTATGTGATAAATAAGTTGTGTATATTTTACAGGTGGTCTAGAAACTGAGAAAGAATATGGTTATAAAGGATATAATGAGAAGTCATGTTACTTTAATAAAACTGAAGTAGCTGCTAAAATCAGTGGTTCTGTAAAAATATCACAAAATGAAGTTGGTAAGTTGGTAATATGATTAAAGGATCTAACTAGACCCCTTTGATTTAGGTGTTAGATCAACACATGAAACACTCCTTGTGTCACTTCAGACAGGCTGGCAGTTGGTGATACCCTTACAATTTTGTCCTGTGGGTGCTCCATGAGTGTTTTTCAGTGATTCCAGTATTTTTCTAGTAAGATTGAGTGCCTCTCCTTTCCATATATACCAAATTTGCCATACTTTTATTGGAAATAATTAGGCCAACCCTATAAATATTTGTGCGGGAATGTATCTTTAGAATAAAGTAATGATTGGCTAGAACTGGTGTGTTATATTTGAGTTACTGATTAAATTATAATATTTAAATATTATTGTATGTATAACATATAGTATATCAATGTTTTTTCAGAAATTGCTGCATGGTTAGCTAAGAATGGTCCAATCTCTATTGGTATCAATGCTTTTGCTATGCAGGTAAATCAAGCTTTTAAATTAATTGGTAACAGTAATTAATTCAAACTTTAATATGATTGACGTGTATGGCTTACCGGTATTAAATTTATTATTGTGGATATTGAGAACTAATCATACAACACAATCTATGTCAATTTTTTTTTTTTTTAGGAAAAACTTTTAATCATGTTTTACCCAGAAAATGGAACTAATACATCAGGCCCCAGTTCACAAAGCATTCCTAAATTTATGTTAAGAATTTACTCAAAATTGTTCGCCTTATTTTAACTAAGATATATCCTTTATAAAACTTGTTGTTTTAATGTATCAAATACATCGATAAGATACTATGAGCAAAGTTTTGTGTTTCTGGATCAAAGATATTACTCATAAACAGTGACTGAAAGTTGAATAAATTCTTAACTTAAGTCTGATAATGCTTTCTAAACTTGGGGGGCCTGGTTGCAGGACAAATGTTGCAGAAGCCCACATTTCAGACAATTCAAACACAATGTTTACATCTTAACCACTAAAAAAGCCTCATCCTTAAGATATTTTGGTGAATATAGACGAGGAATATAGTATATTAATATATATTTTGTATATTTATAGTTCTATATGGGTGGAATTTCACATCCATGGAAGATTTTCTGTAATCCAACCAAATTAGACCATGGTGTTCTTATTGTTGGTTATGGTGTTGGTAAGTACAACTTATCCTAAAGTTACTTATGAAAGGGGTGGCCACTCTGTTTGAGGACACTAGATTATCCGAAGAGAATACACAAATATGGGAAGAAGTCCCACCTTGTTATCTAAATTGTCTATGTAACTTATTAATAATTGATTTCATTTTAATTTCTCACTTCAAAGAGAGAGAGAGAAATGAGGTTTAACATACACTTGCTAATCAGGTCATTTCGGGACTAACACATGTTTCAATTTTATTTCAATAATTCGCTTGTGCGTAGGAGTCTTTAACAGTAGGAGGACCCAGAGAAAACCCACAAAGTAGGACAGGCAACCCTACTTCTTGTCACAAACCACGCCACTTGACTCAATGACAGACCTTCTGATCCAACGCGCACGTGTTAACCATTCGACAACCCAACCCCTCAATTTCTCACTTAACCAAATGATAGTAAGGACTGTACCATGTGAGTTCAAAGTTTTGGTTGATTTAGTACAACAGTATGTGATGTATATGTATGTCCAGAAAATTAATAACAAAAACAGCTGGATTGGTCAATGATATCCATTTACAGGTAGGAGATAACACTTCCTGTTTCTGATTTAGAGAACGTGTTATTGTGCAATAGACATGACCTTTATAATTAGGACCCAAAACGTGTGTTACTGTTCAATCAGAATCAAGGACATGTCAGATTGAATAATTAATCAGAATATATTTTCTGTCATTTAAACTGCTGATAAACTATACTGAGAGATGTATACTTCCACTTTTAATATTGAATCATCTGTTGTTATTATCTATTACAGAGGGGAGTGAACCATACTGGATAATCAAGAACAGTTGGGGTCCTTCTTGGGGAGAGAAGGTAATGTCATTTTAAAATATCATATTTTTTATTTTAAGAATAAGTAATGTAGGCTACTTATTTTACGTAATGTATTTCATAGGGTTTGGTTCCTCTGACCAGTGAAACCACTATATGTTGATCCCATGGGCTTCCTTGTTACGCTCGCTTTCAGGAACCATGTTGAACGATCGTGTTATGACATTATAGTTAGGTTCTAGTGTAATTATTATACACTATTACTAGGAACAAAAACACATTTTGGGATCACAAACTGAACCTCAAGTGCTACTTATCTTCTTGGTTTTCTTGGGTGTGACCCATTTCGAAAATAGCCTAAGGTTCTGCCATTCTAGTACCATAGACATGAAACTTGGCATGTTTGTTCCTTGGATGATTGTGCATAGATTGACTTCAATTTTTAATATGACGTCACAAGTCCATATGACATCATGCTCTGGTACATTGTACTATCGTACTTGTTTTATAGAACGATATTATTTATATATTCTGTGGTATATTATATTACCAGGGCTATTAAAAGGTCCTGGCAAGGGACAACATATATATGTAGTCATTCAGATGGGACAAAAACTGATGCCCCGTGTACAAATTGGCATAAATGTAAAAGTGTCCTTGACAGTAGGCAGTAGTGCCGCTGTCCGGGCAAAATTTTCCTCAGAACAAAGGCATACGCCCATTTTCATTAGTCCAGTCGGCGCAGAACACTAGGACTTTAAACCCCATTGCATTTTGTTTATCATGTAATATATTATCTATATAAATCAAAGCGAATATTTCTCTGTGGGGGTGTTCACCCATCACGCTTCATCACTGCGATCCACCCCCACATATATGGTATCAAATTAAACAGCATGACCATGTGAATGTTTTGGGCCCCGATTGAAGCCGAGTATCCTGCTAGTATTGTATATTTTCAGGGTTATTATAATGTATTATGTTGTATATTTTCAGGGTTATTATCGTGATGTTATATATTGTCAGGGTTATTATCATGTATTATGTTGTGTATTTTCAGGGTTATTATCGTGATTATGTTGTGTATTTTCCGGGTTATTATCATGTATTATGTTGTGTATTTTCAGGGTTATTATCGTGATAATGTTGTGTATTTTCCGGGTTATTATCATGTATTATGTTGTGTATTTTCAGGGTTATTATCGTGATTATGTTGTGTATTTTCTGGGTTATTATAATGTATTATGTTGTATATTTCAGGGTTATTATCGTGTGTATAGAGGAGCTGGAGTTTGTGGTCTGAATACAATGTGTACATCAGCTGTAATTTAACCTTTTATTCAGTATATCAATCCGAGTGACTGGAACACTTAAATAACATATTGTTTTCTATTTATACATTCCTAAATATTACAACTTTAAATCAGATGATACAATCAAAACTCTCTCTAATATTGAATTTCAATATCCGATATCATCTGTCCCAATACATTTTAACAAATTATATATAGGGCGTTTTTACGAGATAACGATTTGTTCTTTCGTTAAAATGTCCATTGAATTTTGTTTAGAAACCAATATTGCTTATACCATTGTTGGAAAACCAAAAACAAATGTTGAAGTGTCTTGGTCACCCTATATTTTTTGTATAAAGTTTAACGAGGAGATTAAATTTCTGTTCTTTTTTTTATGTATTCATTATTTACCCAGTATTCTATATATTTTGTTTTATAAGCCAACTATTGTATTATATTTATCTTTAAATTAAAATGTCATATAAAATTTTCAAAGTTGGTATGAAATACAAGGCTGTGATTACTACTTATACAAAACTTCTGTAGATATTTAGAAAATTTGTTACATCATTTACCACAAACACTGGTGTTTCACTACCTAGCTCACACTGTCGGTCGCCAATGTCGCCAAAAAATTAAAATGGCAATTAAAATTTGATTTTGGCGATAACGCTTTGGGATACTTGGAGGCAAAACAATCTAAGCTCCATACCTATGTTTATTATAAATGTAAGATCTTTTGGCCACCAACATTTTAACCTTGGTCCTAACAAGTCAGCTCCTAATTGCACCAGTAAGCATCTATTTAATGTATGTGGCCTTAACCTTGGTGGCCAACACAGTGATATACCATATAGGGCTTCACTATGTGGTGACTACAACTATATCATAGTGAGACCTTATTATATATTCTACACAGGAGAGATACTTGATTGTGGATTGACGAATATGCAGTCGAATTAGACTCAGTTTAGTTCTGTAACAGTTCTGTCGGGCCCCTATATATGATGTGAAGGGATAAGACTCATGACAAAATCAATAACAGCGAACATTTTAGCTGTCATGATTGATCGAGGTATTTCTAATTCACTCAGTGCATATTTCGTGGCCCCTAATCATGTTGTTCACTCTATTAGACATGTACCTCTACAGACTTCATTTTAACACTGTTACAAGTCTAGTTCTGAACAGTAAACTACATGTATTATTTAGTGAGATACCAGTGTATAATAATTGTATAGGTTTTGAAAACATAAATATTTTCAGTATATTATATTCCTCAGTAAAATTAACTAAATATTCAGCTGATTTGAGAAACCTACCATATAGATATATATTGTAATATTTAATGTAAATTTTCTATTTCATTATTATATATTAAGCATGTTAATAAGATAAATACCGTCTTTGAATAACGTTTTCTACTGAAACGGCAACCAAATTCACAAAAAATTGCCATTATTATAAGCACATTGTCATTGAATGAATTTTTGTGAAGCACGAAATAAAATAGTCACAAGTTTTATTGAGTAATATCAACACACAAGGCTCCAGGAGATGCAACAATAAAATGTAAACTGTTAAAATTGTTCTAGAGAATGAACTGCACTCTGTAGAGTTGGATTGCTTATTTAGACGAATACATTAAATTATTTTTGTACGTTTTTGTATATTCACGAAGGTTAACAAGTGCTATGATACCAATTTTGATTAAATGTCCATCTATTGCAAAACCTTCCGTAAAAACTAGATCTGCTTCTTCTTAATAAAATAGTTTAATATCAAAATCATAATGTTTGTATTGTAGATCTAGGCCTATGTTTATCGAACTACATAGAATTTTTAAGAACTGTTAACCCTTTAGCAATGGAATTGTGCTCTGACAATCTCATAGTAAGGAGCCACAGTGGCTCAATGGGTTATGCGCTGGATCGATTCCTGTGTTGGCCAAGAAAGTACTTAGGGATTCTCCCACATGGGTTCCCCTGATCAGTAGGGAGGGCCTCGCAAATAGTAACAGTATCTAGTCATTCTTATGGTATGAAAAACCAAGTACCTATGTATACATAGAGGACCATTGATGTGCATGTAAAAGAATCCTTAACTTTGAAGAAGTATGATAAATACAAACCCAGTTTGCCTCACAGTTTGTTCATTACAGTTCTTCATGATCACTTAATATTAGAAACTGTTTACAGAAAAATGTACAGTATACGGTTTGTAATTGTTTATAATTTTAATTTATCCGAATTTGCTGAACCAGAACTCACTTTCTGGGATAAATAAGCAGGATCAAGACAGAAATGAAAGGAAAACATTGAAGATTAGGCTACACAAAATAAATGTCTTGTTTCTCGGGCAACTGACAGCTGAAACTGTAGGGGGGGAGGGCGGTTTATTATTTTTTTTATCTCATTTATGGCTAGAGGATGGTGCAAAATAAAATTTGCCTATTGTTGAAAATTGTTTGGGCGGGAGGGCGGCCTTGTATTTTTTTTTTTTTTTTAATGAGAAAGTCATTACTTGTCTACGGTTTTGCTTTCAATTATATATTATACATACTTAGAACATAAACCCAAAAATCAAGTCTACTCAAACACTGAACACTGACTGAAAGGAAAATAATTTTCCATATTTAATTCACGTAATGTAGCTTACTAATGGTAATGGTGACAACCATAATTGAAATTGGTTTAAAATAAAATTCCGTACGACTATTAATAGCCGTCCATAATAACGACAATATTTTAAAGAGTAAACCTCTGTCAGCATGTGTATCAAAAATAATCATCACGGTAAACGACACTGCGATCTAAATCTAGTATCGCTGGTTTATTATGATTGACCTAATTCCAACCAATGTCACGTGTCATCGGGATATGACTGTTTCTCAGGTTATTCGGTGTTCTATCTGGGGTTTATATCGAATGACTATTTAAATTTAACTAACAACTCGTCAGTAAAACCATCAAATGTGTAATCCAATTATTATTTTCCGGATTATCAAAACTACCGTTAAATGTGCTAATGACCTAGATTCTGACTAAGGTATGGTGACTATCATCGTATCGTATTCGTAGCCACAAGTTATAATAATTAACCTGTTCTACGATTCATTGTTTTATAAGTAGGATTTTTTCAAACATGGACCGACTGAAGCCGGCAATAATGAGCCGATTAAGATCGAATGATTGAAATACATTGCATTGTTGACAATGACTTTCGATGTTTAACACAATCAAATTCTAGTTCACAAGGGGAGGTAATTAAAATCACGTGATACAAAAATGGAGGTTCTTTCGATATCAATAAAAAAAGACCCGTAAATGAGCGTTTACATCTGAATCAGTTTAATACATTTGAATGGATATTCACGTATGGGGCATGTAGATACATGCGGCATATTTTTTTTATGACTTGCTTATCGATGTTCGGGCGGGCGTTACATATTTTTTATTTTTCATCAACACTAATAAATAGGCCGCACGCGCAACCAATTTTGCGTGCGGGCGGTGCCCGAGAAACAACTTATTTTATTTGTGTTGCCTTATATATCAAATGTGTTTGGGTATGTGGTCTAAGGGGAGATAATATGGCTCCAAGGACACATGCACAGAGTTACCTCCCTTACACTAAAGGTTTCATGAACTGGCAAAATATTTTCCTATGATGGACAAACTTTGTGCGATATCTTATTCTGTGCTTAAATTCGGCGTGACAGGTGAATCATTTTCTGAGAATTTATTCAATTTCTAATAAATAATTTAAAAATATATAAAGGAGGTTGACAAAATTTCACCCATCAATAAAAGATATGCATAATCTTGCAAATCTTTGTCAGCAGTAAAATATTGAATAAATTCTCAATTCGACCTGGAAAAAGTTCATAAGCTCAAGTCATAGCAGCACCATATCACTCCTGCCTTACAGAGCTATAGGTAACACTACTTCATGTTATGCTACGTCCAAGCAGAACAAAGTCTTTATGCATTTGCACCATCTTATAAAAAAATTACTTCAATTTTGTTACCGGTAATGTATTCAGTGGTTAAAAATATCATTTAATTACATCAAATGTATCCCATGGTTTAAAGGATCAATACCACTCTTGTTGTCACTGAATAATATGTCCCAATCTTTATTCTGGTCAACAAATTGTACTATTTTAGAATATTTCAATTAATTGATGATACAAATTTCATCTTAACACACCTTATTTAAAAATTTTGAAAAATTCAACATAATGGTTTGAAACGTCTAACGTAAACCTTTTCAAATGAAACTTTGATTTAAAAATATTTTCGAACCCTCTGGACAAGTAAAATAGGGTGTAATGGATAATTTACACAACAGTTAGGACACTTAAACATCTAGTACTTAGATAGAGATATTATTTATTTTCTGGAGCTTTCAAGCCAGCAAGAGTGTTATTGTCCCTTTAATAGCCAGTTCCAGCTTGAATTCCCATAAACCTATGTTTCGGCTTTTAATCTATAGTCTCCCAAGGTCTGGATAAAAATACTTTTGGATGATCACAATAGTTTGTCCCATTTATAAAAGATTGGGAATGGGATTAATATCCACTTGACACCTAGGGTCCATTTCAGGATTATCATACATGTATTTTAATTAATCGATAGGACACAGTAAAACCAAAAAGGCAGGCACCTGAGCTCACAACTTTTCACATACAATCATAGGAGCAAACCCATGGTCCAACTGGTCAGCAGTAAATCTTGCTCAAATCATTATGACAAAGAGAAACCTCTGTAATTAAGGAAGAGATGTGTACATGAATGGAACTGGTTTGAAGTTTCAATCCTATACTTGGGTCATTTTGAGACTAAATTATGGTAAACTGCATTTACATGGATACATCCATCATGCTGTGGGGGAGAATTTAGTTGGAACAGTAGTGTTACTCTTCATTGAATTCCAACTGCAAAGGTTTGTGCTTGCCAATCTGAACTAGATGGCCTTTCCTTATCACTCAAGCCATGTTTAAACCAAGCATGAAAAAAGCTGAAGGTAGTTCTCGGCCACGACAGGATTCGTACCAGGGATAGACTTGTCAAGAGGGCTGGGCATATGAATATTCATTATTACATCAGTCAACAGACTCCCTCTATGGCTACAACCATAGTTATCTCTACAATGCTAGTCATACAAAAGCATTGAACCCACAGGGGTAATTCGTACCAGGGATAGACTTGTCAAGAGGGCTGGGTACATGAATATTCATTATTATATCGGTCAACAGACTCCCTCTATGGCTCCAACCATAGTTATCTGAGACGCTAGTTGTATAAAAGCATCAAGCATGGCACCTGCAGGGGTAATTCTAGTAACATAAATTATATTTAACACAGAGAGAAAGGAACAAGTTAATGGTTTGTGGTACTATTATATTGTCATATCTTCTATTCAACAGATTAAATATAACAAATATTAGACTATATCTATATCATATCAAATCAGTATTCACAAACCAATATAATCGGCTCAAAATTATATTCTTGGCAACATGCTAACTTCCAAGATTCAAGAAATGAGCTGCAGACATCAAGAATAGACAGAAAAAAAAAAAGCAATGTCAGTCTGCACTCAATCGTTCGTCATTTTTAAACATTTTACTTGAATTTAGGCCTTTAATATTTTAATTTCTAGTAATGATGTATGAAAAAGAACTTCTAGCCACATAAAGACATTATGATCGTATATATTTTTTCGTGTTGCCAAAAACATAGTTTAGAAGATTCACTCACAGATGTTTCTAAAATGAATGAAAAATTTTTCACAACAAATAATCAATAAAAAATATGAAGCACTGTAAATGATCTAGTCATAAAATTGACTAATTTGATATTACGAGAAATGTACACATCAACATTATTCAGTTATTAGTGTTTAAAATCTGTTTACACAAGAAAAATCATACCAATGACCATTGTGAAATATATACATGTACACAATTTCTATGAATCAAAAAGATTAGAGTGCGATTTTTTGATATATATATATACCCTATGAGATTATTAATATATCAAGTTGTCCTGTAAAGTCAGCACTATCGTCAAAATTACTATATCAAATTAAATGCTGATTTAAAATTTGTTCATTTCACTATGGATCCATGAAAAGACCTATTTAGTTACTCTGATGAAAAAGTTGCAGTTGCACCAACATTTCTCAAGTAGCATATGAACAAATGATTTGATCTGTACACATGCAATAATATTATAGATTACTCCTCTAGAGATTATTCTAGAACTGTACAAATGACCAATTTACCAACTAAGATGTAATAAATTTAGTTAAAGTCAAGCATATATGAGTGATTTATTATATTATCACCACAAGAACCGGATCTAAAGAAGTTCAAACTTATTTCAATTGCAAAATATACGAACCGTGAAACGACCGTAGTTACCGTCGACAAAATAAATGCGATTTATAATTTTATAAAGAATAAAGTGTACGAGTGATTAAAAAAAATGAGATGTGTCGGTCTTAAAGAGTCATACCGACATAAAATGACAAGATTTACAATAAATGAACAAACAACTAACTGTACAAGATGATACGGGAATAAAAACATTTTATAATTAATATAGTTCTTCATGTAGTAATAATATATATATATATATATTTAAAGTGCATGGATGAGGTTAAAGACCTGACTACACCCCACAATGTTGTCTTCTGTCACAGAGTCGTCCTCGATAGCTAATGTTAATAGTAATTCTATGATGGCTGGGTTTTGTAATTATACCCTTGACGTAACCGAGTATTAGTAACGTTCTTATTTATGCAGTCAAGCTCAATTACTGGGCAAATCAATTGTGCCATATCTTGTGGTTAAAAATTCATTTATTATCCACAGCATTACGGACACTGCTTGACTTCTGGATCCATACCCAGAAATCCATGAAAGTCAAATTGCGTCAAAAAGGAACTTAGACAAAATAACAAGGTCATTAACTATATAAATAATTGATGAATTGCATTCAATTTTAAACTAATACGATAGCACATAAATTATTATCAATAGTAGCCATTGAGAGAAGACTGGGCAATTAAACAACGGTGGTGGACGTCCAGTATTTTAAAGTTTATTTTGGTGGAGCTGTACCACTGCTGCCTGTGTTGTTATACTGTCCATACCATTGACTGTAATCAGGAACTTGGCTTGTTGTGTGACTGCTCTGTGGATATCCCTGCCAATAATTATGTCCCCAACCTTGATTCCAGTTACTGTAGTCGGACCCTGTTTGTCCGTAACCTCCCCACTGAAATATAAAAACATGAAAATACAACAACACCTGTTATCCATACGTCTGAAATTAGTATGCATACCCCACACTGCATGACAAATCGAACAACCTGTTTGCTGGGGGAAAACCCACAAGACGAGGGAGGTGACCTTATGCCATGTCACATTCAAAAACACTGCTGTGTATCCAAGTTACTGGTATGCTTATTTGAATTAGGGAAATCACCATGCATTTTTGCATATCTTCCTGGGTAATAAGTTACTAGTTTGTGTCATCTGTATGACAGGACACTGTTCCTCGCCATGTATTTTGTCCTGTTCCAAGGAGAAGGGAAAACCATGCTTGAAAAAACCTGAGGAACGCACTCAGTCAACACTGGGAAGGTTAGACAGCTAGCAACCTACTCAAGGAGCCTCCATGTTCTGAATGAGGCATATTATGTTACATCCAATTATTCAAATATTACTTACACCACTTCCATAACCCTGACCCCAGCCTCCTTGTCCCCAGCCACCTTGACCCCATGATCCTTGCTGACTTCCCCATCCCTGACTTTTGCCATAGCCGCTTCCGTAACTATCAGTCCTGCGATCAGAACTCTGAAAAATATCAATTAAAATATATAAATCACATTTGAAATATTGGAGTAAATTTTAGAGTTCCGACATTCCAGAATAAAGAGAGAAATGGGGTTTAATTTCCACTCAACACAAACTAGGTCATTTTGGTACTAACATATGTTTCAATTTTATTTCAATAACCTGCTTGCGTATAGGTCTTTAGCATTTGGAGGAAACCAGAGAACCCTGAGAAAACCCATGAGGTTAGACAAGATGACCCTACTCCTTGTCACAAACAAGTGGGGAATTGAAACCATGCCACCTGACTCAATGACAGACCTTATGATGCACCGTGCATGCCCGAACGCCTCTAAATATATAAAGTGCTTTTATTAAAAATCCATAGATTTCACATTGCTGTCTATATTTTCAATTCATCATATTTTTGTAAATACTGATGCTATTGAACCATGCAAGAACTGATATTCACAAGGGATTAACAATCCCTCAAATGATGATCATAGACTTTAAAACATTTCCTCAAATCATATTCACAACATATTGAATTAAAGATTATCCATGATTTGAGAACGCTACCACAAGTTTGCCAAATCATAATTGACTTTTTGGCTTTCTGTTTTGTAAATTTGTCCCTAGTTTCATTAAATCATATTTGTACTCACGCTTTTATCATATTTATAGCTGCCTTGTCTGTTTCTATCGTATCTGTCATTTCTATAATCTCCACCACCTGTAACAAATTATCATAAATTATTCTACTTATTACACATGGTATCCACTTTCCATTAGAAGAATTTGGTCAAATTGTCAACTTAACTTGGTGCCGAGTTGTTCATGTAAATCAATCATTTCACTAAAGACCTACATTAAATTTTGGCTGGTTAGAAAAGGAATTTCATGTCTCTTCAGCACAATACTTGGGTCATATTGTGGTATGTTGTATATCATTGTGGTCTGAAACCTTATGTTTAAGTAAACAAGTTGTCTCCCTTATGTTGTAGTTCTTGACTGCCTTTTTTGAGCAATAAAGATAGAGATTGGAAACTGGAGAATGGTTGTTTTTCCTTTCCACCAACATGTGACTGTGAAACACCCCAGAATCCAAGGATCTGAATATAACATTAACCGGCACCAAACCAAGCTAAGGAAGGGATAATTAAATGATGTCAGTCCGTCCTTTGTTTCGATTCCAAAGCATATCTCATAAACAGTTTAACTTATTATAGTAGCTGTCCCTTTTACAATTTGAAATTTCACGATTTAATCTTTTTGTGTTTGGGGACAGCAGCAATTTCAAATGTATCTTGACGTTCAAAATTTTTCTCACAGGTCCTGTTTATCTGAAATAAAATACAACTTAGCCTAAAAACAAAAATATTTGTGTTTACTTGTTCCTCAAAAAATACATACATATGTATTGTGTATGTTTAGGGGAGGGTTGTAGGGATTAACTCAGTTTTCTATTGAGTATTTTAAACAAGGAACCAGAAACACAGGTATTTTGTTTTTAGGCTTACTGTTATAGCTGCCATAACCACCACTACGTCTATCATAGCTACCATAAGAATTGCGAGATCTGTAGTCACGGTAACCACTATTTCTGTTATATCGATCTTTGTCGTAGTAACTTCCACCACCTCCACGTCTGTTATCCCGATATCCTCCACCACCTGCAAATTGAAACCAATTTTATTTAAATCTCATTAAGTATTTCCAATAAAATGATCCTCCATAAATACACTATTCATTAGAGTCATAGTTTCTATTTTTAGAAAATATTTCTAAACAGAAGTGGTTCTAAAACTTTATGGTAGTTTTAAAAAAGTTTTTTTCTTGATTACTAAGTTCAGTTAATTTAACTTTAAAGGCATAGCCTAGATTTTTTGGTCTGAACAAAAGGTGACACTTTTGAGATTGCATCAGAGGATCCACAACGTTTTTTTTTTGGGGGGGGGGGTCAATAACTAACTCCATTTTTTGCCCATTTTTATCCCAATAAATCCATTTTTGGCTGGTTTTCTTTTTCAATAACTCCATTTTTATCTGCTTTTTTGTTCCTAATTTAAAGATACATTATTCAAAAGCAAAATTTGCCTATTGCAGGTCTTTCTTTAGGCCTTAAATGTTATATAAATTATTAATTAGACATTTATTAACATGACCAGAAGAGACCATAATCAACTCTCGATGCCATCGGATGCTCGAGATTTTAACTAGATGAGAACGGTTCGGCCATTTAATGATTTAATTTAAATATGGGGGAGTGAGTCCAAGTCTCGAATATACCAGTACCGTGGTTACGATAATGCATACATCTTACAAAAACCACAAACTTGGCTCAGAATAAAGTAATTTGAATGAAATTTTCAATATATTCATTAAGCATTATCTATTTTTGAACCATTATAGCAATAATTGCCAGCTCTTTATCTAAATCTTACATAATGTATCTTTAAACCCAATTACTAGTTAAGTTTCTAAATTGTATCATGTTACATGTATAATATGGTATTGGTAGAACTTGAAGTTGAAATATATGTAGTTTGAAAATATTTTATATTATTAGCATATCTATAATACTTACTGTGTGTTAAAATGCTATGATAAAAATCATTATTAACAAGCTATGACATTCTATATAAAAACATTACTGTTAATAATTTAAGATATTACAGAAAATCATCAGAAATAGTTTAATTAAATGAAAATTCAACTGTACATTTTCTCACAAAACATACTTTCTACACTATTATATAAGGGGGTCAACTCTGATTCCTGCATTTACATATTCAGTAATTCTGTTGTATATTCAAATATTTTGCACATCTTTAGCAGACACATTTTTTAAATTCGGGCCATACCAAAAAAAATGGAAAAAAAAATCTGGTTCCCGGACAATCCTTTCAGAATATGGGCTAAATGACATCTCGTACATTTCAAGGTTCTATGTTTATCTCATAGGTTTATAACTGCTGTTTATAGGAATTTATTTTTATAATTACTAATTCTTGTGTAACAACTGTTGGCTAAACCTTACTTCATTTACTGTAAGCTACACTGAATATAAACAAGTTCATTTACAAGCAGTAACTATTCTTTAAGTGGTATTTATTAACAGGGTAGATAAAATAACTATAACACATCCTTATGGAAAAACAACTACTGAGTATTCTCTCAAAGTTATCAGACAGTAACTAATTGTCTCAGTCTGTGAACTAGAACACAGATTTTATAGTTCTATTGTGAATGATGCCCCCATAGTATAATTTCATTCATTTCTTTCTCATTACTATATGTGGAATGCAATTAAAAGATCTTTAAAAATTAAGCAGACAAATGAAAAGTTGCTATTTTTAGTTTATGATTATCCAGCGTCATTTGTGATTGACAGTAACATTTACCAGGTTGTGTACTTGATAACGGAGCCTACTGTTCACTTTCAATAGTTACATCATTACATCATTTTACAGATAGAAACATAAAAACAGGTCTGAAGTGTTGCTGGGGTATACGAGAACTAGAATATTTTTCAGGTGGTCTAATCTTAACAACTCGTCTTTAATTCGTTTACTTGATAATGGCAACATTAAAATATTTCAGATAATGAATGGGGACCATTGGGGGGGGGGGGGGGGAATACTGAAAATTTGTTTTAATTGGCAAAAGTTTGTAGTTATTTTACCTGACCATCTGTTATCTCTCCAGCGTCGTTCAGGATTTGCTGCTAAACCTTCCTTTCTGTACGTTTCCGTTAATTTGTCAGCTTCTTCTTTCTTCAGTTCAATAAACTCCACGGAATCAAACAACTGACCTTCCTCGGGTAGAGTAAAATTAGCTGTAAACAAAAGTCAACAATAAAACATCCGAAGAGAACAGATTCCTGATACCAGTCGGATAAATTGACCGGAAATCAGAAATCGTGGTGTTGGGCTGTGAAGAAATCATGCCTAAATGCATGAGAGTTGAACTAGAGAATGAGAGAGGAAACAGCAGTATCCCACGGGTTACTGGCTTCTGGCCCTACCTTTCATATCGAGAACTGCTTTTTCCGGTATGTCTTTTCCTTCCTCCTTTTCTCTTTGGGCAATACGGCTTTTAAAATCTTCATCAGATGGCAAAATTACTACAGCTTTACGTTGAAAACCTTCAAATGGCTGCATTTTACGACGTCGGGCTGAGCCATACACATTTGTCTAGCGTTGCAACAAAGAACATATATATATAAGTCTTTAAGATTAGGTATTCCAAATGTCATAAGACATTTTAATTCATTAGTTTCTTCATAAAAAATCTGCAACATACTTCAAGAATATTTGATAAATAAAACCATCCCTTTCATTGGTGGTTCAAGCCTAGCAACAACCTACCTGCCCCTAGCAACAAGAGAAGCGATCTAACCTAACTTTACACTGGACACATTTTTCTTCTTCCTCATTCTTCAGTCGTTGATTAATTAGGTTTTAATAGATATCAGATTCTCCCCAATACAACTAGACCATGTTCATTCTGATTTAATTATGCCTATAAATCAATTACGTTATTTATATTGATGCAATGTAACTACTGAATATTATCTTCCGTTATTCCTGTGTTTGGCAAAAATATACCCGGATTAAACAGAATCTGAAGGCAGCTTTATTTCATCGGAAAGATGATTCCCTCTTATTTTGAGTTTACTTCCAGTTAGGCATAGTGACAGATTCACAAAGTATTCTAGAGCATTTTGCAATGCCACACAACGTTCAACAAGTAGAGTATTTTGATATATCACTTCTAACTACAATTATTTAGAGTGTAGTTGAGTTAATGTATTGGGCCCCCTAAAAAGGGTTCTGTTTCAGGTAACGGATGGAAAATAGGGTAGGGTCGGTAGGTAGGGGTTTTGTTTTTTTCGTGTTTTTTTATTTTGTTACATTGTAAGATCTAGTAGATCTACCGTAGAATCTTCAATTCTATGTTAGGTTGAGTCGGCGCAGGGGAACATGAAGCATGAATAGATTGGTGGATGGAATTCTTGGATAATTGTTTAAAATGTATCAAAGCCTAGATTATGATTTAAATATTCTCTTAGGGGGCAAATGGACTTTTTAATCGTTCTATGCTAAAAAAAACATAGCATAGGGAGGCCATTTTGTTCAAGGGAAAGAACTTGTGATGAAACTTAAAAAATCATATCGTGCCATCGCACGAAATAGGTCTGTAATAAATTTATTTGTCTTGTTTTAAATACCAATCAAGCAGTTATTATCCACTGGTTTGAAATATACGTTCACTTCTTTTTGTCCAATTGCGTGCCATTACTTATTAGAACGAAGGTTGTGAGGATTATAGCTTTTCGGAATGTGCAGTGGTAAATCTATACGAAACCTGTAGTCTCAATTTTCACGTCAGTTAGCAATCTTGTGTCAACAGTATGGCAGTTCTTAATAATCGTTCTCTGTACAGTACCCGCCTATTGCGATCAGTAAATGCAGATTCAAAGAACGATGACATTTATATTCATTTGTAGCAACAATAATGTAGGCATTTTCAAGAATCCGGTAGGCTTAGAGTATTCCGAACGGTCGATCGTTGAACAAAAAAAAAAGATTTTTATTTCTCTTGACAATAAAAAAAGATTTAAGAGTCGGCAGGTTTTGTAATGGGTCGGTCGGGTTACCGGAAACAGAACATTTTTTTTTTTGGCCTTGGTATTGCTAAACTACATAATGTACCAACAGAAAATAACATGGTGCGTATTTGAGCGAATGTACTTGTTTTCATTTTCTCAACATTGTCAGTGACATTCAAAATTCACATACTAATAAGTAAGATAGGTTGCCAGGCAACAAAACATACGCCAACAGCAGCTAAATCGTCCGAGCAGTCGACAAGGGTTGTCGCATATTTATTCATTTGTAGGTAATTAGGGGAATTTATTGACAATTTCATACAGATGACATTATAATTTTTGTCGTTTGATATTTATTCTTTTGTAGCTAATTTGGGGAATTTAATAGACAATTTCATACAGATGACATTATAATTTTTGTCATTTGAGGGTTCACAAGGTTCTAAAAACTAAAACAAGGGCCGTAACTCTGGAAGTAATCTACTTAAATTGTTGAAATTCCACAGGCTTTTTAGTTTTACTAATTCAAATAATGCATATAAATTTCATACAGATCGGATGATAACTTTTGTCATTCGAACATTCCCAAGGAACAACAAAGTGAAACAAGGGCCATAATTCACGGCATAATTAACGGATCTACTGAAATTGTTGAAATTCCACAGGCTTTTTAAATTTACTAATTCAAATAATGCATATAAATTTTATACAGATCGGATGATAACTTTCGTCGTTTGAACGTTCCCAAGGAACAACAAAGTGAAACAAGGGCCATAACTCACGGCATAATTAACGGAAATTGCTGAAATTCAATAGGCTTCTTTGTTTCACTAATTTAAATGATGCATATCATTTTCAAACAGATCGTATGATAAATGTTGTCATTAGAGCGTTCACAAGATTCAACAAAGTGAAACAAGGGCCATAACTCTAGATGTAATCAACGGAAATTGCTGAAATTCAATAGGATTCTTCGTTTCACTAATTTAAAAGATGCATATAAATTTCAAACAGATCGGATGATAACTGCTGTCATTAGAGCATTCACAAGATTCAACAAAGTGAAACAAGGGACATAACTCTAGATGTAATTAACGGAAATAGCTGAAATTCAATAGGCTTCTTTGTTTTACTAATTTAAATGATGCATATAAATTTCATACAGATCGGTTGATATCTTTTGTTGTTAGAGTGTTCACAAGGTGCAACAAAGTGAAACAAGGGCCATAACTCCAGAAGAAATTAACGGAAGTTATTGAAATTAAATAGGCTTCTTTATCTCACTAATGCAAACAACATATATCTATTTCAAAACAATCAGATGATAAATGTAGTCTGTAGAGTGTTCACAAGAAATTGTGGACGACGGACGGGGGCGACGGCAATATACGACCACATTTCCATGTGGGCGTATATTAAAATTACATCATAGCAGGAAAGCTTTATTATATAGTAATATTTTTGATCAATAACATCTTATATTTTTTTTTTTATTAATCGCCGAACTATGTTAAGAGAAGGGTATAGATATGGGCTCCATTCATTCCCTAGTCCAGTTTTATTTCCGTAGCACCTTAAAAATGCCCAACATATCTTTATGAAACTTTGTTAAAACAAACTATTTTAAGTAGTTGTGCCTTTCACTTATTAGAAACTTTTCAGATTTAATAAATTGTGTTTCCATGGAAACAAATTTTACTTAGTTTTTGGTATACGATGTTGATGACCAGCGTTCTCCTTAATATTTCTACCTTATGGTTCTGTATTTTGCCATTCACTCAATGCCAATTCAAATAAATCTATGTTGACAGGTTATGAACATACACCCTCCAGCAGCTTTGTTATTCAGATTCATAACTAAATAATTAAAACGGTTTTACAATTCTTAGTAATTCCGCGGACAATTTGTATATTGCTTCCAGCTGTCTTCAAAAACAAATCAAATATAACACAACACGTTAGCAGAGAAACAAATTCAGAATGAACATGGTCTTGTTGTTTACAAACAATACTACTAAATTACATTAATTAATGAAGTTTATTAAACAGTGATATATAATTATTCTAACTGGGGAGAAATCTGTTTCACGCTCTCTTGTTAAAAATTCTTCCATTAAAATCTTCAGGTTATGGAATACAGTATCAAAACAAAATCACAATTTAATTAATACATTACATATTCCTTTATCCACTTCTTGTCGCGTTTTGTGTCCAGTTAAAAAAGACTACTTTCAGACTCACCTTTCGATATCCAGACTTGATGACGTTGTTGATACTAGCTGAATTTGTTAAACTTACCTTTGAGTACTTACCTTTGATCTGCGTTACTTACGTTAAAACTTACCTTGTAACATGCATTATACTCATATATTTTTTTATATATTATATAGGTTAAAAACGTCGTAGATTACTGTTTATGACTTCTTAAATTGTAGTAAGTAATATTCTGACTAAAAGCTAAGTTCTCTCCACAATAAAAGTTAGATTTACCTGATCAAGAATATAATTTCTCTTCTTACGAGCAGCTATTTCAATAGCTCTGTTTAAACATTTTGTCGACATATCAATGAGGACATCCCATCGGCCTGAATAATTTCTCTTTCTTGGGAGTCCCATCACCTGAAATTGAATGAAATCAAGACAGGTAAACATTTACATAAAACTTGCACTTGGAGACCGATTTTATCAATTTTTGTCTCAACTTCTAAGAATTTCATAGACAAAATACCTATTGGGACAATTTTAGCTGATCTAGAATTAGGACTGTCTTTTTTCTTGCAACCAAAACTGAATTGTATATTTTAGCTTTTTCATGCAATTAAATGTAATAATATATTAAGAGATACGAGTGGCAATGAAGACCAGGTGGCAGTGACTAGTTTCATTCGTATTGAACTCTTCCGACTGATTGAACTCACATGTTGGGCGTTTTTATTCATACTATTCCGAAACCCTGGTGTTCTTTTCAGGGTTGCTACTTGGCAGGGTTACAGGGGTTGGCCTCTTAGCGAGGTTTGAGAATTTGTTACCAGGGTCGGTAGCTCGCTTACAGGGGTTGTACAGAGGTTTGACAATTATATTAAAAATTTCAATTTCTTGGCATGCAAAATGATTCTGATTTCCCAAATCTGACTTTGACTGACAAAAGTGATGTAAATATAAACCCTAGATATATCTATAATAAATCTCACCTTCATTTTATCAATGATATTATTGGTACCCAATATATTGTATTTTTTATCTGGGTTTTGTTCAGTGTGTTTAGCAGCCCATGTTGTTTTACCTGCACCAGGTAGACCAACCAACATTATCATCTACAAAATAACAAAATATTATCATCTACATATTATAAATATTGTCATCTACAAAATATCATAAATATTATCATCTACAAAAATTATATTATCATCTACAAAAATTATATTATCATCTACAAAATATCATAAATATTATCATCTACAAACTAATAAAATATTGTCATCTTTTTAACAAGCCAATACATACATGTTTGCATGTGTGCAATGTTAGTAAGACGTTTGTCCAGATAGCAATGCTTCTGTCTACTGTTCATCAAATTCATGTGTTATGCTTTTTCAATTTGTAGACATATGTACACAGGAGTGAACACACTTTGGACCTCCGTCCCACTGATGGTACCTGACAAGTAGGAACTGGTCTTTGAAAATATCTTATCGGAAAATATTTATCTTTGTGCAAAGAAGAAATCTTAGGTCATATTCCTAGTGCAAAAGTATGTCATGAATATAATCCATACCTCACAGTCCTCTTTCTTAGCCGGTGGAACTGCTCCTCTGACTCGGTTTTCCTGACTCACTTCTTCAATGAACACAAAACCTTCTTTTAATGGAAAGAAAGGCTCCTCCTAGAAAAATATAACCCAAAATATATAACAAAAAAACCCTACAAAGTCAGCCACAAACATGATCAAATGTTTCTATATTATGTTAAATTCTAATATGTTAATAAGAATATGAATGAAGCAATATAGCAAATATGTAAAATAACTCTCCTGGTGCTTGTTATAATAGAAACTTCAAAATATATGATTTTGATAATGAGAGTTTTCCATTTGATCAAATTTAAAGACTGCATGAATTTCTTATAGACAATATTTATTTCAAGGAATTCAATCTGAACACTTGCTTACCTTTTTACCGAAGTTACATTCAAATTCTGTGTTTTTAGTGAGAATATGTGGAAACATTGGTTTTCCTTCAATTGTAGCCTTTTCTATTTCAAAGCATGTGCCAAGATCTTCACCATTTTTAGAATAGGAAACAGTTGCTGGTTCACTTTCTAGGTCCTGTAACAAAAAATTAGATTATTTTATGTTTTGTCAAATGTGAAGCAAGGATGGTGCGGAGGTGGTTGGAGGACACTCTGTTAATGTATTCAAGACATTTTATATTGGAATAGAAATGCAACTCAGTTATAAATGAAATAAATGAAAAAATATTCATATTTTCATGCAACTATAATGTAAAACTAGTCATTGAGGTTTAAATACATTGAATTGATCTGTATGATAGGACTTCTCTGCATCTTAAAATGATAAAATTCATGTCGTTGAGCTATATTCAAGTACTGTTTATTCTATGTTTTGTTGAGATTGTCTGTGCTGTATACATCACATTAATGAGAAAGTTGTACAACCATGGTGACTATTTTTTAACATTGCACAAACATTTCAGGAACAAAGAAAACAGTTACAAACTCTTTTTCAGAAGATCTGATATCACTTCCCACTGGATTTATTTGTGGGAGGTATAAAAAGATGGTACATACCAAATAAGTTGTAATAACATCTCCTTGAGTAAAAGTCTGTCCAAAATCTTTAAATTCACAGTTTGTAGATGCTTTAGCTGTTCCACCATAACCATAAGATAGAGCTTCTTCTCCTATAAATATCAAATAATATAAAATGTTGAAACTGTTTAATTTCATAAAACTGAGGCGAGAATCTTCCTTCACAGCAGAACTCTTTTCCAATTCAGAAGGGATCTTTAGCCTGCCCTAGTAATTAGTAGTTGGGACCTTTATAAGCATGATTTGCGGATTTGGCGCTATATAAATGGACATACTATTATTCATTTAGCCTAACAAATGCTGATTTTGGTTTTCAATTATTCTAAATCATTAATCAATATATATTCCTCAAATTTCAATATTAATTTATTGACTGGAATCAATACTATTAAATAGTTCATAGTCAACTAAATGACAACCAACTAATAATGAAATATGGGTTTGAATATTCGGGTGAAAAATACCTGAATTTTGAAACTCAAATAGTTGTGTGATCACAAGACAAAGGACCTGGTCGATGTCATGTTGGGAATGGAACCAAGGGACACATTAGTTATCGCTTACAATAAAGCTAAGTATATTGACTTTGTTTATTAATAAAATATAAATAACTAATGTATATATACCTAATTGTAATGTTGTCGAGTCAACAGACCAACCAACACGTAATACATGAGGATTACTTTCCTCTTGAGGTAAATGTTCAACATTCAGGTTTTCTAGAAGCTGAAATATAAAGGACTCCTTTTTAATAATCAGTCATATTGAACAGAAGTTGTTCTAAGATACTGCCATGTCAATTAAAAAGATAAATGTTGTAGAACAATCAAATATGATGTTTGTGTGATAAGGGATTTAGCCACATAATTCTTTGTCAAAATATAATACGACTGAGAGTAGTTGATTTAGGCCAATCAGTTGAAACACTAACCTTAACTTCATAAGCAATTTTGCCACTGGATACACCAAACATAGTTCTGGCACCAGCCCACATGAAAGCGAAACCCTCTACTGACAGGGGTTGAGCTTTTACACCATTATCATCAACACGAAGATTTAAATCACAATTATCTGGAGAAAAAAATAAAATGAACATTTTATTATGGTCAACATTAGCAATATTTTTAAATAAATTGAGTTAATAATTTAAAACAGCACAAAAAGGTTACGGACCCTAATAAAATTTTTAATACAATATGATACAGTCAAAACACAAACTGATAAAAAGGGAGAGAGTTTTAACGTCCACTCGACACAAACTAGGTCATTTTGGGACTAACATATGGCTCAATTTTATTTCAATAATTCGCTTGTGCTTATGGGTCTTTAGCAGGAGGAAACTGGAGGACACAGAGAAAACCCACGAGGTAGGACAGGCGACTCTACTCCTTGTCACGTACAACCGGGGAATCGAAACCACACCAGTTGACTCAATGACAGACCTTATGACATAGGGCACATGTGCTAACCATTCGGTCATCTACCCCCCCCCACCCAAAACTGATCACAATGGAGATCTGAATACCATCAGATACAGTGTAACATCCATTGTTTATTGGGTGGCTTGTTTCAATTCTGTCTAAAAGCTGATTTTACTACAAACATAACTTGTTTCTTCAAATAATTTTTGATAGAATTTCTTATTGTGAAACCTCTTTCCCAAATGAAGACGTGAAGTAGATGACAAAATTCAAACATTTCTGTTGAACTAGGATCTGGGTATTATATTTAAAGTTTTCCAAATAAAACTTACATCTGTCGAGTTTAAAATCTGTTCCTGTTTCCCATGTATCATCGTCCATTTCTACAGGTTTTCTGGGTGGACTGTGTCTAAAATATAAAACCAAGTGTACTTAGAATTATCAGTCTATTTGTAAATATTCACGTAGCTGTATTTTATGTGACCATTCTTTAGTCATTATCCCAATTCAGGCATTCAACTCCACAAGTACCTCTCCTACAAATAATCAAAGACCGGTTTCCACTGAGCTTGGTTAACCAAAATTATGCATGGTGCTTACCATCATTCTTTTATGTTTCATTATTTTTTATATTTATTTTTCAAGTTATTCTAATAATATCAAATCAATGTTAAGTTATACCTTCTTTCCCTTTCTTTAGAACGAGATCTATGTCTATCACCAGACCTGGATCGCCTTCTATCTCTTGATGTGGAACGCTTTCTCTTTCGATTTCTGTCAGATTTGTCATCTAAAATAAATAAATATACATTATTTGAAGCATTGTCTCATTACAAACAAAAATACACCAACCATTGGTTGTTACTGTTTAGGCTATTTAGCTTGATGTTTGCTGTTTTCCACCAACATTTTGATTTGCAACCTAATAACACGTATAATTAATCATCTATCCATAAGATTGCACTTCACAATCTTTTTACTGAATGTGGTTAAGTATTTTGCACGGGTCAGGTCTTGTGGCATGCACTGCATTCTTGAAGCATTTCAAGACTAGAGATGAGAATTAATGCAGCAGTCAAATTACTTGAGCCTGTAGCGTCTGCAATGGACATGCAGGGTTACAGATTATGTAACTGCTGTGAAGGACATGAAACACTTTAATTTAGTTTATTTATACTTATTCCATCACCTGCTTCAGCTGATTCTTCCTTATTTCCATTCTGGACATCTTCCTGCTCCATTGGCTCTTCCTTAGAGGCCTAAAAAATATAACATATTTGTTAGTTTAAAAATATTAATCTAAAAGATATAAAATAAATTAGTTAAAGAAGGGGAGTGATCGGAACACATGTCAATTACCATCACAAGTTTTGTACAACTGAAAACCCTGTGACAGAGAAAACTTAATTTGAATTTTACATCAATGATATACTAGAATTATTATAAACGGAGAGAACGAATGTAGTAACCCGTTCCTGCCCTATTGTTATGTCTGTATTAAATTGCAGTTATCCTGTATCTCCTGTTAAGTCAATGTTTCTAACCTGTTCTGAAACTTCTTCCTTAACTTCTGTCTTTTGTTCTGTAGCTGGCTTAGCCTCATCTTCGGTTTTAACAGGTTCCTTCTCGACAACAGGTTCTGGCTTAACCTCCTTTTTAGGAACAGGTGTAGGCTTTACTTCAGCCTTTGGAACAACAGGTTCAGGTTTCACTTCTGGAACAGGTTCAGGTTTTACTTCAGGCACAGGTTCTGGCTCAGAAACCTCTTGTACTGGCTCTGGACTAGGTTCCGGTTCCACAACTGGTTCTGGTTCCACAACAGGAGGAGGTGCTTTTGCTTTGGAGGGGGTTTCTTGAAGACTTGTATCTGTTTCTTCAGTGGTTGTATCTAGATCTCCAACTGATACATCTCCAGCATCATCTACAATCATACACAATAAAAAAACATTGTAAAAAAGACAAACACAAATGATAAAACTTGGGATTTATAACAATACACCAAAAACGATGTTTTTCTCTGACTCATAGGAATGGGTGGAGATACAATATGACTAGGAGTATGTTAGGAATTTGGACACACATTCTACCAATGTTCTAAACAAACAATATATTATATAAGAATGTGAAAATCTATAATGTGGCCATGATCTTGTAGCAAAGAATTCATCAGCCTATATTCCATATTTCAGAAAAAAAAAAACAACCTTGCAAGCAAATTTACTCTTTTATGTAATTATTAGGTTGATCATATACATATGTATGTACACATCATACATGTATTTAGCGATGCTAACCGCCGCTAGGGGCGCTGGGTGTATTATTTTCGGACATCACAAAAAGTTGACCGAGAAAAGTATTCCTCATGTTACGCCTTCTCATGAATATTCAGAGTGCCAATCATTGACCACGTGATGTTTACTGTCGAGAAAAATGGATGAACTTGCTGTCGAGTAGGATTTAGAGAAGCCGAGGTAAGATTTTCTGATATTTTTCATTTATTGAAAGTTTGAAACTGATATAAATTTTCGAAAAAGGCCCTCGACGCTCAAGATTTTGGTATATTTGGAAAGCTCAATTCATTAACTACTTGGTTTGACCGTTTGTTATGTCCGTATCCCCCGTAGGAATTCGTAAAATGACTAAAATGGAACCATGTGGAATTAAAGGGAGGTAACTCGTGGTTGATCAGGGTTCAGACCATAATTGAAAACCCCACCGACTTCAGTGTAAAAAAAAAAAAAAAAAATGATGTTAGATTTGGACAGGGTTTTTATTATATTCAATGTTACTAAAGCTACCTACCAAACTTTAGCCAGACATTTCACTAACATAGGATAAAAATCGTGAATATTGTTGACCACCTTGGATTTTTTTTCCAGGAACTGCAGCTGAAGAAGTAAGCTTAGAACTGCTTATATTATAATACATTCTCATCCAAATGTAGCCAAAGGCGACCCCTGATATTTCTTTGCCCAAAATTTTAATAAAATTAAACAAAAATTAGTAGTGTCCTTTGTGGAAACCAGTTAGCTTAGCATGCTAGTTATCTTAGGTCTCAAACAAATACTTCACAATAAGAATTTTTCATTTCAGAATTGTTTAGATAAGTAATAGTAGTGCAGCTTATACCGTGATTAATAAAATGGAAGAAGAAAATTCCCAGACATTTTTTACCGAAGGAAGTGATCAAGAATCCGCCGCTGAAAGTCAATCTGAGGTAGGGCCTACTGTACTTAGTCAGTAGTGAGTTTTTTTTCTTTTTATAAGATTTTAAAAGTGGAGCATACTATTTTGAGCTCTCTTTTCCCTTACTGTTTATATAATCTTTGTCAACTATTTCAGATAACACAAGCCCCAAGACTTAATCCATTTAGCATGCCAACACCACACTTTGGATCAGATACAGATTCGTCCTTAGAAGATAGAAAACATATAGTTCCAGAAAAAGTATGTATTTTGGGAATTTTGTTTTTTCTGCTTTGCCAAAGGATAGACAAGAAGAGTGTCACCACCCCACTCGGCAGCACATTATAATTGGTTCGCCCCCCCCCCCCCCTCAATAATTGTTACAATCCTGAATCCAGAATGTCATTTGAAAACAATATTTCGGTGCCTATGTTTACACAACCTTCAGTGACCAATCTGTTAATATTTTTTGTATCTTTTCAGGTTGCACGATTAGAAACACAGCAAACAGTGTCAGCATCATCATCAGAGTTTGACTCCAGTCCAAAAATATTAAGAAAGAAAACAAAGAAGGTTAAAGACATTAACTCAAAGGAAGTACAAACTTTGATTGTTGGGGAAGTCCTTGCCAGTTCAAAAAATTTTATCCACAGTTTGGAAGACCAGATTGACGTGGAAAGAGGAGTTGACAACATGACAGTAGCAACACAAACAATAATATCAGGTGCCTTCATGGTTTATTCCGAAAATTTATATTATAATTTTTAAATTTTCTTGATTCACATCCACATGTAATATTTTGCTCAGGTATTCCACCCTTTTTATAGTTGTCATGTCTTTTTGTACTGACCTTGGGTTTAATGTTGAATCTGTCTTTTCGGATATAAAACCCAATGTCAGAAAATTGAATAATGGGGCAATCCTGGAAATCATGGCTTATGGAAAAACAAAACAAATCTCGACAAAGGCCATTGTGAAAATATTGTGTGACATGTGCGAAATTGACAGTGCAAATGTGGAAGCCTGCATAGCCAAAATAAATCGAGTAATACAGACAGACAAAAAGAAAAGATTGGAAGCTAAAAATGTGTATAGACTTGAGCCATTCCACATTCCGGTTTCCTCAGTAACCACAAGTTCCATGACAAGTCCAGTTCAAGAAAGTCCAACCATACAAAAATTACCACAAGAAAAACTTGAAACTCTGAGGAATGTGAAGGAAACTAATAGAGGTCTTAAAAGAAAATTACAAAGGAGAGAGGCTTCTTTAGAAAGAAAAATGTCATCAAACACATTAAAACTTGAAAAAGTGATAGAATCTGTGGGGAAAAAAGTTAAAAAATCAGAAGAATTAATAAAAAAAAAGGATGAGACTCTCAAAAAACACAGACAACAACATAGCCAAGACATTTTAAATTTAAGGCAGTTAAACAATTATGCGAAAATTGTCAGAAAAAACCTGGATGATGTGAGCAAAATTGTGGAAGAAAAAACAAACGAATCAAGTCTCCTGGAAAAAGGGAACAATCTTTTAAGAGAAGAAAACCAAGAGCTAAAAGTTAGCGTGGATTATTTACAAACTTTGCTAAATGACAATGAAGAAATAACTTTGACAAATCCATCAACGCCAGTATATTCAAATGAACTAACTGAATGTGTCATGAATCTAACAAACTACAAAGTAGCAAGCAAAAGTGTTGGGCCAGTAATACAGGAGGTTGCCCATCTTCTTGGAAAGAGTATAAATCAATTACCGTCACGTCAAACCGTTGACAACATTGTTGATAGGAAAGTAGCAATGGCACAAAAACATGTCTCGAAAATAGTTGCAAAAGAAAGTGAAACTACCCTTTATACAGATGAGACCAGAAAACACGGACACACGTACCAGACATATATCGTTACAGACAAAAGTCAAAATTCCTATTTGTTAGGTCTCAGGGAAATGGTAAATAAAAGCTCTCAGTGCACCTTAGATGTTTTCAAAGAAATCTTAATGGACATCTCAAATCATTGTAAAGAAATGTCAGATAAAAAAAATTTTAGTGCAGGATATGAATTACTTTCTAATATAAGAAATACTATGTCTGACAGGGCTAGTACAGAGAAAGCCTTCAACACATTGCTTCAGGACTATAAAGAAGAAATTTTACCCAAAATAATTGATAATTATGCAGATCTTTCAGAAGAGGACAAAGCTCATTGTGGAAGAATAAACAATTTTTTTTGTGGGTTACACCTGTTGGTGGGAATGGCCGATGTTTGCGAAGCAACCTTGAAGACATTTGAAACAAATTATTTAGATGGAAAGGATGTAGGATCTGCTGCTCGACCGGAACTGAAACGTTTCCACAAGGCTGAAAGCGGGACATTACGACTACTCCGGTCTAGCAGCAAAGCTTTTGCACGCGGTGAAGATGAGAAAAATGGTGTGTATTTGCCATTTACAACATACTTAAATCAAAAAAAGGAAAAAAATATCATATTAAGATTTAAACACAATCGCTTTAATATGATATTTTTGATGGGTCAAGCCATTTATTATCACAGAGTAGATATTTCTAATTTCTTAGAGAAGGAGCACGGATATACAAATACCCTGTTAAAAGCTGTTCATTTGGACGTAAAGGAAACTCTGTATTTGGCTGGATGCAAGTCTCTTGGACTAATTTCTAAATTTATAACAGCTCCCTTATGGAGGATAATTGAAGAACCTGGAAATATTCTAGATATGAATGAACATTATCACACCCTTGTGACATTTCTAAATGAGGCAAGCATCAGTCTTGATCTGACCCAGAAATTCATTATTGGTGAATCCACGCCTTTTCAGACAGTTGAAGAAAATGACAAGATTTTTCACTGCTTAACAACAGCTAATGAAGAAGTGGATGAAATAGTTGTTGCATTATTGCAATCATTGTTTTTGGCAATGAAGGAATTACTTCTAAGGTTAGTACCTGAACACTTGCCAGGAGGTAAATTTTGGAACCCTTCAGAAAGCTTAATGCAAGAAACAGCCTCTGCCAAAAAGCACAACAAGCTCCCAGAATTTATATTTGGACAGTTGGACCACCTCATTTCATATAGACCAAACGCATCTTTGCTTGCTAATGAAGCCTATATCATGTTTAGCTTCAATAAGACATCAACCTGGCTTAGAGGACTCAATGATGATGAAAAAGATAAACTGTTAGATGAATGTAGGGGTGAAGGTCGAGCAATCCGAAAGGACTTTAAAGAAAGGACAAAATTAATTGCTAACGAGCAACTTAAACTACAAAAATTGAAAAAACAGGAAATGGAAAGATTGGAAGCCGACCGAATAAAAAGAGCAGAAAGTATGACCAATGATGTATGCTATTATGGTTTGTGGCAGACTGTTGACCAGATAGAGGAAGGAATGGGTAAATTAAATAATGAAAAAGAAATCAGATGTGCGCTTCAAGCTCAGATCAAGTTCCGAAAATCAGTTCTTCAACAGAAGCATTGTAATAAACAAATTTTTAACCTGTCAAAGAAACAACCTAGTGGCAAGTATCAAAAATTATCAGTAGAAGAACTTAAAAAGAATTTATGCGAACTAGTGAAAACAGCCTTAGACGTTGGTTCAAGAACAGAAGTTTCTGCCTTTGATGTGCCGTTGTTGGTCAACAAAAGGATTGCACACAGGTTTTCAGACGGACAGGAATATGATGGCTATGTCATAAATGTTGTTCCAGGATTCCCCCATTGGTACAACATAAAATATACAAATGATGATGCTATATACTCATACAATTTGCATGATGATTATAAAAAGGGTGACTTGAAACTGATTGTTTCTCAGCATTCTCAAGAAAGTCCATAATTATTATAAATTATTATCATCATTGTTATGAACCATAGAAGTTAGTTTAGTTTATTGTTTGAAATCAGTATTAGTAATCTTGTTTTTTTTTAATTGTGATAATGTTTTTTTTTATTTGTGACATACATGTATTCTACCTGAAAAAGGTGGCCTGGTGCTTCAAACTTTTTTGTTTTGTTTTGGAAAACAACGAATATGAATAGTGTATCATAACGCGATTGTTTTATATTTTTATATGCATACTCACTGAATAATGTAAAATATTGTAATTATGGAGAATTTTGAATTCCCTTAAGGATTAATATTATCATTGTTATGAATCATAGTAGTTAGTTTAATTTATTGTTTGAAATCAGTATTAGTAATCTTTTTTTTTGTTATTTGTGATAATATTTATTTTATTTTTAACATATTCTACCTGAAAGGTGGCCTGGTGCGTCCAATGTTTTTGTTTATTTTGGAAATATTTTTATATTGTTATTATTGTTTGTTTTTGTAAGAAATCTTATATTTGTTGATAAATGTGATAATTGTTTCTTTTTTATTTTATTTTAAACTGGTGGGTGAACATTTTTAAGTTCATATTGAAAAGTAACAGGTATGAATAATGTATCATAATGTGATTTTTTAAAAAATATTTTTATATTTTTATGACATAGATAATGTCTCAATATTGTTTTTATTTTCATGGCATAATGTCTCGATAAGAAAGCTAGACTTCTGCCACTAATATTATAATATAGTATATCGTAAAGCACATGCATCACAAATGAATGTTTTTAATACTCTTTCATGTAGATCATATCTTACTTTTTATAAGCTTACCTTTTAATTTGTTATTAAGCACAGTACATTTTGTTTTTATCATTTTGCATATTTATCAGACAATTGAAGTGATCATGATACTCATTGTTTAGGGTTATTTGGACTCTTTAAGATATTCAAATGTTTTAATTATGTCTATGTTACTGTTTTTATTTGAAATTTTAGTGATGTTGATCACAAAAATATAGCTGTTATATAAATCATAGTTTAATTGTTCATTTTCATTCCTGAAACAACTAATCTCAAATTGATGTACATGGCAGCTTATAAACAACCAATACAGTTGGTGTGGCAAAGGCTGCAAATCTGCCAAAAGCTTACAGGTTTATTTCCAATTTTGCCACACAGTTTCGAGGATTCTTGAAAATATCCACAATATAACCGCCCCAGGAACAGTAGGTGCCCAATTACATACATAAACTTGTTTCCCTTCGACCTTGACATAAAACGGTCAAAAATTGTGATTTAAGGTGTTGTCATACAAAAAAAAAAATAACAGAACAGATTGAAAACACTGTGTGTGTGCTTATTCATTCAAAAATAAGGCTCTGTATTAATGTCAAAGCGCTACAATTTAAGTATACACAAATTTGTCCATTTTTTTGCTGTAATTTGTGCGAAATCGGCACAGACCCCAACTTTGAACCTCTGTAACACAAAAAGTATATAACAGAATATTATAGCGACAAGTTTGCCTTATCAAGTACATCTAGGTCTCTAATTAGTGCAATTTTCATAGATCTATCTTGTATAGTTACTGAGATATTGGCTTCGGTCAGTTTTTTGCGTTTTTTAAAAAAAGCCGTTTTTTAGTGCCTCTGGTTTGGCATCTTCAAAACGCTATAACTTTTTTAATTTTCAATATTTTTTCGAAATTTTTTCAGATTATTCATTCTAGATAGTTCACAATTGCAGTAGCATTGTCATTTTAGAGTTATTGTTTGTATCTGAAAACCCGTTGGCACTGCTAATGTATTCATTCAAGAACAAAAACAATGGACTAGTTTCATAATAAAACTAATAAATTTCATGTTAAACTACCATATCAACAACAAGAAATGCTCACTATCCAAGGTTCATAACCCAACATAGTCTACCTGAGCATCTTATTATCTTTAATTACTCATCCTCTATCAACCAACAACATGACCTACATTTGGGCGTTGACCCACAAAGAGCACGCGGTTGCGCGACCTGATCTTTGTTTTCATTCCAAATTTCACTTACAAACATTTGATCTTGTCCCTTACCCAGCACATAAATGTTGGCTAGTACAATTATGTGCCGATATAGATGCAACCTGACTTCAAAATCAAATCAAAACAAAGAAAAATGCTCACCATTTCCCTCTTCAGCATTGATTGCTGCAATCAATCTTTTTGCGAGGACCGCTTTTACTCCTTTCGTGTCGAGACCTCTTGCTTTTAGCTCTTCTCGCAATTCTGCGACTTTCAATTTTGTTGGGTCGATGTCACTCATTTTGAATGATTATTTTGCACAACTTAGATTAGGGTTTTCATCAAAAAAACTACAATAATTATAAATTCAAGTCACTACTACGTTTCGTTCTGTTAATTTCCCGGTTCAAAATGGCTGCAGAAAAGACGCACATGCGCTGCAGGTTCAAATTCTTTCAGCGGAAATTTTATAACAAAACGAAATAGTATAATAAATTTTAATCATTTCGTAAAATAAATAAGATAGTTAACTATATTTTGACTGTTTTATATCGTTCAAAATTTTGAAAATAGGATTTTGTTTATTCTTGTTTCATACTTTTAACATCTGAACTGCATTGTTTCGTTTGATTTATACAGCTAGAATTTCATATTGTGGTTAATCTTGTTATCCAGTACTTTCATTAGCATGAAAATTACACGAGAAATTATTGCGTCTGGAAAGAACGAGACCAAAGCGGGTCTCTAAAAATTTATCGCGCCTACCGTTAGCAACACATTTGTATACATCATGGCAGCCAGCACAGACGAAGCAAAGGAAAATGCAGGTTCTAAGCTTTCTTGAATTAACAAATTGTACTATGACTTGTTTTATGTACGAAAATAAAATTAGGCCTTAACCTAATGTGATGTACACTGTTCCTTTAGTACTAATTTTGATCATAATGGTAATATCTATGTTTTGATGGACTAGGCCTAGTGTCTGGTAAATTATAAATGTAAGTTTACCCTATGGCAATGCCTATAGTGGCTATAGGCCTAGTACTATTAGAGGCCTATCGATCGCCTTTTGGCTAGTGGCTCTAGGAGTACAGGCCTACTGTCAATCAGTTTCAATTCATATCATTATCTGGTCTATCTTTTAACTATAATAAATAAAAAATATAAAGAAAGTGTCCTAAAAAAGTAATAGTAGTTCAGCTCTGAAGCCGAAGGTAAGTTCTCATGATGAGTCATTACTACAGTACACATTCAGGAACTGGCCTATCCTATAGTAAAGGCTATTGACTTTTTGTCGAAAATTTTTCTGTTCCCTCTATATCTTACTGGGCAACTTTTTACTGTTAAACAGTCGCATGTCAGTCCCTGTAAATGGCTGTGCAATGTAAAGGAACATTTTAGTGAGAAAATAAGACCTTGCTTACCTCACTACAGTCAGTATGTGCGACACAAGATGCTGTTAAAAATACGTCCACTTCTGCTAAACAGCTTGGCAGAAGCCATTGAAATCTAAATATGAAGAACGCACAAATTTACGTAACTCGACCATATATAACAAAACGAAATTGGTCAAAATTTATACCAACATTACTGTACATTATTCATGCATGACTTGTATGGGTTAGTACTTCTTGTGTATTTTTATTGGCTGTTGTACATGACATATAGCCCCACCTACATGGCATAAAGAAGTCAAATTTAAACTGTCGGGAATAGCCAGCTAATTCTGCCGTTGGATTTGATTAAATTTATGAATTTATGTGGTAAAGTTTCACCTTTATTTCAATGGGAAGTGATTTATTATATTTATATGTTAAGCTATGTGCACAATTAATGTATTGGAAATCAAAATTGTAATAAACAACAACACATAGAACAACATTTTTAGCAAGTCTTCATGTCTATTACTATATTAGATCTATGATTGAACCAGCTCATTAAATTTTGTTTGTTAATTTGATACTGTAATTATGCTAAGAACTTTTAATAATATGGACTAGAAAGTGTCAAGTGAATACTCCGGGGGTAGCGTATTTCCAACTTTTAATTTATGCATGTTTATTTATATTTACCAGGATGTTAACTGAAATCATTGACATTTTATAAAATATCACGATATAGTGATTATATCGCAATGTTTTCTAGTTCCACAATGAATATTCATAACCATGGCATACATTTTTAATTTCAGGGGCTTGTCTGAAAATGCACCCTTTAGATGTAAGCTTACTAAAAATGTTTGTTTTACACAACTCCCAATACAAACTTCGAACTCAGTTTTTCTTTTCTTTTGTAGATTCCTTGTTTAACGAAATTCAGAGAAAAATCACAGAGGCTTTTGATATTTTCGACCATGAATCAAATAAAACCGTTGATGTGAGGTAAATATTACAATGAATGAGAGAATTATAGATTAGAAATCATTAATTATTACAGTGATAATTATTTACGACATAGAGGTTGGATGATAATGAATAAAGTTTGATATTGTTTAAAGGAGCTAAATCGCTTACATTTGGGACATATAAATTGACAAAAGTGGGTCGCAACGCATATAATACTGTAATATGAATGTATATAAACTGATTTACATTCAATGGTTTCCGTTTTTACTCCAATTTCAAATAGTTATGTTCGGCGAAATAAGCCAGCAGTCTCAATCGAGTGCAAATTTCTAGCGCCTGGTTATTCCAGTCTACATTTGGTGCAATGTGTCTAGCCTCGTTCCTCGAGTCTCTTGTTACAACTGGGACTGAAGTCCATTATGGTACACGATTCGTGTACCAATGGTAAAATGTTTATTTTGTCTTACATATTGGATATCAAAAGCCCATCTTTTTCCGGTAAGATCACAACATCAATGTTGATTTAATTTGACAAATAAATCGTGTTTTCAATGTTGAAGATTTTGGATGATATTGAGTTAGAGACTTAGCTACTTTATGGAACGGCTTACCACATATTGTTGAATTCACTCAAATCACAATTTGAAAACTCATTCAATCATTCAATTCATTATAATTAGAGTGTAAGTTGTATAGATTTGGTAGTTTAGCATGCATTTGTGGATTTAATAGGCGCGATATTATTACTCTTCCACGTTTTCTCTCTTTTAAAGAAATTGGTACAATTGGTGTGATATATTATTATGATATTATTAATCTACCCCTTATTTTTTAGAGAAATTGGTACAATTGTGAGATCACTGGGTTGTTGTCCTACAGAAGGTGAATTACAGGATATGTTACATGAGGTAATTATAAAACTTGTTTAGACTGACAATGTTTTGATTTTATAAGATTCTGTCAGGATAATGTTTCCTTCAGTTGAAATCTTATTATGATTACAACTAACACTAACACTAGATTTCAGTTTGACTGTACACTTACATCAGGTATGTTCAAATTAATATTGCATGGATAATTTAAGACAATTATGACAATCCGTTGGTATAAGCTATTAATTTCCAGTTTACATATTCATTACTTGCTTTCTGGTTGTTAAACCAACACTCCTCCATACTTATAATTAAGTAGGTCAGTGCATAGATTTTAAAAAATTAGACAGGTCAAAGGTTATTTTGAAAATATTATTTGAAAAAGGTCTCCAGTATAAATATAGTGGCTGAATGGTTAATGCGTGCATATTGGATCGGAAGGTCTGTCATTGAGTCAAGTGGCATGGTTTCGGTTCCCCGCTTGTATGTGACAAGGAAAAGGGTCGTCTGTCCAATCTCTTGAGTTTTTTCCGAGTCCTCTGGCTTCCTCCCACTGCTAAATACCCCTACACGCAAGCAAATTATTGAAATAAAATTGAACCATGTTAGTACCAAAATGACCTAGTTTGTGTCAAGTGGACATTAAACCACTTTAAACCGGTTTCCTCCCACTGCTAAAGACCCCTACGCGCAAGCGAATTATTGAAATACAATTAAACCATGTTAGTCCCGAAATGGCCTAGTTTGTGGACTTAAACCTCCCTCTCTCTCTCTCTCAATATAAGTACACAAGGTATTCACTATAATAGCATTGAAATTCAACCTATAGCCAACTAAACTACAGTGACATCCAAGTTTAAAAACATTTAGGAAATGAATGATGTTGCTTTGTAAGTTAAACGACTCACACTTATTAATTTATTTACAGATTGAAGAAGAAGAAAACACCGGTTATATCAGATTTGAAAAATTTCTTCCTATGATGACAAAAATCTTAATGGAAAGAAGGTAAAGCATATATTGTCAGTCTGGGTGCTGTGGCACAGTGATCTCAATGACAACACTGCAGATCTGTCAGCTATTCCAATGTAGGGTCCTATTATGATTTTCCAGTCTGCTTTTCCTTTGTTTTTTGGTGCAGGAAGTACTGTGGAGCTTGTAGGGAAAAGCATCTAGTTGTTCGAATGGGATGATTAACCAAGATTCACCTGTGTATTTAATTGTAGAGTCTGTTGTACTTTCAAACCCCTCAATGTTCCCAAAACCACCCAACCTTTCGATCAAGAAATAACACCCACTCCCTAAGTCAAGCTGGCAGACAATAAGCCATCGGGATGACAATTAGTGATACCCTGACGTGTTTGCCGAGTGCTTGCCCCATGGGTGATTTTCAGGGAATCCAGTATTTTTCTAGTAAAAATGGGGGTTTCTACTTTCCTTATACCAGATCTGCCATACTTTTATTGGAAATAACTACCCTATAAATACTTTCGTAGGAATGTATCTTTAAGAGAACAAAGCAGAGTGAAAGAAAAAGGAACCTGACTCTGCTCCTCTATAAGATCTGTGTATGGTGTAGGCTTCAGTAGATAATGTTATCAATGCAGTAGTCAGGGTTGCTTCCCTACCGATATGAGGTTTCTTGACAAAGAGACCCCATTTCTCTCTCTCTCTTTCTTGACAAAGAGTAGGGTTGCTTGCCTGCCCTCATGAGGTTTCTTCAACTGCATTGAGTGGATATTAAACCCTACTTCTTTCTCTTCTCATGTTATTGGCATCGACTTTTGTTATAATAGGTAAATAGAATACAAAAAATCTGTATTATAATTGTATGTTTTAAGTGCCCTTTAGATCATTAGGCCTGTGCCTGTATGTGACAAGGAGTAAAGTCGCCTACTTAACACACACACACACCTCAATGTGCATCGAATTATTGAACAGAATTGTACCATATATGTTAGCCTCAAAATTGTTTGGTCGTTAAATCCCATTTATCTCTCTGACTTTAATTGTGTTTTGTTTTATTTATTATAGATATAAACCATCACCAGAAGATATTTTATTGTGTTTTATTTATTGTAGATATAAACCATCATCAGAAGATATTTTATTGTGTTTTATATATTGTAGATATAAACCATCACCAGAAGATATTTTATTGTGTTTTATTTATTGTAGATATAAACCATCACCAGAAGATATTTTATTGTGTTTTGTTTTATATATTGTAGATATAAACCATCACCTGAAGATATTTTATTGTGTTTTGTTTTATTTATTACAGATATAAACCATCACCAGAAGATATTTTATTGTGTTTTGTTTTATTGTAGATATAAACCATCACCGGAAGATATTTTATTGTGTTTTGTTTTTTTTTTATAGATATAAACCATCACCGGAAGATATTTTATTGTGTTTTGTTTTATTTATTGTAGATATAAACCATCACCGGAAGATATTTTATTGTGTTTTGTTTTATTTATTGTAGATATAAACCATCACCGGAAGATATTTTATTGTGTTTTGTTTTATTTATTGTAGATATAAACCATCACCGGAAGATATTTTATTGTGTTTTGTTTTATTTATTGTAGATATAAACCATCACCGGAAGATATTTTATTAAAAGCTTTTCAAGTTTTAGATGTTGAAATGAAAGGATATTTAACCAGAGAAGAATTAGAAAAATATATGACAGAAGAAGGTTCGTAGTCTTGCTTAAAGTCCCATCTCATGTCTGTGTCAATAATGCCCAGAATTGGACTCAGATGTTTTTTTAATAATTGGCTTGTTATCAAATTTTAAAACCATATGGAAATGTACATTCCATCAATGTAATTGTTAAAACACATAATTGTAAACCAGCTGATCAGAACAGTTTGTCAGTACTCTAAAATACATTGGCGTGCACGTAAAAGATCCCTTAACAGTTGTAATTCGATATATAAAAGTAGGTCATAGTGCCGCTGCCCGGGCAAAATTTCCCTCATAGCACAATGTATGGCGTATGCTCGTCTTCATTAGCCCAGTCGGAGCAGAACGGGTTCAATCCCAGTTTTGGCAGAGAAAGTTTCTCAGGTTTTTATGGCTTTGTTTCCAATTGTTAGTGGTGCAGGACATTGGAACTGACCCAGGATTAGCATCTGATCGTTCAGATGGGACAAAAAAAAACCCTCAGAGGTCCTTTGTATACCTTGGTGTGCATGTAAAAGAGCCCTTGACAGTTGGAATTCAGTTGCTGTCCGAGCAAGATTTCCCTCATAGCAGGGCATATGCCCATCTTTATTAGTCAGGTTGAAGCAGAGAAGTAGGATATTAAACCCCATTCCATTCATACATTCATAACCAAGGATGAATTAGAATTAAATCCCAATCGCATGGGAGATTATGAATCAGTATTTTCTCACGCAACCTGCCCCTGATCTTGTGAAAGAGGCGGTCTGTTGCTGACTCTCCTCCTATACGATCAATACAGCTGATTGAATACGGTTCTAGCTGCGCTTGTGTCAGACTTTAACCATGTGTACTAAATACTGTTCTCTATTTTTTTGTTGGGGGGGGGGGCGAGGGAGATGGATGTCCGAATGGTTAGCACGTGCTTGCTGTATCGTAAGGTCTGTCATTAAGTCAACTGGCGTGGTTGTACGTGACAATGAGTAATGTGGGTTTTCTCCGGGTCCTCCTACTGCTAAAGACCCCTACGTGCAAGCGAATTATTGAAATAAAATTGAACCATGTGTTAGTCCCGAAATGACCTAGTTTGTGTCGAGTGGACATTTAACCCCATTTCTCTCTCTCTCTTTTTGTTTGTCTTTTTTATCGATAAATAAGTTGTGAGTGATGTAATTTTATATTAGTTGTACTTATGTAAAGCGTCTGAGAGCAGCTCGCTGAGTTGAATTGTCGGGGCTATATAAATTTATTATTATTATTATTGTGTTGTTGTATATCTACAGGTGAACCATTTACCCAGGATGAATTAGAAGAAATGTTATCATCAGCCGTAGATCCAGATAAAGGAACAATATTATATAAAGATTATGTTTCTGAATTAACTGTTGATGAACAATAATACCCTAGGTTTTAAATTAAAATGATGTAAAGGACCCTGAGATGTTTTGTAATGGATTATAAAACTCTTAAATTGTCCATAAGGAACATGTCTTCAGATGTCTAACATTTTAATTTAAAATATTTAATAGTGAGGAGAAAAATGTATGGTATAAAGTTGGTTAAAGGGGGTCATTATTAACTGAACTTTAGTGGGGGTCCAGGGGGTGTATATATCCATTTGACAAGTTCACTTTGTCTCCTGTCAATTGTGCATTTCAAAATTTCTTTATTGTACCTGGCCTTTCTAGTTATGATTAAGTCTGGCATATATATAATCTGTAAAAATTAAATATGAATTGAATATGTTAAAAGCAGTATTCACCAACAAGTTGTAAATTGTAAATAATATTTTAAAAAGTCAACAAATCTTATATACACATACTATTTATTATTTATATAAATAAATTATCATTATATCAAATCATGAATTGCTATCATTTAAAAACCACTGCCCAGGCCAAATCCCACCTCCCCCTATTTAAATGTAGATGTAAGCATAGTATATAAAACTTGAATGTGTTAGTCTCACCATGAATGATATATTGCACTAAGATGTTAAAACACATCCCATTCTTTTATAATTTTTAAAGCTGGGTTCTCACTTGTAAATGATGGGATCTGTATGAATGTTGAGGAAAGTGTTTCTAGTCCTTCGGATAGAACAGAAAACATGCATCCCATTATCAATAAGTAGTTCACATTCAAGATCCTATGGCAGCTAGAATAGAAGAAGAGATGGTTGTCCAGGAATAATTATCCCCCTTGCATTGCACATGTAACCATAGAAACAAAAATTACTCTATTATTTATATCAAAATGACCTAAACAAAGCATAGAAGAGACAATAAACTCCATTCCCATCAAATCAATTGTCTTGTAACCATTACTGCATTGATTGCTAAAATTGATATTTTTCAGAGATCAGCTTTGAAACCTCTAAGGGTTATATGTTACAAGGAGTAGGGTTGTCTGTCCAACCTTGTTGGTTTTCTCCGGGTCCTCCGGTTTCTTCCCACTGCTAAAGACCCCTATGCACAAGCAAATTATTGAAATAAGATTGAACCATATGTTAGTTCCGAAATGACCTAGTTTGTATCGAGTTGACGTTGAATCCCATTCCTCTCTCTCTCTGAAACCTCTAAATAGAACCAACCATATATTTGGTTCTTATCCCTTTAAATGATGCTAATATCTTTGCATAGGTATAAAAAAAAAAATGTGGAATATATAAATTAATCATAAAATTATCAAAATGTCCGTCTTTAAAATGAGCACCACCACAAAACTATAATGTTTAAATTTGTTTTTAGTCATTTTTGTTGGTCAAGGGATGAAACTGGTTTCCCCTTCGTCAATAACTATTATAAATCTAAATAAGTACACAAAATGGTCTCTTGTGATTGTTTGTTTTGCATTTGTCTGTTTCAGAACTTTGATTCCCACCACCACCAATAGCTGCGTAAACAGCTGTTTCAAACACGTCCTTGAGACCATCTTGCGTTAACGCTGAACACTCGACATATGAATGAGCACCTATTTCACTCGCCAATTCAAGTCCTTGTTGAAATTTAACCGGCGATCGTTTTTCAGCTTCTAATTGTTTTATTTCTGGATAACTATGTCTCAGGTCGGATTTCGTTCCAACCAAAACGATTGGAACACCCGGAGTGTGATGCCGAACTTCTGGAATCCATTTTTCTTTCACATTTTCAAAGGATGTTGGGTTCATAACCGAGAAACAAACAACAAATACATCTGTATCTGGGTAGGCCAACACTCGCAGACGGTCAAATTCTTCCTGTTAAAATACAAAAATCAAATTTGTTTTAAAATCAAGACAAATACAACTGGCAGTGTTATAACCGAAATAGTAAAATTTAGAATAAGTTTTTTTATTGATTTTGATCAGGAATTGAAGTAAATGTGACGCTTTATATTACATGAATGAACAAGTTCCTCAGGTGTTTCAGCATGCTTTCCCACTGCAAGTGGAGCAGGACAGAGGGCCTGGCAGGGAACAGCGTATAGTCTTTCAGATGGGACAAAGGTCCTGTGGTACCCATATGTGTGCACATAAAAGAACTCTTGACAGTTGGAATTCACTTGCAGTGCAGGCAAAATCGAGGTCCCATGTAATTATTAGTGTGCAGGTAAAAGAATCCCTTGAGGGTTGTAACTGGATCAAAAGTAAAAGGAAACGCATCCATTAGCAGAATAGTAGAACGTTAAAGCCCAGTTCATTTCATATATGAGTAGGTACTTTTAAACTTATCAGACTTAAGTTAAGAATTTACTCAACTTTCAATCACTGTTTATGAGATATATCTTTGATCCACAAACACAAAACTTTGCACATAGTTTTTTATTGATGAATTTGATACATTAAAAAAACAAAAGTTTTATAAAGAGCTAAATTTCAGTTAAAATAAGGTGAACAATTTTGAGTAAATTCTTAACGTCTAAGAATGCTTTGTGAACTCGGGACCAGGGGTTTGAAAAGACCAACAGATTTAAATTTCATTCAGCCATTTTGTAGGGTAGGCCTACATTATGAGTTAATGATTAAAAATTATAGAAACCTACCTGTCCCGCTGTATCAAATAACCCTAAAACTAAACTCTGATCTCCCACTGTCAGCGTAACTGAAAACAAACAAAATGTTTTTATATGAATATCATAATATGAATACCATTTAAATTTAATCTATCATTAGCACCAGCAGTGCCATATTGTCACAAAATTGGGGGTCACGGTGGCTAAGTGGATAAGACGCTGGCTCACTAGCCTGGAGGTCTGGTGTTCGATCCCTGCATTGGCCGAGAAAGTTCATCCAGATTTTCCTGCATGGTTCCCCCTTGTCAGTGATGCAGGACAGCTGTCTAGTCATTCGGATGGGGCGGAAAACTGAGGTCCCGTATACATATTGGCATGCACGTAAAAGATCCCTTGAAAGTTGGAATTCGATATAAGAGTAAGCCGTAGTGCCACTGTCCGGGCAAAATTTCCCTCCTAGCACACTATATAGCATATGCCCGTCACTGTCCGGGCAAAATTTCCCTCCTAGCACACTATATAGCATATGCCCGTCTTCATTAACACCATTTCATTTCGTTTCATTGTAGTCTTAATTATCCATTTTTAAATTAAATCATTAACCGCAAATCATATTTAAATCTGTGGAAAATCAAGAGCATCTGATAGCATAAAGAGTTGATTATGGTTTTGGCAAGTTAATAAAGAAAGACCTGCAAAAGGCAGATTGAGCTCTTGATGATGCCCCTTTAATCAGCCAAGCCACAGCTTGGATATTTTAACTTCCAATTTACAAGAGATTGTGATGGATACATTATTCTTATTAAACATGCATTATGCAAAAGCTAAATCTGCCTGTTGCATGTCTTTCTTTAGGCCTGAAATGTTATATAAATTATTAATTAGACATTTATTAAATTACCAAGACCATAATCAACTCTTGATGCCATCGGATGGCTCCGATATTTAGTAGATTTGAATATATTTTGTGGTTGATGAAATATCCATAAAAATGAATAATCGAGACTTGGTTTATTATTGTAACAATGGTAGTAATGACAATCAAGGCTAGCCTATAATTGTTTCGCCGATAGCTTGGCTTAGAGTGAAGTAATTTGACTGAAATTTTCAGCACATTCTATTTTCATTATAGCGAGAACTGTTAGCCCTTTATCTAATCTTACTTATTGCCACTTTAAGTCAGTGCTCAGATTATATTATTATCTATAAATAGGTAAGTCTTGGGTTAGTTTAGCTAAGATATAAAATTAAGTGTGGTTTAATGGTGGAGAGCAAGACGTTAAGTATAGTATATTGAAACAACCAATATATTACACAATGTCTTAAGCTCGAGACCATTAAACAACTGCTTTGCAATGAAATAGGTCACACGGGTCCAAAATTTTAACTAGTATAAATAATGTACGCTTGGCACATTGTCCATACCATTATTTGAAATAATGATATGCCAACATCAAAGTCACATCTGTATTTTAATAATATTTAATATATTTACAAGAGTGATAAAACTCTTTTAATTTTTCAAGTTCAATGCAGCGGCACATCCTTTGAAAATAGACATGCATAAAAAATGATATTTTTATATGATATGTTTTTTGCAAGCTGTGGTTTTCATCTTTTCATATCAATGTGTAGTTTGTTTATAATATTAATACATATATTTACTGAATAAAAATAAACATATCTAACACTTGACTTGACAACTCTGTAATGTTTATAATATATAATCAGATATTTGGCACCTTTCACGCTGTTTTGTTTTTTTAAAAAGAGAGAAATGTTCACTCAGTATTAATTAGGTCATTTCAACACAAACATATTTCATAAATGTGAGTACATGCATGGGATTTTAACAGTGGGAGGGGGCAACCCTACTTCGTGCCACATGCCTTTTATGGGATGGCAGCCACAGGATTGACAAAGATGGTGTTGCCTAATTGTACAAATGAATGAAAAAATGATTTCCATCCATCTAGTCTACACATTGTTATCGGTGTCGTCTTAAAGCATGGGCATGCTAGGCAGTTGCCTGGGGGCTCCACGAATACAGGAGCCCCATCTTTGCTGTACAATCTTTAAACACTGATTTTGTTAGAGATACTAATACAAGATGTTAAATTGTATCGACCATTTACATTTTTATTCCTGTTATTGGTTGTGGTGGTAGGGGATCCAGTGAACTGCTTTGCCGGGGGGCCTATTAGGTTGATAAGACAGCCCGATTGTCATGCGTGTAACTGCATTAAGTTGGTCTCAAGATGAGAGAAAGAGAGAGAGAGAGAGAGAGATGGGGGTTTAACGTTATTTCGGGACTAACATATGGTTCAATTTTATTTCAATAATTTGTTTACTCGTAGGGGTCTTTTGCAGTGGGAGGAAACCGGAAGACCTGCAGAAAAACCCCACGAGGTTGGACAGGCGACCCTACTCTTTGTCACGTACATCCGGGGAATCAAAACCCTGCCAGTTGACTCATTGGACAGACCTTATCATACAGCGCGCACATGCTAACCATTCGGCCATCCAACCCCCGTCTCAAGATGAATGCAGTATATTTATCTCACGTACACCTCACCTTCTGCTACAGAGATAATAGAATAAATGAACTATTTACAGTAGAAAAACGAATAACCGTAACTTTATAATTTGATTGCTACAGTCTTACACCTGACAGCCTCAATCTTTATTGAACAAAACACAACTGGTTAAAATTTCTCTAGACATGATTAAAGAGGACTGTTTCAACCCTGATTAAAACCAGATGTGATTCATTCTGATTTAAACTGAAACTCGCACTTTTTGTTAATTGTTAACAAAAAATCAAGCATCTCCCATCCTTTAATGCTTTAGGCATACTACAAGGGGGTGTATGTAGCAATTACTGAGTTCAAGCCATACTGTGATTAACAAATAGAATAGTATTTGTGTAGGGAAGAATTTTGTCAGGGTAGCACCACTCATGTCAACACATTCCAAACCAATGAATTATTTATTGTGTTGTTACTCTTCAAAAGTATCTTTTAAAATGGTTCAATCAGGATTTGTCCATGAGAGGCCTGGCCTGTTGGAACAGAGTATCCTGATCCTATTAAATCCAAGCATGCATTGATAACAACCTTTCAGGAATATGTAGAATCTGCTGGGCTGAGAAGCAAACCTAGTCTATAGTTGTTCAGATGTAAAGTATTACTCTTGGATGGTTGAATGGTTAGCGCGTGCGCATTATATCATAAGATCTGTCATTGAGTCAACTGGTATGGGTTCGATTCCCCGGTTGTATGTGACGAAGAGTAGGGTCGCCTGTCCAACCCCTGGTTTCCTCCCACTGCTAAAGAACCCTATGCGCAAGCAAATTATTGAAATAAAATTTAACCATATGTTAGTCCCGAAATGAACGTTAAACCCCATTTCTCTCTCTTTCTCTCTGAAATTAAAAGAAAAAGTAGGCAGACTAATTCCCCAGCTAACAGCCATAAAAATAACCATATTTTAGTCTCAACATGACCTAGAGAAAATGTTGACAAGATGTTGAACACTATTTATCGTGTGTACGACAAGTTTAAACAAATAACTGATCATGTTTCCTCACTGGGGTGTCAATCTACCTTTAAACAATTAAACTGATCATGTTTCCTCACTGGAGTGTCAATCTACCTTTAAGGTTTGATTAAAGTAACTCAAAGGTTACCACGACATAACTTGTATTAAAGGATTTTACTTGCCAATTATAGTCCTGTATAACCAGCTCCATCAATTTCTGTAACTCATCACAACAATAATAAAATCAAATCTATCATTTGAATCTGGGTGGATATAGAGTGGTGGATACAGTAGTACTATTTAACTTTATGTGTGTTATGTATTGTTTCATGGTCGAGAGCGAGACATTAAGTAATATATTGTAACAACACGAGAGCCGTAGATTATTTGAAATAATGGTACGCCAACATCAAAGGGTGACGTCACATCTGTATTTTAAAGACTGCCAACATCAAAGGGTGACGTCACATCTGTATTTTAATTTCAAATAATCGTACGAGTAACTTGCCAATCGTACATTATATATACTAGTGAAATATTGGACTCGCGTGATGTATTTCACTGTAAAAGCACTTGCGGAGTGTCTGTATAATGGTCTTGAGCTTAAGACATTACGTAATATATTGTAAAAACACTTGGGCCTACGACCCTCTTGTTGTTACAATATATTACTTAATTTTCTCGCTCTTGACCATTAAACAATACCTAGTGCACACCTTTATTCACTCTATATCTGTTGAAACTTTATGAAATGAAATGGAGTTTAATGTCCTATTGTTCTGCTCTGACTGGGCCATACAGTGTGTTATGAAGGAAAAAATGCCCGGGCAGCAGGACTATGGCCCACTCTTATATCGAATTCCAACTGCTAAGGGATCTTTTACATGCACGCCAATGTATACACAGGACCTTGGTTTTTTGTCCTATCCAAATAACTAGACAGCTGTCCTTGTCACACCCTTCGTCCTGCACCACTCGCAAGGGGAAACCATGTCAGAAAATCCCGATGAACTCTCTCGGCCAATGCAGGGATAACCACAAAAGAGCATGTTCAATCCATGCAACCTTATGTAACCTAATATTTATATAATACTCATAAACAGTTTACTGACAAATCCTTCACCAAAATTCATACATGTAGACATGGGGTAGCATATTCCATTTTCAACCTTATCTAACAGAATATTTATGTAATATTCATATAAACAATTTTATGATAGAAGTAAACATTAAATAAACAACTGGTTTATTTCATCTAAAAGTATGAAACATACCCTGGGTAAATTATTTAAGTAGGCAATATAAAAAGAATAGTTTAACCCAATACTTCTCATTTTGAGACTAACATACTCATTTTTTTTATTACCATGGTTACATGTGTAATTAGAGAAAAATAATTCATCAAGATAGCAGACTACCTTATGGTTCAAATTTAGTTCTATTAGTGTTCACTACAATAGGATCTTTATGCCTTTATATTTGTATAATACTCTTGGAATAAATACTGTTTAAACCAATAGGATCTGTATGAAATTTTAAATAAAACACGTACATTCTGTTTGATGAGGCAGAGTACTAGAGTAGTCAATGAACTAAGGGCAGATCCAGAGACCATGGATAGGGGGGTGCACGAGCGATGAAGGCCACACGCTGCGAGCCACGAAAGCATGAAGTGCACAACAGTGGGGTCCCCTGGAAAATTTTCAAAAACTAGAAGCCGGAATTCCCATTTCCAGTGATCTGAGGCAAGAATTTTCAGACAGAAATCTTGGAAAATGGTTCAGGTAGAGACGTGCAGAGCGAACAGTTTCTTCGTGAACTTATGAACAGTACAACTTATGAACAGGGCGGGGGACAGTACAGGCAGTTTTATAAGGTTTTGCAACTGCGGAAGCACTCTAAATGACCGCTCTGAGCTATTTTGAGAGAGAAGATCTCACTACTCGCGAGATAACCGAATCCAGAATCCTTGTCATAAACCAAAGCCAGCAAGAGGATTCAGCATCAATTAGCCAACAACTGACTGGTCCACCCCTGATACCCTGACCTACCAATCATACCCCCGTACTTTGAAGACTTTGGCTTCACTGTGGGAGGGGGGGGGGTGCAAAAATTTTCAGTGTACTTTGGCCTTAAAAATGGCCTGGGACAGTAGAGCACAAATTGCTACATTAAAGAACTGAGGTAGTCAATATTTAGGCCTACATTTTATTAATTACCATTCTAAAAATATATAAAACATGTCATTTCAGGATAATAAGCAGTCTTGAATTGGTTTCTATGTGAACTTTAAGGGACTCAAAACTAGAGAGGTAAGGTTTATAAAGCAGCTTGTACCTCAATGACATTATTATATTCCTATATGTGGTTGACATGCAGTTATAACATGGCTGCTTTAAGAAGTCTTTAAGTGGATTGTTTAGTGTTCAAATAGCGGAAATAACAACTTACTACCAGTTTAAAAGATAAAAAATAGAAGAAAGGGAAGTCAAAAAATATATAATGGGATTGGCAACTGGTAAATATCTCAAATTCTAGTGTTTCTTTAAATGGAATAAAAACTCTTTCCCTCTTGATTACAGAGCGCCTTGACATTGACAAATAACTTGTTCATTATGCGTCGTCCGTTCAAACAATGTCACAGACCAGATTTAGGTTTTTATGAATTTGCTCTTTTTGTTTGCCGTTTGCTCTCAATGATTGAGAATGTAGCACAGGATTTGCCAGAAAAAGATTCGTGGTCTCGTGTAGAGAAAGTGATAACAAGAACTAAACCTGATAAATCGAAGATTATTGGCAACAAAACTGCTGCCTTAAGGCGATCCCTGTAGCCTACTGTACAGACGCATAGTAACGAATAGGATATCGGTCACATAATATTAGAAAAATACAGAATTGTATTCCATTCCAGCTTAATTACTAAAATTAATTCCATTGAAACATTAAATTAAATTATTTTATGATCAATTGAAACATTGACATCGTATTTTCTTTTCTGGAAACTTTCGGAATAAAAAAAAAAAATAAGACCAATATTCTAAAAACGTGCAACATAAATTAACTACGGACGTGTTTTTCTTTGTTTGTGGGAAAAGATCTATTTACAAAGCATCGCATTACAAAGTGCAGTAATAGAACACCCTAGACACGCGACGTAACTAACCGATTTCCCGCTCTACTTCTCGTACTTACCAGCATAGTTCTCAAACACAGTTGGTACGTGAACCGTAGGGAATTTATCCGTTGTATAGCTGACTAGTAAACACGTCTTTCCCACTTCTCCATCCCCTACCACCACACATTTCACATAGTCCCGCGGGTTCGGCAAGTCCGTTTCTGTCATCCCAGAGACGCTACAATTTCTTTGATAAAATAAAAGCGGGCTGTCAATAGAAGCCACGGGTCTTCACTGTGTTTTTAAATCCAGAAACACACTTCAGCTGACATTTTTAAGATTTTCTACTCCAAATAAACCATGTCACAGGCGTAACTCCTACTGTGTTCTAGCAATAATGACGTCATGTATTTCAGGAAGAACCTCTCGCGCTCTGTGTATACCGTTAGTCCGTTCTTTCATAAAAACGGGATCGAGAGGAGTATTGATTTTAATTCTCGTACACGCTCGACACAATGCACACCAAACACATCTATTAACATAAAATAAACATTTAATTTATCCTTTTTTTGTACCGCTGGGAACTATTCATTCAAATAATGGCGAATATAGAGTTAAAAATCTGAAAACAGTTCTACAGTCAAGGAACGTGTTACTCAGAACATTAACACGCTCATCACTAGGCCTATACACAATAATGGTACATTTAACAAGTTTTTTTTAAAGAAAACTTTTCTTGTATAAAAGGCAAACTTGTATAAATGTCAAAGCACAGAATAAACTAATGCATCACGTTAAATGAATGACTACCCTTCTTAAAAATGCGCATGCAGAATCGTGTCTGCAGTAATCCACTTTAAAACACCCAATCAAGACCAATTACTTTTCCGTTATAACTCTCCTTTCATTGCTTGTTTATATTTGTCTGTCCTTCATGAAATAAATTCTCACGCGAAGTTTGTAAGAATCTTAAAAACCAAGTAAAAGAAATTTAAAAATAAAAAAAAAACGTAAAAGTTTAGAATTTCCTTTGTAAAAAGATCTTTCAGTTCGACCCAAACCGGTTTAGTAGCTATTCAAATTAATCTCTTTTGATAATAGGGCTAAATTTTAATCCTATTCTAAAGGCCTGAAACTGACAACAACACCCTTGTTGATTGACGTTTTGTCGTCGCTATTACATAATCCTATCCCTCTAGTGTGCACGATCCTATTGTCTGTTTCAACTATAGCAGCCTACCCATCTGTTGTATTTCGTTATCTTCATCAATACCCAGAATTGATTCGCTGCGGCGTTTATTATATTTGGCCTGCATACAGTACGGCATCCATGTCAAACACGCGTAAAGCCAGCAAAACCTTTCATCTATTCATACGCTTAACGCACACGCTATTGAACGTGCATTTCATTGACCGTTATATGACGTTCGATCAATAACACACACTGTTAAAGTCTTTGTAGTTATTACGTGATATCGGATTCTAGAACTTGTCTCAGACTTCATCGATATTAATAAACATCAGAATTCAAACGCAATATATAATACCGCGCGTACTTTTCATGAAGCACACAAAAAAAATCACAATAACATTTGAAAACACCCGATATTTAATTCACGGCCATTTTCGTTATCATATGGCAGCCAGGAAGGGCATCCGCAGGAAGAAAGAGACGGCCAGGAACCTAATCTTTCATCCACTTCATTTTCGTTATCATATCGCAGCCAAGAAGGGCATCCGCAGGAAGAAAGAGACAGCCAGGAACCTAATCTTTCATTCACTTCATTTATAGTCCCAGCTTTCCCAATAAAGAAATAAACATTTTACACAGCAGGATATTTTATATAAGATAAAAACATTTTATGCTGAAAAGCATATCATATGGCTAATAACACTGTTAGACGCTGGATGAAAAACACAGGAATGGCAAAACTTAACAATCCAAATCAATACAATCGCCCCTTTCATATATACAACTTTCAACATAAGAAATGGCCTAAATCTGGATTTTCTCAAGTTGTCATCAAGAAGTTTGATATTTTGTGTCACGTTGCGAATTACGTCTGCTGAATATAAAAACACTGAACACACACAAACTTTCTGTTTGCTTCCAAATACCTCCGCGAGAAATGAATACACGGACTCGTTTGTTATCTTAACTCTAATTCTAATACGGTTCGACAGGCAAATAAACTTAACATTACAAAATACACGAAACTTTTAACACGAGAATTTGCCAGTTTTCAGCTATTGGTTCAGTTACATGAGATATTATAAGTGTCCATGTCCCGTCTGTTTACGACTGCTTAGTCCATTCTAAACGTTTTGTTATTATTGTCTTGTAGGATACGTTTTTCTGTGTTCAATACAAATGGCGCTCGAAACCATAGACTACGCGACTCGTGTACTGATTATAAAATGTTCATTGTGTCTTAAGTGTGGTCTGTTGATCTGCTTTGTGAATTAGGTATCTGTTTATATAAAATTTGAATATTCCTTTAGTGACACTCATACTAAACTTAGGCTGTCTATCTACAATTAGCTCAGTTTGAGAACAGACACTAAGCTAGTTGACCGACATTTTAAGTCCTAAATCGACGATTGTAGTCGAAAACACTAAGTATACTTAGAGAATTTTAAGACGTATTTGTTGTGCTTCCACTTAATGGAATTGAATAGGTTTATCTAGTCTCTGTGTGTATGCCAAGTGTGAAACATAGTACAGAACCGTATTACAAAACAATATACTAAATTTTGGACATGGTAGCCATTTAAGGCAGAGATTTATTCTCGAAGTATGAAGTAGATGGATCTCTCTGTGTACAGAATGAGCGACATTTAGCTAGTACAGTTATATGGGACAACAATCACTGGTTTATTATATACGGGCACGACGTTTCGATAAGTATCCTCTTATCTTTATCAAGCACAAATAACATTTAGTAAACTGAAAGATTTGGTAGAAATAGAAGTAGTCTGCAAGTAGAGCCATTGGGAGATACCTAATTTCGTTTTCCAACAACGAAAGTTTAATACAGAAACTAAACTAAAAGTAGTAAACAAACTGACTTCCGCTTAATATTTTAAAACGAAAGTAGCACCAATTAGATTCTGTCACATTTCTACTCGAAATAACCCATCTGATCAACACAATCCCTTACTTTATTTTGGCCTAAATTAAAGAGGTTTATATATTTTAAGATATCCATCTCGAGAAACAGACTCACATATCAGATTGGATCAATTCTGTACATTGATTTTCAACACTGATCAAACAGGTGTTGTTTAAGATAAGTTTTGGCAGTGGTTATTCATCTAATCTTATATGTACATCACAGAGAGTAGGGTGATGGCTGCATATGAAAGCTCTATATTCATGAATCGTCATCAATGCCAGAACTGACAATGTGGTGTAGGATCACCTTCTCAACCGCGTGGAGGTTTTCTCTCCATCTCCTGGCGCGGCTCCAGTATTTACGGTCTTTGAGCATGGTCGTCCTCTAGGGTCTAGGGGGTTGGGTGACCGAATGATTAAGGCGTACGCGTTGCATCATAAGGTCTGCCATTGAGTCAAGTGGTGTGGTTTCGATTTCCTAGTTGTACGTGACAAGGAGTAGGGTCACCTGTCCAACCTCGTGGGTTTTCTCCGGGTTCTCTGGTTTCATCCCACTGCCAAAGACCCATATAACCAAGGAATTAATTCCCCGCTTGTACGTGACAAGGAGTAGGGTCACCCATCCTACCTCGTCGTAGGTTTTCTCCGGGTTCTCCAGTTTCCCCCCACTGCTAAAGATCCCTACGCGCAAGGAATTAATGAAATAAAATCAAACCATACGTTAGTCCCGAAATAACCTAGTTTGCGTGGGTGTGTGTGTCAGTTATATTAGTCCATATAACTGATGGACTAATATCAAACGATTTACAGTGTAAACCAATTCTGAAACAAATATGTCGATACCTCCTTATTTAACCCTCGTTATCCATTAGTTAAATACATACTGTTATTGACAAGATTAAAGGTTTTCTCTCGTATTTCGATAATCCTCCTTGCCATTCCGACGGTGAATTCTACAAACATGGACTAATCCTTGTTTTATTAGGCTTAAAGACGTGCTAACAGTGTTACACATGCAAATATTACTTGCTAACTGAATTTGGTATAACGTTCTACTCGGGTGTTCGATCCCTGCATTGGCCGAGAAAGTTCATCCATATTTTCCGGCGTGGATCCTGCTTGTCAGTGATGCAGGACGGAGGGCCTGACAAGGACAGCTGTCTAGTCGTTCGGATGGGACGAAAAACCGAGGTCCCGTGTGCACATTGGCGTGCAATTAAAAGATGCCTTAACAGTTGGAATTCGATATAAAAGTAGGCCGTAGTGCCGCTGCCCGGGCAAAATTTCCCCCATAGCACACTGTAAGGCGTATGCCCGTCTTCATTAGACGGATCAGAACAGTAGGACGTTAAACCCCATTTCATTTCATTTCATTTCATTTCATTTCATTTCTACTTTTCTGCACCAACTGGGATGTTGCAGGACTGGGGTAGGGTGGGGGATTGCTGGCAAGATACAACGTATAGTTGCTCGGATGGGATGAAAAACCGAGGTTCCATGAACAAATTGTCGTGCATTTAAAAGATTCCCTGAGAGTTGGAATTCAAGATGAGAGTAGTCCGCAGTACAGCTGTCCAGGCAAAATTTCCCTCATACCACACTGTATGACGAGAAAGGACGTATGCCATGCAGTGTGCTATTGAAAATGTTGCCCGAGCAGCCGAATTTCAACAACCCGGTGTTCATTTACGTCCACGCCAAAGTGTGTAAGGGACCTCGGTTATTCGTCCCATCCGAACGACTAGGGACTTCACCGGCCAACACAGCAACCGGCTAACATATGGTATTTTGTATTTCAGTTATTCTGAGCTCGCAAGGATTTTTACGAGATTAAACAGTCAACCCTACTCCGCCTCGCGTACATGCATCGATGACAAGTGCATAGACAGACAGTTTAGAAATTGGACGGGGGAAGGGGAGGGGGTGGCTCCATACTGAATAACTCTGAATTAAAACTCTGCTATTATGGCATGTTGCCCTTTAGATTTAAATTACCACAGCAGTTTAAACTAAAGGAAAGGAAATGAATTACTCGGGCCATTTACAAATACACAGTAAAATATATTTACAACTTAGGTATACTCTTTAAACGATAGCATCAATTTAATTAACCCAAACCGACAAAAAGGTATAGTCTACAGAAATAAATTTATACAAATGATAGACTCTCGGGTCTGGTTTCGTAAATCTGACAGCTAAGTAAAAATTAAAGAGGTTTTAATGTGAGGTAAGCAGGTGCGTGTCGTGTGATTAATATAAAATATCATGGTATATTAAGTAATTACTGGTAATGAGCAATGAATCATTGTCTATTAAAACAGTTTTACTGAAAACTCGTTGTTAAAGGATCATGGTAAATCTCGTTGTGTGAGAAACCATAACCAAATGTTACTATATTAAACAGAAATTGTATTCCGCGTTTCTTGTGTGTTATGGATTTGTTTCCTTCGGACATAATTACGTTATCTGTTCGATACCCAAAATCTATTTCAATGAACAGCAAAAATAAAAAATATGCCCCAAATTTGCATAGTAAACCCACTGGTCATTTGTGATCAGCGCGTGATGTTGTCGCACGTTGCAAAGTAACCGCGCCTAATTCTTGCGCATTCACCCACTCGCTGTTTGAAGAGTGGCGTTTTATTCATAATCGCACCCGCGTTAAAACTTGTATTATTTAATATATGCTTGCGATCATTATATGTGTAATTTTTTGAATTAATTTTCCTCTTCTTCAATTAGTTGGCAAAGAAAAAGCGTTTATCTTCGTTTAACGATGTTATAGAGAGATACTTCACGGAATGTAGTTTGAGAGTATTGTATGTAATGGAGTTTAAATTAAAGCGCCATTAGGTAATGAGAGAGAGAGAGAGAGAGAGGGAGGGAGGGAGGGAGAGAGGGAGAGAGAGGGAGGGGGAACTAACACATGGTTCCATTTTATTTCAATAAATCGGTTGCGCGTAGGGGTCTTTGGCAGTGGAAGGAAACCGGGGGACCCGGTGAAAACCCACGAGGTTGGACAGGCGACCCTACGCTTTGCCACGTACAACCGGGGAATCGAAACCACGCCAGTTGACTCAATGACAGACCTTATGATACAGCGCGAGATAAAGAGCTAACAGTTCTTGCTATAATAGTTAAAAGATACATGTAGTTAATGAAAAGTGAATAATTACTCTGAACCAAGGAATCGGCGATATAATTATAGGCTAGCCTCGAATTTCATTAATACCGTTGTTACGATAATAAACAATGTCTCGATTATCCAGTTTTACGGTAACCACATCCAGCACAAAACGTATTTGAGTCCACTAAATGTCGCAAGCATCTGATGGCATCGAGGGTTGATTGTTGTCTGGCTAAGGTAACTAATGTTTAATTAATAATTTAGATAACATTTAAGGCCCAAAGAAAGACCTGCAATATGCAGATTTAGCTCTTGCATAAACTTATCAAAAGGGAGAGAGAGAGAGAGAGAGAGAGAGAGAGAGAGATGGAGTTTAGCGTCCACTCGACACAAACTAGGTCATTTCGGGACTAACATATGGTTTAATTTTATTTCAATAATTCGCTTGCGCGTAGGGGTCTTTAGCAGTGGGAGGAAACCGGAGGACCCGGAGAAAACCCACGAGGTTGGACAGGCGACCCTACTCCTTGTCACGTACAACCGGGGATTCGAAACCACGCCAGTTGACTCAATGACATGTTAAACTGATCAAAAGAAATCGACATTTTTTATGTCAATGAAAGAGATCTTATTATTTCAAACCCCATGGTTCCACTTTATAGAGACGGTGTTCTGGTGATTTGAAATTGTTGAAGATCCATTACGTGAGATTTCGATAAGAGACTGGTCGTTCTTGCTATAATAGTTCAAAAATAGGTAATGAAAAATGAATATATTGAAACTTTCATTCAAATTACATTATTTGGAGCGAAGTTATGAGTGTGTGAAGATGTAGCGTAGATTGTTTTTATCGTAGAAACGGTACTGGACAGACGAGACTGAGTCTCGATTATCCATTTTA